GAAGCATTTGTCTTTGCATTGGATGTTTTTGTATCGTTAGGCTTTGTAAGATTGTTTTTGTCAAGTAAAACTCCGTTTATTTGTAGGCAACGGCGTCCCAAAAAGGCAAGTTTTGGGTAAAAGCAAGATGATATTGGGATTGTTAGAAGGCATTCCGACAATGTTTCTTGGTGAAGTTGCTGTGGTATGTTCTTGGAACTTGTTTTTTCGGATCAAATAATTCTAGTGCATTACAACATTGTTTAGTTTAATTTTTTGTAAAATAACTATAAATAAGTGCGGTTTATGCGTGGTTGTCACACGAGATTCCTAGCCCCTTTTTCTGTCTATATTCTCTGGTTTCAAACCTTAAACGACACCTAAATTAGTGCCTAAGTTAGAATAAATATGTGGAATGATCAACCAGTTGTTAGTTATAAAATTATCTTATGGGTATCCTAGAGATTTTTATAGTGGGTAAAAATTTTCACAAGCAAAGAACCTCGAACAAATTGGAAGGAAATTGTAAGAGGAGATACATAGTAGAGAATATCTATATTGATCAAACACAATGATGGTATTCAATCCATATTGGTAATCCCACATGGTGGGGTTAGTTTACTAATGCTATTCTTGATTTCAGTTCAAGATGAAACCTGAGCTGCATTATGGTGAGGAGGGCTGCCCCGTTTCAGTTTCTGGTAGCTTCCCCAAGGATGACGAACTTCATTTTGAGATTGAGTTGATTGATTTCTCCAAAGCAAAGGAAAGAATGTTAGTTTCATTCTTACTAATTGGATATTAATGGTTTGATTAAATAGCATAATGAAACTTCTCACTGTCTCCCTTATGTAATATCGTAATCAAATTCATGATCTATTACTACTTAGGGAAATAGATCATTTTCACTTATGTTTCACTTTTTGGTGCTTTTCCTACATATCATTTTGACATAGTTCGAAAAAATTTCAGGTGGTTACTGAAGATTTGGGGATCATAAAGAAGGTGATGTAATGACTTTAGTTGTTTCTACACAAATTAATAAGTTCTACCATTTTCCTTTTTATTCTAAGCTAAAAGTTGTATCGAAGCAACAAAGATTAACTTTGAATCCATTAATAGGTGAAGGAAGAAGGACAGGGCTGGGAACAACCCAGGGAGCCGTATGAAGTAAAAGTTTGGTATGAAAAAATAGCTTTCTTTTAATGTCTTTTGGTGTTTTTCTTACAGTAATTCTGAGAGCAATATGAAGCAAACTCCCTTTATTGTGTCGTCACTATGCTATATTCCTTATATTAGCATTACAATAATCTCAAGGCCCTTTTGATATTTAAGTTATACTTCCATTTGATTTCTATAGGATTTCAGCCAAGTCAGGAGATGGAAAAATGATTTTTTCACATACAGAAGGAGAACCCTTTTTCTTTACATTCGGGAAATCTGAGGTAAATGGATATTATTTTTTTTCTTGCAGCACCGGGTTTGTCGTTTATGCAGATTCTTTATGATGAATCTGACCTTTAGAAGTTACATTCTTTTGAAAAATCTTATATGTAAAGAACATACATTTCAGCTCTTATTCTTGTTGTTCTTTCTGAACCGCAGATTCCAAAAGGCCTTCAGATGGGAATTGGAACAATGTCGCGTGGAGAAAAGGCCGTAATTTATGTTATGAAGGATTATTTATCAGAGTGCCCTATCATTCCATCCCTTACAGGCATCACTGAAATTCACTTCGAAGTTGAGCTGCTACACTTTATTCAGGTAAATATTACTTGGTGTCTTATATATAGTCATTTACTGTACGTTGAGGTAAATATTAACTTTAGGATCCTTGCTCGCGTATCATGTTTGAATCAAGTGACAGTTCTTTTTCAATTATATTCTTGAGGAGTGATTACTTATCATCTTGGTACAAATTTGGTGGTCGAGAGAATTATTATTTATGTGATGGCTATGTATTCTCAGGTCCGGGATGTTTTAGGAGATGGGCGACTAATAAAACGCCGTTTACGCGATGGAAGAGGTAATCTCAATCTCTATATGTTCAGCCATGATTACCAATCTTGTGTTACCAATGCCATTATATTCCAAGTAAACCTCATTTATGTTGATAAGTTACACAAAAATATAGAAAAAAGAAATGTTCATGGAGTATATGCATTATAAAAATCGTGGTATCGTATACTGTTTACGAAACCTATCGTACTATTTGGCATTACCTAATTTTCCTAGTAACAAAAAGTTTCAACCTTCTCCTTTACTTAATATATTTCATTTTTTCCAATTTATCATTTTGAATTTTTCCTAATTATGACATTAATCATTGCCATGCTAAAATTTGGGCAATGCACTTGTCTTTGCTTTCGAATAATTAGGTGAATTTCCAATGGATTGTCCGCTTAAAGACAGTCTGTTGCAAGTACATTACAAGGGTATGCTTCTCAATGAAGAAAAGACCATTTTCTACGATACACGAGTTAATAACAATGGTCAGCCTTTTGAGTTCAGATCAGGAGAAGGCCTTGTAAGCCTTGTTTAATACTCGTAACTATTTTTGAAAATAATACTTAAAAATAAAATTAATATTCCATATTCCGCTCGATATCTGTTTGTTTTTAATTGTTTTTGGTGTCCAGTATTTTTATCTCATTAATGTTTGAAAATCTTCTGATGCTAGGTACCTGAAGGGCTCGAAATGTGCACCCGATTGATGTTGCCTGGCGAGATAGCTTTAGTAACATGCCCCCCTGATTTTGCTTACGACAAGTTTCCACGGTTAGCTCTAGTTATCCGTACTAGTTCATGAAACATTTCTAGCATTTGATGCTGCAAAAAAAAAAAGTGCAAATATGGGTCCATGCACAAACTTGGTTGCTCGAGATATTTATGTTGCTATAACAATTCATACTTTTGTTCAACTATTCTACTCTCTTATTATATGAACAGACCGGCAGAAGTACCCGAGGGTGCTCATGTCCAATGGGAGATCGAACTTCTTGATTATGAGAAGCAAAAGGTGTGTGTATATTAGATTTCTTACAATTATTTTGAATTCGGTCCTCATGCATATTTTGCTGATTGTAACTCATGGTGCAGGACTGGACTGGTTTCAACTTCAGAGAAATAATGGACGATGTTGAGAAGATTAAAAGCACGGTATCCGAAATCATACTACTCTTACAAACTTCCACTATAATGTCATTGTTTATGGAAGGCAGATAAAGAATAAGTTCCTTTCTTGTTTATTTCAGGGAAACCGGTTATTCAAAGAAGGCAAGTACGACCTTGCGAAGGCAAAATATGAGCATGTACGTTTTCGGGTCCTCTTTATCTCGTTTGATGTGTTATAAATATTCATTCAATTTGGCGGTGAGCTTTCAGGTTCTACGGGAATTCAATCATGTTAATCCTCAAGATGATGAGGAGGGTAAAGAGTTTTCAGATACAAGAGTAAGTATTAGAAGAAATTAGCTCTGTTTATAGTCTAGATATTGTTCCCGGTGCTAATTCTTTTCTTTCTTGCTCGGTTAAAGAATTTGTTGAACCTAAATGTGGCTGCCTGTTGGTTGAAATTGGGTGAGTTCAGGAAGTCGATAGAAGCCTGCAATAAGGTAGACTTCATTTCTCCTACCGATCTTTCTTAGTGTTCGTGTACACGAACTTGAGTTGTGTTCGTGCAGGTGTTGGACACGAACCTGTATCACGTTAAAGCTCTTTACCGACGCGGAATGGCCTACATGGATGCTGGAGATTTTGAAGCAACCAGAGCTGATTTCAATCAGGTATGATCTCGTTTAGTCGTGAGCTTCCATTTGCTCACTATGATCCGACACAATTGATGCTTCCAGATGATGACTGCTGATAAATCATCGGAGCCAACGGCAAAGGCAGCCCTTCTCAAGCTTAAAAAGGAAGAACAGGTCGACAGCGAAAAGAAGCTACCTTTTATACATTAGCACTACAATCTAACCAAATGATCATATGATATGACAACATAGTTTAAACAGGAACTCCAGCGAAGGGCACGTCAACAGTTCAAGGGATTGTTCGACAAGAAACCCGGCGAGATTTCTGAGGTGGGCAGTTGGGATTCAGGACAAGAAGAGGATCCCAACAAAATTCGTGAAGCTGATGTTGGTTGTAAGGATGAGACAGAAAATGAGCATCTTCTTGAGGCTACTGCGCCACCGCAGCCTCCGGCGACCGTATGGTCCCGAATATGGCCTACTGGGAGAAGACTCTTTCATGACTTTGGGTTAGACAAATGCACCATATTGTGATTCCAATGCTTTCAAAACAAGCTTAGTTTTTAAGGGAAAACAGATTTCCACCTAGAAATATGGAGAGGAAATAACCAAATTGTACCAAGAGATAAATTATATATATGTGTTTTCTTTTTTGGGGTAATTTTGAGTTCTTGTTTCATTACGTAACAATTTGTCCCTGTGATCAGTAGGGTGGGCACGGTTCGGGTATTTGCAAATATGCAGTTATATGATATTCGAATCGAACCAAACAAATACCCGAAATTGTGAACCGTATTTGAACCGAAATTTTGTTAACCGAATCGAATATAATTATTAATATAAATTTTTAAAAATAATATCAATAATCGAAATTGAACCAAACAAATATTAAATATGCATATTCAAATTGAATTTTTTCGATTAACCGAAAATTCGATTCGGTTCAGTTCAGCGGCTCAACGGTTCGGTTCGATGTTTTTACCCACCCCTAGTGAACAATACACATTATTACATTGTTAACAGGTACCAGAAGACAATGTGGCCTCTGCATCTTCTATGTGATACTGAAACATTCCGGCGACGAAGTCTCCGGATACATGGCCTCCAACAGCCGCCAGGAAGAACATAAAATCTGTGGCGATTACAGCTATTATTGCCAAGTATGTCATGAACATGGCGAGCCCCCGCAAGGCTGCGGCGGCGAGCACCGCCACCAGCTTCCGGGTATTATGTGGGCTGATGGGATATTTAGAGGAATACTCAGCTGTGAAAGTGAGCAGAAAAACTAAGAATAGAGAGAAAGAGTAGTCGTAGGGGGTTTGGTGATCAGGCCAGCCTGGAAATAGCTTTGCTAAATATGAATACCAGAAGCTGCTAAATGAGAAGAGTTTAAAGCCCATTTGATTGTCAGAATCAGAATGGAATTTTAGAGATAGGGATAGGAATTGTGATTTATATTGGTGCCAAGAATTGTGGGTTCTGATTAAAAAAATAAAAGGACTAGTTATGGTGCTGATCTAGGTTTGTTAGGCATGATGCTGATTGGCTCTAGTTAGCATATTGTAATAATGTATATACGTTTACTTTAAATACTTTAATTCATTATACTAAACATATGATTAGATATAATAAAATAATATTATTCATCATAATCATTTAAAGTAAACACATCCTATGGTATATGGGCTATTATATTAGCATATCATATTAACATAAAGTGTATTGTTTATTTATTTATTACGTAAAATCTGATGATATTTGAAGTATTATCAGCCTCGTGACTAATATACTAATTCATCGTAATAACAATATACATAAATAAGACATGATGATTACATGAATTGCTTGAGGTGGGAAAAGGGGGCTGTGTTGTAACCAATGATATGATTATTGCTATCATTATGTATTGGATATGTGTGTATAGTAAGAATACTTCTCTTCCTTTGAAGCCAAGTCTCAAATTGGAGATCTGAATAAAATAATAAAAATAAAAAATAAAAATCCAAAAAACACTCAATTCATTAAAATCTGGAAAATTTTCAATTATTAATCTTAAAGTTTTTTTTTTAAGCAAGCTCAGGAAATTATTCGTTTGGGACAAATAATTGGCCCATTAAATGCACCTATTGGGCCTCGCCTCCTTTCTCGAAAGCCCACTTCCAAAAATGACGTACCCAACGGCGTGGCCCAAAGCGGCGGCGATAAAAACGCCGCCGTTGTACGACATCACGGCCAGAATCACCATATACCGGAGCCCGGCCCGAACCGCGTGGAACCCGGCCTGGAAGAACACGGCGGCGGTCCGGTGTGAACCGGGTTTCACCAAATCAAGATTGGAGAGAAACTCCACAACAATGGCGACAAAAAAGACGAGGATGATAGCAAGGGCGTACATGCCCGTGTGGTTATCGGGCCAGCCCGAGAACAGGAATTGGGCTTCTTTGCCCCAATAAAAGAAATGGGGCTGGTGGTGGGCGTGGGGGGCCGGCGGCGGCGCCGCCGGCGGAGGAGGAGGAGCAGAGATTGTGCTGTGGTGATCTAGGAAGAGGGATTTAGGGTTCAATTCCATCGTGGAATTGGGGATTTAGGGTTTGTGAATTTTGGGCGTCGAGTTGATTTATATAAGCAGCCATGGATTTTATTCTAACTTGTAATTGAGAAAAGCGTACCTGAACCATCTTCTTTTATGTCTTCTGCAGCGAATATTGTCCTATTCTCTCGTCTGCAAGCAATCCTTGGAGACATAAAAGTGGAAGCCATTAAAGAGGTGTGTAGGTAAAGGAATTGCAGAGGTTAAACTGCAAAACAATTAATTCAAATTTGACCTAAATTGGTATACTCTATAGTAAATTGGGATTATGAACTTAACGTATTGCATCAATGGTGGATCAATGGAGTTATTGTTAGCTAATGAACTGACCTTGGTAGAATGCAGCAATCTAATGGCTTGAACAAGCTCCATGAAATTCCGATGCGACGATCCGCCTTCGCGGACAGAATCGCGAGCCAATCGAGCAAGCTCAGCAGTCGATTTTGTGATATGTTCTTGCTTTCCTTCCATCAAATTACGCACCATTCTCTCAATGGTTGATCTGTCGTTAATGTCCTTGATATCAATCCCTAGATTCCACAATTCCTCGACACATCGAGAATTCACTAGCTGATCGACAAAACAGGGCCAGCCGAGCATCGATTTGCCTGCAGAAATGCTTTCAATGGTTGAATTCCATCCGCAGTGTGTTAAGAAACCGCCAACTGCTTCGTGTTCTAGAACTTCCTCCTGTGGCACCCATCCTGCCATGAATCCCCTCTCCTTAGTGCTGTTTTTCAGCTCCTCAGGAATCTCATCTTCATCGATTATCAAATCAGGCCTAATCGCCCACAGGAATCTCTTCTCGCTGTTGATTATCCCGTGCCAGAACTCCATCAGTTGCTCTCTGGTTAATTCAGTGAGACTGCCGAAGCTAATGTACAGCACCGATTTGGACGGCTGAGAATCAAGCCAGTTCATACAGGTACGTTCGGTTTGGATCAAACTGGATGAACATGAACACCTTCGATTGGGAGAAATAGAGCTCAAGGAAGCGTGCAATGGTCCAATTGCATAAACCGCAGGGAAAATTGAGCGTAGATGAGCGATAATTGGAGCTTCGAGTTCTTCGAACGTGTTGATTATGAGAGCAGAAGCTTTGCTTGATTTTGAGGTCTGGCTAATCTCGAATTGCAGGTACGGATTGTCTGGTGATAACCGACATATGTGCGGCAGATCTCGGCGCCTAATCACGTTTTCCAGACCTGGAATTTTGAATGAGAGTAGGCTGTCCATATCTGCACTTCCTGTAAATCCATCGTTATCAAGCGAGGTAAGTAGGGTTTATGGTAGATAGTCATGCTGCCATCAACAGAGCTCCAAAATTTATAATTTAGACAAAAATTACGAGTAACTATTTTGTATTTTTGTTTGTATAATTCAAATGTATTTATTTTTGTGTTTTATTAAAAATACTATTTTTTTAATTTTACTAAAAAAAATATATTTACACTTTACACGTGCAAAAAATATCATTAAAAAAAATAAGTAACTTTTAAGACAATTTAGTTTTTATTACTATTTTATATATTATTACTTATAATACTCACTTCGATTCATATATTTGTTTTTTGAACCGAGTTTTAAAAATATTAGTAGTATATTGAGATTTGGTATAAATAAAGTAGAAAAATATTAAAATAACTTTAATAGTATTGTGTGATATAAATGTAATGTTTATTAATTTGTTTAATATATTGTAAGTTGGAATGTTGGAAAGGTACTTTTAATATTAAGTAGAAAGTACAATTAAAAAAATAAATAAATATTTCGTTATAGATAAATTATCAAAGAGCGAGAGAATAATATATAAAGGGGTGGAAATAATACAGCACATACTCTATCGAAAAAAATACCGAAAATACCGAAAATTTTTATATACCAAAATTCAGTATGGTAAGGATATGTAGAATGAAAATTTTGGTATATACCGAAATACCAATATTTTTTTTTTCGGTATTTCGATATATATCAAGAATATTGTATGTTACTTTGATATTTTGGTATTTAATATATCGGCATATACCAAAATTTTCAGTATAGAAAATTATTGATGTGGTATGATATGAATATGTATCATACGAGTCAATTTTTGATTTATCAATTTTTCAATATACCGAAATTTAGGTATTGTATTAATATGGAATAATACCATGCCAAAAATTTTAATACGACTATCGTTTTTATAATTTTTGATATACAGTACAAATCCACCCCTAAATATATATGAGTCAAAAGAAGGAAATATAATGATTTTTAAAAAGTCTATATAATTTACAGTAGATAGGAATGTTGTCATTAACAGAGCTTCGAGTTCTGGAACTTAAGGCCATCTTCAACTCATATACTCTAAAAATGCACCATAACTCTATTTTTTACTAATCTTCTTCAAATATTTAATTTTTTTATTATTATTTTAAACATCTTATTATATTTATAATTACAATAATTTATTTAAAAATCTAAAAAAATATAAAAAAACTAAAACAAAATTCAAATTTCAAAAAGAATAAAATTCAAAAAATGGTACAGGATTTAGGGTCGATTGGAGTCAACAAATGCCAAATCCACCAATCCAGTATCATTATAGACGTTGAGTTGGCCATGCTTTAAATAGAAATAATATTATGATCTTCAAATTCTAAAATATAAAATGAAATTATTGTTATTTACTTCCAATAGTTATTTTTCAACGGTAATTCCCAAAAATAATAATAAATAATATTATCAGTCCTATTGGTTTCATTTATTTTTTTGTTATTATATACAAATTAAGAAAAAAAATTCAAAAATACTTTGTCTAATAATACTAATATAAGAACTTTTGTAAAAAAAAATTATACATAATGATATTTTTAATATTAAATATAATAATGCAAAAAATAAATTTGAAGAGGACCGGAATTAAGAAATCAGTGTTTAATTTCCATTACCTTCGCGAACCGGAATGTCGCCGGCTTCGACGAGATGCTGAAGATGAGAATTAATCCAGCAACCAGCGGCGCTGCAAACTCGAAACGTCATCGCCGGAATCCCGAGCTCGCCGGCGACGTCAATGGCGAAGGACATGATTGCATCGCTGATGACGCAAGCCGGAGGTCGGCGCATGGATGAAATCAAGCTTTTGAAGATCGGCTTGGTGAATTTGGGAATGGAGAAGAGCAAATCGGCGACGGAAGTACCAATCCGCGGATGCTCCGGCGGCAAGCCGTCGGGGATGGAAAGAAAGTCAATCCCTCCGGCGGTGTCCGTACCGCCGCCGGCGACGAGGCGGCGGTGGTTGTGGTCGGTGTTGACGACGGTGACGGCGAGGCTTGATCGGCTTAGAAGTTCGGCTAAAATGAGCATCGGCTTGACGTGGCCTTGGCCGGGGAACGGCAGGATGACGATGTGGGGGTGAGGCGCACGCGCGGCCATGGCAGCGATTTAATTAAGCTCTGAACACATGCAATAATGCTATGCATGTCAGTGTGGGCCTATATATATATATATGGTTGGCAAACGGATCAGGTTGGATTGACTTTAGTTCGATCAGCTTTAAACAAATTACAAAACATTTTATTTGAATCTAATTTATTTAATTAAATTGGTTGATATTTTTAATTTTAATTTTACATTTTATTAGTTAGGTTAACATGAATATGTTAACATGAATCTGATTTTATAATCCGTTTAAATTTAAAATTACAATTTCTATTAACAAAATTTTCAAATGCATGATATATATACATATTAAAAGAAAAAAAAATTTATTCATACTATGAAACCAATATTGAAGAATAGAATTAACAAACACTACATAATAATACGGAACACACTTCTTTATTTTTTATTTTTTTATAAAATTGGTCATAAATATTGAATTGTATTAATCAATTTTAGAAAATATATTTAAATTAAATAATATTAATTAAACATGTTAGATGGTAATTTTCAGGTCGGATATTAAGCTGACTCATTTAATTAAATAGATTAAACAGGTTTGACCAAAATCAAGTTAAAATACTATACAAACAAATCCTTTTTACTTTCCATCTTCCGACAAATTGCCCGTTTATTCTCCTTTTATTTATTATTTTTTTTTAAAAAAAAGTTCAATTACATATTTTTATTATATTATAAAATTTTTAATATACAATTATTTAAATTACATATATTGTAATACTCCCTCCGTTTCATATCTATTTATTATTATAATTTTTAAAATATTAATATTATATCATAATATAATAGAAATAAAAGTAAAAAGACTAAACTAATCTTATTATAAAAAGTAACGACATTTGTATAATATATTGTAAATTGAAAAAGTATTTACAATGTTAGGGTGAATTAATTGCTTTTTTTTAGATAAAATAAATATTTAACATAATAATAATAATAAACTTTTTAATAAAAAGTAATTAATAAAAATTAATGATTTTGTTCTTTTAGCATTTTAAATTAAAATCAATGCTATTTATTCTGCATTGTTTTCAGTAAAATTATGACATTTTATTTTATAAAATATCACATCAAAATATTACTCCCTCAGAGTACAATTTTTACCATTTTCGCTCGTCCAACTTCAAATTACTTATTTTTTATTTTAGCAAAATTAATTATACATTGATACTAAAATACTTTTAATTTTTACCTAAATTACAACCTAGAATTACTTTATAAATAAAGTCATTACACACTTTCACTGACTAATAAAATATTATTATTTTTTAATTACAACAAAATTACAAAAGTCTCATTTGGAGTGGAAGAGTAAGAGTATTTTAACACAAATTTAAATTTAATCCCTCATTTCAAATTAATACAACCCTCCGTCCAAATTAAGATGACTCATTTACTTAAGGACACGGTATTTTAGGTAGTGTAGATTAGTAAGTTATTAATAATAATTTATAATATTATTTTATATTTTTATATGAGTAATGTTGTTGGTATTTTAAATATTTTTAGCATTATAAATCAATTAAATATATACAATATGAATATCATTTTGTAGATAATAAAATTTTATATAGTACAAATAAATAAAAAATTAATGAATTTATTTATAATTAAAGTAGAACTAGTTTTATTTAAAATAAGAAATTTTAAATATAGATAGAAATATTTATTTATTGAGAAGAGATATAAAAATAAAGAGGTTATGTGTGAGTCATAGAAATTTAATTAAATTAATTTATATTTGTTAAATATATTTAAAATGAATAAATTTACTAAAAATAAGAAAAAAATCATCTTTAATAGACTGACAAAAAAAAATGACAGAAATTATAAATAAACAACTCTCGAGAATATGAATATCATTATTGGGAGTTTATCACGAATAGATTCTTAGAATTTACTTTTTATAGATAAATAATGGACAAGTGGTATGTCCAATGGTGTATTATTTTATTTTATTTTATTTTTAGCTTGATATGTTCTTTTTAGAAAATAATGGACAACTATTATAATAATAACAACACATTCAAAGATTTATTTATTTATTATTATTTTAAATAGATTCGATTTTATTTTTTTTAAATGACGAATCGAAGCGACAAAAGGCTGAATCTCAGCGAATCGTGGCAGTAAAGCCACTTTGCCGAAATTTAATTCGAATTTGACTCCACAAGATTTAAACAAGCTTATACTTTTGATGAATTTGGAATGAATAATATTTGATATGATATTTAAAAAATATATATATATATATTTGACCTGAAAAAGTTCAAATAATAAAATTTGAATAATATTTAGTCTATATTATTTCTAATAAAAAATATTATTTTTAAAAAAATTATTATATCAAAACATCATTTAAATAGAAGTTCAAATTTAATTTTAAATTTCAAATCAATTTCGAATCACAATCAAATAAACTTTTCGTTTTAACGTAATTAAAAAAAATATATATTATTTAAACATTGAATGAAATAATACTTAATTTTTAGACTTAGGGGATGAACTGAAACTATGATTCTATAAATCTAATAGAAAATTCAAGAATAAAGTCCTATTTCATTTTTTAAACACAAATTTTACATTTTTACCCTTAATTCATTTATTACTTTTAATCTCTATCATACAATTAAGAGCAAATTTGTCAATTCATAACAAAAAAAGATAATAGAAATTGGACGGATGGAGTATTATTTATAATTTACTAACTATATTTTTATTATAATTAAAAATTTTCTTATACCAAATTATAAGTATAATTATTGTCGTAATTGTGACTATTTTCTTATTTCAAATTTCTAATTATAGTTTGTTTTATATGTATATATATATAGTTGTTTCATTAATTAATTTCATAATTTTCATTTAGTGGAAAGACTTATAAATGGACATATCATTTTAACCATTCAATTTTTTCTCATTGAGAAAAGAAATATATATATATATATTTTCTCTTCGATAATTTTACTTTTTTAATTAATTTTATTTAAAAAAAAAATTAAAGGTTTGTTTATTTAGTTAAATAGTTTGAAAAACATAATTTTTTTTTATGTTAATTATAAAAAATTATATAAATAATATAAAAATATAAATATACGAATATTATTTTTTTGTATAAAAAAATGTGTATATATATATTAAAGAACACTCTAAGTTAATAAATAAGACCTGTCGGTGATTCGTGTCGGATTGAATATTTTAAACGGATTAAATTATTCAATCATAACATAACCCGTTTATTATTGTATGAGTTCGTGTTGACACGTTTATTATCGTGTCGGATTTGGGTTGACTCGTGTTGACCCGTATACATAATTAAGTCAAATTTCTTGATTCAAATTAAATAATTTTTTGTTGTATTGTCGTGTTATGTTAGTTTTTATTGATTTGAGCCTAAATTAGGTTGAATAATTTATGTTATGTTATGTTAGTTTTTATTAATTTATTTTTAATTATTTTAATAATTTTTGCTTTATGAGTACATTAGTGTAAAAAATAGTGGAAATTATGTAATAATAATAAAAAGTAAGAATAATTTTACTATGATATGATTATTTATAAAAATGAGACTATTGTTGTGACATCACAAAAATGGTAAATAAGACTATTATATTAAGACGGAGGGAACATTGTATGTATATTAATTTTTTTTTAAAGAATAAAAATTTATAAATATAATAAATAAATACAAAATATAAATATTTATTTATAACTAATATAAATTAATTTATAAATATAATAATTTTTTAAATATAAAAATATATTTACTTATTTAAAAAAAAAAAAATTGAATGAATTTTAAGTAATTTGGGAGCAATAGTGGTAGCTATGACGGGAAGCCAATCAAACACAACTTTCTTTTCCTAAACCCAAATTATAACTCGAATCCGAAAGCTGAGGAAGAACCCTAGTAAATCACCCTCGCCTCACCTGCACAGCCGCCGCCTCCGCTCCCTCCTCCGCGTCCAAGGCCGTCGTCCGCCGCTCGGACGCGACCGCCGGCCCCCTCCGCCTTCCACTTCCTCTTCAAATGTTTGTTGACTTATAAAAGTTTTGTTTATTTTAAAAATTTATGATATGAACTTAATCTTGAAATTATTTTGAACTATTTTTGAAGATATTCTACAGTATATAATTTCTTATATGATGCAGGGGAAATATTGATAATTAGTACAATTTTTTAATATCACTAAAATACCCATGAGTTGTCTCACAATCCATTCCAACACCTCTAATGGCCAATGGGTGTGTTAGAATCAAGCCAAGCATGGCTGAATTTCTAGACATGCAGCTAGCCAAATGTGTTTAGAAATTTTGAAGTAACTACTGATTTCTTGTCCATCCCATTTAATTGCAGTTGGAGTTAGCATTGATTTCATGCTTTGGGTTTGGTAGCCAGTGATCACTTTGTTAGAATTGTAACATTACATCAACTAAGAATCAATGGGAAAAGCATCAAGAGATAAAAGGGTGACCTTACCCTGCTTCTTCACTGCTATCTTACTTTATTGTTTGATACTGCTCTATCTCCTTGTATTTTTCTTATAGGGAATGCTATTGCAGGACATCTACTATAGAAAAGCCAAAGAGGAAGGGTGGCGTGCCCGGAGTGCCTTTAAATTGCTTCAGATTGATGAGGAGTTCAAAATATTTGAAGGTTTGCAACAGCTTTATTACACACATTTACATTGATATATGTTAATTATGATCGTAGTTTTATTTATTCATTCATTTATTTGTATGTGTGAGTGTGTTTTTGGGGTTCTCATCTTGAAATTTTTTCTACTTTTACTGAACAACCTTTACTTATTCATATTTAAACAATTTGTGGATAGATATATATCATAAAATTTATGGTATGATGCTATTCCAATAATTTACAGGGGTGAAGCGTGTGGTGGATCTATGTGCAGCCCCGGGAAGCTGGAGTCAGGTAAATGCTATTATTCTGTTACTTAAATGAAATATTTAGGAATCTTTATTTAATAAACTGATGCCAGTCATGCAGTTAAGAAGGCCAAGTGCTAAAATAAGGCCACCATATGATGGCCATTTTGAAAAGTATTTTGAGAGATGTATACTTTTTTATGTGGGAGTCTGATTATTGATATATCCTGCTCGATTGAGTTTTCTTTTCAAGAATTATTATTGGTTCTTTCATGGTTTTTTGCTTACAATGGCATATGCTGCATCACCTTTTGCCTTGAAAATGTCTTTTGATGGGTGGGGTTACATTACATCTGTTTCTTTTCTTTCTCTTTGCTATTGTTAGTTGTAATTTAAAAATGCTTGGTTATATGCAATATGATTTATATTATATCAAATTAAATGGCCCTGCTTCTTAACTTCTCGAATGTATAGATACCCTATTTTTGTTTTTAAAGGTGTTGAAATTGTTATCCTTTCTCCGGATCTTTTCCGGCCTATATAACCATAATACACATTATTTCTTTTTACTGAACCTTGGTATACCATACTCCAATACAGGTCTTAAGCCGAAAACTTTATCTGCCAGCCAAGCTCTCGCCTGATTCCAAGTAATTTCTTTCCAAGTTATTTCATATTCTTTCCTAGTGTTTATGACATGGCGTTTATCCATATTTCTGCACATTTCACTGTTAAGTTCCATTCTGTTACCAACCCAAATTAATCTTAGGACCACACTATATACTCTATTTATCTATGCCTATAAGGAATATGTGATACCAAATAAGGGCCTGTTTGTTGCATGCCAAAGTAAGTTTGCATTTCTGTCATCATCGTCAACTCCAGTAAATTATTGTCTCAAATGAGATCCCATCATCATCATCATCCACGTTTGGCATTTTGGTTTTACATGCTTTCCTTGCTGTTTATTTACATCCAACTTCCAGTACCTTGTAATCTCATTCAATTACTTATACCAATTAAGTATTTTGAAGTTTCTTGGATGACATGTTCTTGCTTTCACATATTTCTCATATGTATATATTAAGAATTTTCCCATTACTTCTTTGTGTTATAGAATTGCCACTTTATAGTAGTTGAATGAAATTGTCTTACATTTTGCAGGGAGAGTGATCTACCACTGATTGTGGCCATTGACTTGCAGCCAATGGCTCCTATAGAAGGTGTTATTCAAGTCCAAGGAGATATAACAAATGCCCGGACAGCTGAAACGGTATGGAGTTCATTTTTGGTCATCTATGCACAGGCATAATACATATGCTAGTGTACTTTTTGTGTTTTGGTTTTTGTTATTTTTAGGTGAAGTAGTTCCCTTCTATTTTCTTATATCCTTTGTTCACACAATATGCATTCAGTACCTATATAAAATATATCTTTGTTCTCAGGTCATTCGACATTTCGATGGAGGGAAGGCTGATCTTATTGTGTGTGATGGTGCACCTGATGGTTAGTGGAATAACATCAGCCTCTGCTTCTCATATTATGCATGTCTGATCCCTGATTGTGCTACATCTTTTAGTGACTGGCCTGCATGATATGGATGAATTTGTGCAGTCACAGCTCATATTGGCGGTTAGTGTTCTTATTCTTCACTGCTGGCGTAATGTTATTTGCGTTCGTATGCGTGCCGTAAATGCTGTTTTTGTTGCTGTAGTATGATGTTAAAAGAGCCTGGATAGCAAACAATATGTAGGAAATAATGCATGTTATTAATTTTCAGTTGTGAAATGAAGCATTCTAGCAGGATAAACAAACTGTAATAAAATCGCTCTTTAATCTCTCTTCTATCGGAAAATTTTCCTTTTTCCTTTTTAATGCCACATTTTTCTAGTAAGTTATTTCCTTTAAACATTGCTTTTAGCATTTCATTATATGACCATTCTTTTATTAATATTTCTCAAATCATATCCTTGCATAAGCGTACACGAAACATAATTAATTGCTCATACATCTAGCTCTAATGCCAGCCGATGTCCCAAATTTGCCTGCAGGGTTTAACTATAGTTACACATATACTGAAAAAGGGTGGAACATTTATTGCAAAAGTATTTCGAGGAAAAGATACTAGTCTCCTTTACTCTCAGGTTTGTCATAGCATCTTGTTCATATTTAACGGTAAATATAGGATTTCAGTGAGATTAATGTCTTATTTTTCTATAGTCATCCCCTAATTTATTAGCTTGTAGCATTGTGATGTTATATGCAACACAAGCTACATAAAACAAATTGTGAACAATAGCTATCGAATTGGATGGTTGAATTGGGATCAGACACTCTGACCAAAGTACCCGATGACCAAGTGAGATATCTAATGATAGGATCATAAAGGATTCGGCATGATTAGTTTCAGACATGAATTAAATTTGGAGGACAATAAGAGAGAAGTCATAGGACTATTAAGCCCTATTCAAAGGCATTGCAAGCAAGAACTAGTGGATAGTGCAATCAGTCATCAATGGAGGACTTAACTGCTTGACAAGGAAGTTTTCAAATTGATGCGATCAAGAAGTTATCATGTAGAGGAACTCTTTGCATGTTTCTTAACCACTGAAACCCGATCTCATTTAAATAACACCCGGCCTCAGAATACTAGACATCTTCTATCGACCTCAAAATTTAGAGAAATTTTCTTGGAGATCACCTACTTTATTTTCTTGCATATTAGTTTAACATAGTCTTTTGAACTCAGAAGCTTAACTTGTTCAAAAATTCAAGTTTGGACATTCATTACAATTTCACTGTTTGTTTGTTAATTTTCCGGACTTAACACTAATGAATTCTGATTTAATGCCTGGTTGGTTGTTGCAGCTAAAATTATTCTTCATGGAAGTGACATTTGCTAAGCCTAAAAGCAGTCGCAATTCAAGCATAGGTACATTTTCAATTTTCAAATCTTCGGTTCTGTTTGGTGTGCATCCTCTTATCATTGGTGAAACCCATACATATAATTTTTTTTTCTGATGCAAGTCTTATTTTAAGTTCGAGACAAGAAGAATCTAGTGTTGTTTAATGGAATGTGGTTGTAGTCATCAGTTTTTTCCATAGAAGTATGTACAACAACCATTGGTTCTCCTGCAGAGGCATTTGTTGTGTGCGTGAATTACTCACCCCCCGAAGGCTTTAGAGAAGAAGATCTGTACCGCCTCCTGGAGAAAGTCGGAAGCCCTTCAGGCATTCTTGATGATGATCATCAAGGTAATGTAATGTGCAATGATTCTTGGCATAATCAATGAAACAATCCCTCCTCACATGCGAAAGAAATGCCATTGTCAGATTGCAGCAGTGCTTGGTTGGAAGGGCCGAACAAGGTGTATATTCCATTTTTGGCGTGCGGGGACCTTGCTGGATATGACTCTGATCGTTCATATCCGCTCCCAAGAAATCCCGATGGATCTTATCGGACATTAGATCCCGTGCAGCCTCCCATTGCACCGCCGTATAAACGAGCTTTGGAAATGAGGAAAGCTTCAAATCATGGCGTTCAAGTCAGCCTGGAAAAACTTGGCCTTGATCCCTGAGTTTGCTCATCAAGGTATGCATTTTAATTCTATTATAGATACTTGTTATTTGTTAGATAGGCATCATAATGAAGCTGATATTGGAAATTATTGTCATTATTATTATTAGAGGGAGATTTTGTCATTCTAAGTAGAAAGAAAATAGCTTACTGAAATTATATGATAAGAAATAAGAATAAGGCAATGATGACTATGGTAGGAGTATATACCTGAAATTTTAAATATTGTAAATTATATACATATTTTTAACATCATATGTATCAATGAAGTTGGATTGGGTATATGATGTCAATCATGGAACCAATTTTCGATTTAGATTTAAGAGATTGATATTTTTGCCTTTTGTTTGTGTATAAATTAATATGTATAATAGTATATTAATAATTTAGGTAAAAATTAAAAATATTTTGATATTAATATTTGATTATTTCTACTAAAATAATAAATGAATATTTTTTAAATTTTTTTATTTTTATAAAAGAAAAAAGAAATGAATATTTTTAAGTAACTAGAGCCTCAGTAAAAAAAATACTTAAATTAAGATGGAGGAGAAAGTATTATTTTATCTCATATAATATTACTCTCTCCCTCCCACATATTCTGTCACTTTTTTTTAAAAAAAAATAATTACACTTTTTAATCTCATTTTAAATTTTTTAGTTTTTTTTTTTTTCAAGTTATGTTAATCTTAATTTATAATTATTTATATTCTAAGACAATTATTTTTACTAATACATACTTAATTATTTACTAATTACGTCCTCTTAAAATATCATTTCAACGGTTTAGCAGAGAAGTGTCTGACGGAGGGTGTATATTATAATAATATTTAAATAAAAATTTAAATCACAACCAAATTAATCCGTGATATTTTGGTAGAAACAATAAAATAAATTAGTATTATAAATAAATAGTAAAATTGGGCTGTCATCGGCGTATCTCTATCCATGGGCTGTAAAGTTGGGCCTGGTTATCGGGGGCTTCAAATTTTGCGGGGCCATATGAGTTCAAAGATTCTGTGCAGGCATCCGCACCGCACGTGACTTTTTGGCCATATGTTTGGCTGTTTGTAATTTGTAGGGCACTCCCATTTGTTTTAAGGTTTGGATCATGCGATTAATTTATCCAAATTTGAATCTGGAATAAAATAAAAAATAAAAAATAAAATATTGTAGCAATAATTTATATGTAACGTCACATGTTCCCAATTTTAAATTAGTACAGTAAGACAGACAATGGACAAGATGCCTCAAATAATGCTACTACGACTTTGAAAACAGCCAACAATTATAAGCAAGTGAAAAAGACGTCTCAATAAGTCATCTACTTTTCCTAAATAATTAGTTAAAAAAAAAACGAAAATAAATATATATTGATGTGATATTTTAAATATAATTTTTTTAATATAAAAATTAAAAAATAAATATTGATTTTATATTTTTAAAATAATTTCTTTTTTATTAATAGTTGAAATGTCAAAAAATTTGATAAAAAGGGTGTGTGTGTTTGGATTTTGAGCAGTAAAAAAGTTGAATTTACTGTTAAATATATTGTAAATAGGTATTATTTTGTTGATTCAAATATAAAATTAATTTTATTTTTTTTCGTCCCGAAAGAATAGGCTAGATTGCGTTGGACACAAAATTTTAAAAATATTGATATTATATCAAATTGGTAAAAATATGAATAATAAACTTTTTTATATTTGTAAGTGTTTTAATTTAAGTGTAATAAGCAGTCTATTAATAATAAAAAAATTAAAATTATGATAGATAATGATTGTTTGTTAAGACGAGACTACTCTCTAAAAATGAACAAAAATGGTAAAACATGATTATTTATGAAATTGATACCGGAAAGTATAACGTAAAATATATATATATATTTAATGTTTTTTAAGAACAAAATAGCAAAATTTGATGGTATATTAAGATATAATTAGCCTAGTAGCTAGTCCTTTCTAATTTGAAATTTAATTTTTCTAAACATTAATTTAAATGTAATATTTTTTAAAAAAAACATTTTTTTATAAAAGAAATACTATAATTATATACAATAATCAAATCCTAAATAAAGACACTCTTTCCCAACCAAACACAACACCATTTATATTTATAGTTAATAATACTCCCTCTGTCATGTGTAATATGGGTCTATTCGTGTAAATACAAAAATTTAGGTACAATATAATTAGTAAATAATTAATAAATGTATTAGTAAAAATAATTATTGTACAATAAAAATAATTATAAATTAAGATAATTAAATAATTTAATTAAATTTTTAAAAAATTATAAAATTTAAAATGCTACTACGGCCATCCACAACACAGAAACCCATCCAGGGTTTCTTCCCATTCTCTCTCCTGTGCCACGTCAGTTTCTCTCTCCGCCACGTCACGAAGAACTCCAACTATATTTTACATTCACATCAAAGAACCCTTTAAAATCTTTACTTTTTCCACCTCATTAAATATTTTATCTATTTATAAAGTAAACTTATATTTTTTCATTATATTTTATTCTTATAATATTTAATTAAAATAAAATAATTATTTAGCATAAATAAATAAAATAAATAAAAATAATAATTTCACACTTTGCATAATAATTAAAGTTAAATATTTAATTTTTTTATTCTTGAAAAATATATTTCAAATTATAAATATTAAATAAAATTTTATATAACAAAATTAGAATATAATATTTTAAATAAAATAAATTATTATAAATATAAATAAAAAAGTATATATTATAAATATTATTTTTAATATTTATCGAATAAAAAAGTGGACCATGGCCCACAAAAATTGGAAGAAACGGTACACTCGCACTGTACCGTTCCTTATGTTAATTGGTGTTTTAATTTTTTTTTATTTAATAAATGATGACGTGGGAGGCGCTTCTCAACAAGCGTCTCCCGTTGTGGATGCCCTAAAGTCTATAATCATATTTTTTTTTTAAAAAAAAAAAACCAAATTACGTGGAAAGAGAGAGGGAGTACTATTTATATTTTTGGATTAAAAAATTTATACTTCATTGTCCCAATACAATAGTCTTATTTATCATTTTTATCCGTTCCAAAACAATAGTCTTATTTTCTCATAAATAACCATATAACCATAAAACTATCCTTATTTTTTCATTTTTATTACACAATTGCTATTACTTTTTAAGATAATACAGCAAAAAAATTTTTTATCCATATTTTTTACTAACTACTAATATAATATTAATATTTTTTAAATCGTTCAACGAAAGAATAGACATATTTATATTAAATAAAAATAATTATACAAATATTATTCGATAATTTGAGCTGATAAGACAGCATATGTGGCAAATGTTTCCAGCACCACATATTGCTACAAACAAAAGCACTCTCCACTGCGCAGAGACCCATAATTAAGTGGGCCCCACGCACGCATTCTATTGGGCCCACATAAGGCCCATTATTTTATTGTTATTTACAGCCGTCCGATTGATTGTGAAAGAAAGCCGAATGTGCATCTTCATTAATTAACAGACAACCTTCACATTTTTTCGCGGGTTTTGTTTTTCACCTTCTCTGAGGCATTTGGAGTGCGGTTTCTACGTAGGGATTTCTACACTGTGGGGCTGTCGATGTTGTGGCTTCTTCGGAAACGAAGATCTCTTGCTCACGGTTGAAATCCTGCCCTCGATTTTTATGTATTTATTTTCGCATTGTGCTCGTTGTTAAGTTTTTTGTTTTTTGGTCTGACATTTTTAGTTTTTCCCCCTTTTTTGGTCTGAAGGTAGTGATAAATTGTGTAAGACTTTGTTGCGAGCTGCAATTTGTGTGGTTCTTTATGTTTGGTATATAATTTTGGTTGAATTGTTTATCCTGGCGCTTGTTCTAGACCTGTGTTAATTATTGTGTTTTTTTTGCTTTATTTTGCTGTGATTGAGCTTCTAATTGCTTGGATCTGTGCATTTTCCTGATTTGGATGTGGAGGATTGGCTATTTAATGTGTCTGCCTTTTCTCGATGGGATCTGTGTTTGAATGTTTTCTTTTTCCCTTTGCTTTTATTTTACTCAATCTAATGTTTTTAAGAAAACTTCTGATTAGTGAGCTTGGGTGATGTAATTACTGCTCGCATGTCTGTCGAAACACGTTTTGAGTTTTATCTGATGCGTCTTACTAAGTTGGAATTACCTGCTGCAAAATTGTAATCAATATTGAACCTAGAAAGCCCTAAATATGAATAATTGTGCTTCTAGCAGCTCCTTGTAGTTTAATTTCAAATGTTCATAGTGGCTTTCTTAGATTATTTCAAGAGCAAAATTAGCCAATTGATAGGTCATTGATAGAAGCCAGTCATTTGTTTTGTTTATCCCTCCTTGATTTGATCTAATTCGTTAATCAAGACTTTCAAGGCTGTGAACACAGCTCCATTTAATTACCATGGAATTATTGATGACATTTTTTGTTTTACAGATTCAAATAGTTCAACTGATACTTAGCTGCGGAAATAGAGCAGACATCCCGAAAACATTCATCCTACACATGTTAAGAAGATCGATGAAGATATAATAGCAACGGTTTCTGGGATGAAGCTTGACTGTGAGATTGCAAAACCAGGCTCTAAGGAAGTCTTTCAGTCTCAACCCAAGAATAAGTACAGATGCTCTCTTCTCCAGCCTTACCCTGCCATTGATTGTAAGTTAAGACAGGCTGCAAATTCCGGGCAAGCGGTTCAATCTGGTGACAGCGACGAACTCATCAAGCACATGTCTAATTTACCCGGCTTTCTCCGACAAGCAGAGAAGGAAAAGACTGTTCAAGAGAAGGCACTTAATTTTGGTGTTCTTGATTGGAAGCGATTAGAGAAATGGAAATATACCGAACGCATGCCTGGAAGATCTCCCAAGAAAACACCATCAGCAAGTGTGCCTCCTAAAATGTGTCCGAGCTTCAAGAAGCACCAATCTTCTCAATGGCAACCTCCACCGCTTCACAGGACAGACTACAAAGATGTAGGCCTCCAAAATTTTCGTCAAAAGGTTGAGCTGTGCCAGAGAAGCTGTTCAAAGACAAATGTCAGCAGCAGCAAAAGGAAAGATCCATGGAAAGTGAATTCATTGCCGGAGCAGAACAAACATGAGACTGCGGTAAACACTGATGAAGTGAAATTTACAACTGAATGCTCTGCAGAGCCACAAAATAATTTGCCCGGGCATTTGAACAGTTACTCGCAAAGTTCTCAGCTTATGCAATCAAGGGCTTCATATGATGGTCAATTTTCGGATGTGGCGGTGAACACATTATCAGATTTATTTTCTGCTGAGCATACGCCCAAGCCGGACAAGACAGCAACATCTACTGCAATTGATTTGGATCTTCGTACCAATGCATCTGAAGGTAAATGTCTGATGATCCGAGTAGAGACAACTAGACCTTCAACCGAACAACCTGTAGTTAAAGGAAGAGCTCCCTCACCTACGCGTCGCTTTAAGGAGAGCTCAGCTACTCCACAATTGAGTTCAAGTGTCAAATCAGGACAAGTGAAACCTGAATTTTCGTCCGAGAAGGAAAGTTCCAATGGCAGAGGGCAGTCAAGTCCTTTACGGAGATTGCTGAACCCATTGCTGAAGTACAAAGCGACTCAATCTTCCGTTAGGACCAAGCCTGAGGCTGAGGTATCTCGTATTCAGGCACTTTTACAGCTGACGATGAAGAACGATCTCCCGTTCTTCAAGCTTGTAGTCGACAACGCTGAAGACATGCTGGCAGCGGCTGTCAAGACGCTGCCGACAACCGGAAAGAACGATCCTTGCATGATCTATACATTCTACTCCGTTCACGAGATTCGGAAAAAAGGCATTAACTGGATCAGTCAAGGATCTAAGAGTAAAAACTGCAGCCTGGGCTACAAAATTACCGGCCGAATGAAGATTTCCAGCTCAGCCGAGGATTACGATGCATACAGAGCAAGGGAATGTGTGCTATACGGTATCGATCCAGACGTACCTAACAAGGAGATTGCAGCAGTGATCGTGAAAAGTTCGATCAATTTTCCGCGGTTTTCTTCAACTGGCGCTACGGTGGCTATCCTTCCCGGGGGGGTTCATAGTACACCGATTAAAGGCATGCCTTCGTCCTTAATTAGCAGATGGAGATCTGGAGGACAGTGTGATTGTGGCGGGTGGGATGTCGGCTGCAAGCTGCGAATACTCGCTGATCGTAGGAGGAGCAGCAGCGTTCTTCAAGCATCGGTTTCGAGTTCTGATGTCGATCGCGTTAATCTTTTCTTGCAGGTACCTTCTCTTCGAAATTTGATCAAATTTAACAATATATACTGTTGGTTTACTCCAACACGGGTCGTTCAGGCTCTGATATTATGCTAAACGACCATTTCACTTTAAAATGGTAAGCGTTTAGGCATACCATTTAGGTTTGAGGCTTTTTGACATGGTATCAGAGCCCAGGACGTATTGAGTGATTTTCCGTAATAAGTACTCTCTCGAATTTAGGAGTGTAATTAGTAAATAATTAAAAATGATAGTGAAAATAATATTCTATAATAAAAATAATTTTAAACTAAGATTGAGATAAGTAATTAGTCTAATTAAAATTTGAAAAATTACAAAATAAAATTTTAAAATGAAAGTAAATTTTATAATTTTTTAAGAAAAAGTGACAGAATAAGTAAAATAAGCGAAAATGAAAATATGAGCATGGTTAGATTAAAGTTTTAGGTTAAATGGTCGTTTAACATATATATTAAAGTTAAATGACCATTTCACTTAAAAATGGTAAGCGTAAGGTTATATGGTTTTTTAACATGGTATGGTGATTCTGTAATAAATAATACATTAAAGTTTCAGATGAAATCGTCATTTAACAATCGATGTTGTCAGGGTGATGAGCTAAAGAGCAAGCCTGTTTTCAGCTTGGAACCATTAAGCAACGGACTCTACTTGGTCGAACTGGATAATTCGTTTTCGTTGTTGGAGGCTTTCGCGACGTGTGTAGCGCACGTTACCTGTTCGAAATTTCCGGAAATTGTCGACACAAAGTGTCAATCAGATGCGGAACATTTTCCAGAAACGCCAACAAAATTCCAAGTCCAACTCTCGGCTAAGTACACGACTTGCCCGCCCCTTTCTCCGGCAGGAAGGATTTGAAAGAGTTTTTTTGGCTCGTCGGGTATCTGTACTTTAAAAAAAGTCAGTCTGTTTACTCTCAGCATTTCTCAATGGAATAATTTTCCATACATATTATTTAAAAAATGCAAAATATATACGCATATTAATATAATATATATGTATCAACTCATAAAAAGTCAACGCAAAATATTTTTTATATTATCAACACAATTTTTTGTATCACATACTAAAAATCTATTAATCTAAAAAAATGCCAAAAAATCTATCAATCTAAAAAAATATTGACTGAATAGATGAGTATCCTGGTAGCACCCCTTCTCTTCTACTATCAAGTTCAAATTGAAAAGAGGATGATGCCTATATAAACACTAATCTTCACATATTATTCAGGAAACAAGCTTTGCTCTTGCAATGTTAGTATTTAAAACACTTATCGTATCGGATTCGTATCAATACTTGATACGTTTACTATCACGTCAGAATGAATAATTTAAAATCGAATTTTGTTTAAGTTAATATATGAGCATATTATTAAATTATAATTATTTTACTATATAATAGATATATTAATCAATATTGATATATTATAATCATAATCCGACCAGTTTATCCTTGTATCGGATTTGTAAAATTTGTGTCAATCCGTATATATATTCGAATTAAATTTTTTTATTCAAATCCAATTATTTCATATCAGATTCGTGTTGAATTGTCGGGACAATTTCTGGCAGCTCTAAAGCCTATTTATTCACTGTTGTCTGTACATTCGGACACTTATTCTTTTCTCATAGAATGCAAAAACAGCAGCAGCAGCAGCAACAACATTACTTTCAAACACTACAAGTCGAAACGTCGGGTTCTCGATCGATTGTAATAACGTACGCATGCTCGATTTTAGATTTTAAATATCGACATAAGAAGCGTGATGAATGCATATACACCACTGATCACCAACCTTCTCGAAGACATTAGTCGCGAAATGTCGACCCCAGCTGCTGCCCTTAGTCCTAACCATTTCGATGCACGTTACGTAACCGACATCGCCCCTGACATGAACCTGCACGTCTTTGATCTCGATTTCCAGAGGGAACTCGTAATCTGCCCACACGAATTCCCAGCTCCCCATCACGAGATCGTATCCCGAAATGCCGCTCACCCCGGGGTGCACGACGCAAGCGTGCTCGCCCTTCGACCACAGGGCTTGCATCGCAGCTAAATCTCCAGCCCGGAACGAGTTGTAGAATCGGGCGTTTGCGGCTAATACAGATGATTTGATATCCTCCTGCAGATGTCGGAGACTGTCGCGGATTTTTGCTGCTTGGGCATAGTTCTCTTCTTGGATCGCGATCTCCAGTTCCCGTTCCAGAGTTTGCTCGTTGAGTAGAATGCTTTCGCCGCTTAAGGACCCTCCCGACTCTTCCCTTGTCACGTGACATGGTATCGTCGAATGCCTTCTGGATTCTTGCCCGAAGTGTTTTGCGCTGAAATGGGTTTTTCATCGAAATGTCAAAACTCAATTGGAATGGTTTCTTGCTAAAAAATCTATACCAAAAGCTCGACTTCAAATGGACTTGATAATATGACTATAGGAGAAACACTTGAAATTTGAAACCAATTAGATGAACTTAGGCCATATTCACATTGGTGAATTTTATTCTTAAATGACAATCTCACTTAAAAGTTTAAGCTAGTTAAAAAATACATTAGGGTGTGTTCGTTTGTAGAATTTCAACAAAATTCTACTATTCATCCAATTTTTTCCCCCCAAAAACATCAAATCAAATACCTATTTTTTATTTTTTATATTATACTAAAAATTAATTTTACATTCAAAACATCACATCAACACCTATTTATATCACATCATACAACTATTCAAATTCAAAATTTTTACTATTCAAATCCCAACTCAAAATCCAAACACCCAAACAAACACACCCTAAATGTAAAGCTTAAGAAATACATTATTTACATATTATACAAAAACAGTTATTAACTTAATCATACATTCTTCATCTACAAGACAACTGAAAAAAAAAAAAAGTAAAAAAAAGAAGAAGAAGAAGAAGAAGAAGAAGAAGAACTTGATACAACAATTATATGGCATCCTCTCGGGTGAAAATGTACAGTGAAGGAAAGCTTTGAAGAACAAGAAAAAACTTTGAAGAACATTGCTATGGCATCCAAAGTGAAAATGTACAGTGGAGGAAGACAGACAACATTCTCTAGCCATAAGAGAAGTGTAATTTAATTTTAAAAACAAGAAAACTAGGAAGAACATTGCTATGGCATCCAAAGTGAAAAATGTGCAGTGAAGGAAGACATGCATTCTTTATCAACAAGAAAGCTGTAATTTAATTCTAAAAACAAGAGAACTAACTGAATAAATCTATGACATCCAAAGTGAAAATTTACCTTGAAGGAAGACCATCAAAACCAGGACGAATTTTAGCTCCTCTGGCGCCATTTCCATTTGAAACTATGCAGCGTCGCTTACGAGGCAAATTGAGGAGATTACTCGCAAGAAGTCCACCATTGTTGATGCACGAACCAGGCAAATGTCTGCTTTCTCCGGTAGCAGACATTGACTACAGCCAAATGATCAAGCAACACGAAAAAGCAAAAGAAATCAGAATAAATTACCACAATCACACACAAAAAAAAAATAATAATAATAATAAATGTAAATAGCTGTGTGAGATTGGATGAGAAACTGGATTTCATACATTCCTAAGAAAATCATTTCACAGTCGCGAAGGACACATCAAATTCGAATCCAAAAATTCACTATTATGCTTTCGTATACCAAACACCGACTTCGCGAATCAACTGTACGAAGAACGAAGGGCAAAAACACAGAAAACAAATACGACAAATTGAACAAATTAGTTAATACCAGAAAATTCACAGAACGTCAACGAATACTCACAACATCGCTAGCATAGCTGGAGAGCCTCGCATGATTTATTCCAGAATTCGAACACAGCGCAGAAAATTTCGAAATTTCCATTGCAGAAACCGCCAGCTTCCAACTGAAGTGAGTCAATCAAGACGTTGTTGCAGAAAATTCGGCCAATCGAAAACCCTAGAATGCCAAAAAACCTCCACAGGTCGTTCGAATTTCGATAAGGAAAATCTCACATTCGTCCTTTGACTGGTAGGAGAGAGATCACGGGAGATATAGGTGCCACCAAACGCAAATCTGACCGTTCATTTTGGTGAGATCTGATCAATTGGGCTGGGCCGAAATTTCTTCTAATAGTAATTGGGCTCTTTTGAACTGCTTTGGGCCTGAACTACTACTTATCAATTAGTCCAATAAATATTCGACACGTGTCGATGGCATTAACGGCCCAGAAAAAGTTACAAGTACATTAATTTAATGTTTAGGACACCCTATAGTGATTTTATTCGTAAACCAAAATGATTAAACAATTATATATATATATATATATATCTTATTTTAGAAAATAATTATTGAGATAGCTCTAGAGGGTTGCTTGGTGAATAAATTAGAGAGAAAAAAATATAATCTAAAAAATAAGAATTGATTATTTTATTGATTAAAAATATAACATTTAATTGATAAAAAAGTAATATAAAATTAATTATCATGTATGTGTTTATATAAATAAAATATAAAAAATAATAATTTAAAGAATACCTTAATCAATAAAAAACAAGTTTATCATAAAAATCTACTCCACTATTTATTTATAGAACTTTCAAATTGTGGTTGATGGTGTGATGACAAAGATGGATAATAATTTAATAGATAATAAAAAAATAAAAATAAAAAGTTTTTTCTTTTTAAAATGCAAAATAAAAAGAATTTAAAACAAATTATTATTTTATTTTTTTTCTCACAAATACAAATATATAATCAATTTGTCATTGTATATATGCAAAAAATAATACTTAAATCGATATTTTAATAAACATGCTAAATAATAATTTTTTTTTTCATTTTTTTAATGTATGGAAAAGAATTAAAAAATATAAATATATTTATTTTTTTTCAATTGGCAAACAAATAAATTTATTTCATTGTTCATGTTGTAGTTTCTGTCCGTTCCACATCTTTCATTTTTAAAAAATAATTCCACATTTTAATCTCATTTTAAATTTTTAAATTTAATTTTTCTAAAATTTTAATTAAACTAATTAGTTATATTAATATTAATTTATAATAACTTATACTATATGTTATCTATTTTTAGATATACAATTTTAATTATCTACAAATTATATTTATCATAAATTCCCGTGTGTACGGTAATAAAGACGTCCAATGTGGGACGGAAGGAGTATTTAATTATATATTTCTTCATATTTTGTATTCTACATTAAATTTTAATTACAAATATATAAAAAATTTATATTAGTCTCAATAAAATAGTTAAATATTAGGCGGTTGACCGAATCAAGACCACGATTTTACATGAAACCCAAAGCAAAACACGATTTATTTTATATGGATTGCAATAATAGTCACGGAAAAGAAGAGTCAACGATAATTGGTCAAAATGCTCAACCCGCCATGAGAATCCAAAATGATCCAAAATAGATCAAGATCGTGCGGCTGTAATTCGGCCCCCGATATTGATGTGCGGATGTGATTAAAACGGCGCATTAATTGTAGACATCTCTCCTTTTCTTGCTATAGTTTACAAACCATTTATTGCATTCTAGAACTTGACCGGTGGCTTTTGACCCTTCCGTTATTGACCGGGCCGGGCCGGGCCGGGTTTCAAAGGATAAACTTTTCTATATACACATTTAAAAAAAAAAATAAAATTAATAATAATACAAGTAAAAAAATAATAATTGATTGATGGCCATCAATTATTAACTTGATGAGATATTCCAAAATAGGCTTATTATATGTAAAATGAGTTATTTTTCCACCACTAATATAGGTTCTATTTTTTTTTTATACTATTTGTCAAATAATTTGTAAAGACTGGATAATTAATTTTTTATTTTCTACTTCAAAAATTATTTAAAAAACAGTTTTATATTCATAATATTATTGTTATAGTTCAAAAAATCCATTTCTGACAATACAATGGATTTGACCAGTCAAAAATATATGATAATAAGCTGGTCAATCCTTGTAGATCAAGCTGTGAGACATTCTTCGCTTGAGGGTTGAATCCCAGGTTTAATCTTGGGTGAATGCGTGTGTGCATGTGTTTGATGAAATTCCCGTCTTAATACAAAAATTAAGGAACAATAAAATAAAAATAGCCCTTTTATTAAATTTATTACTCCAAATAAGTATTTTTTTATTTTTTTATTTTAAAAAAAGCACAATATGATGAACTAAAATGAATCTATATATACATTAGAAGCTAAAACTTACACTTACAACTAGTTAGACTACGTTTATGCATAACTAAATTTTACTTGTTGATAATACTATTTATCTACAATGTCATTTAAAAATATATATAATATTTATTTTAATATATATTATCGAAAAAGCCATAGAAGTGGACAATTTATTAGAAATAAATTCGACTCGGTGCCTATAAACATACTGTAATAAGAATGTTGAGTTTGCCATAAATGACTATAAGAAAAAATGATATTACATGTTAACATAACTAACACATCAAATTAAAAATGCAAATGGATTTCCTAAAATATTCTATCAATAACAAAGTTATCATTATTATAGATATTAAAAAAAAAAAAAAAAGCAACAAAAAATTCTTTCATAGAAAATAATTTAAAATATTTTTATAGAAAATAATTTTTTATATAATATTATTTATTACTGATAATTAATTTTAAAAATGAGGTATCTTTATTTTTAAAATTTAATAATTATTATAAAATATTAAAAAATTCAAAATGGCAGGGGCCTGGACTAAACGTGCCCGTGAGTTGTTAACAAATTTGGGGCAGAAAAGCCCACGTTAATTGCATTTATTAATTACTTTTCAAATATTATTATTTTTTTTATAAATAAATTAAAGTGTAATGATGGCCACGTGGATCCAGTTGGTTGAACATTATTGTACTGGGCAGATTTGAGGACCCCCAAGTCCCACAAACAAGCACCAAATGATCCCGGACCCGAACGCCTACAAATAATAGCCGTCAAACTTTGTAGGACCTACACATGAACGGCCAGGATTTGATTTCAAAAGGTAAGTCCTGGGACTTATAAAGTCCCGTTCACAAATCAAGTTTGACAGGTATAGCTCATGGATCCTCGAGCCCGGGTCCCCCGTGACCTTGATTCCACCAACTCTAAAAACTTTCATTTTAAAAAAAAAGAAAAATTAAAAGAAAAAAAATATTTCGAAATTTACACCTTGAAATTGTAAATATGTATATTTATCAATAATCGAGTTAAAAAATTATTTAATTTAAGTAGCTAATGCAGGCTAAAGCCGGAATTTTTTTAAAAAATATTTATGGAAATGGCCAACGGAGCATTGACAAATATCAGAATTTTTTTAAATATAAAATTTTATCGTTGGACGTCACGACCATGGAATAAATAATGGAGCCCAAAAAAATAATAACAATATTGAAATTACGCTTTAATTTAAAAAAATAAAATTAGTACAGCAAGGTAACCGCTGAGAATTCTGGGAGGTCCCGGGACGTTTATTCCAGATGCATCTGCATTGTGGGAAGAGTGGTCTGGAGTAGGAGAGCCGGGAGTTGGGGATATTGGGGGTTAGATAACTTCGAGGATAAATATGAAATTTGATTATCGAGCATATTACAGTGAAGGCAGAATTTCGTTGCTGTTCTTTCTCCACTTTGTCATTTTCTTCGAATTACCGTTTTTCTTTGGAGGCACTTTCCGCCCTCGATCCATCTTCAACCGTCTCTCCGTGTTCAACTCGCGTTAACGCAGTCAAAGGAGACGAATCAAAATCAAAATTAGGGACCTGTATAAGAGATTTGCCACAAGGGTTGGGGGAGAGAGAGAGAGAGGAGAGAGAGAGAGGAGAGCGAAAGGAAAGGGGAGAAGAAATTCGAATCGTCAAGCAGCCCACTGGTTTGTTCTAGAGAGAGAGAAGTTTCGTTTTCACAAAAAAATACAAAAAGGAAGAAATTAATTGAAAGTTTAGGTTATTGAGGTTGAATTAGGGATTCGGCGGTGCTGAAATCGATCGTTATCTGGAGATATATTCGATTGGAAGCAGGAAATTGTTGTGGCTCAGATCTTGGGAGTGTTAAATCCTTTTAATTTTGAGTCAAATTGAAATCAGGAGGTTCTATTTTTGGGATTGGAGGATGTTTGCCGTGAAAATCGGCGGTTTCTGATGTGATATGGCGCTGTTGTTGCTATAACAGAGTAATACGATGTCGTTTTACATAGGTCGCGAAGCTTCGAAGGTCTGCTCTCTCTCTCTCTGTTCAAACGCCTTGATTTCCTCTTCAAATTAATTTATCTTCGGAATCTGATATTGCTGTTTGCTTCTGTCTCGAAGTTATGGAAGAGATTCTGCGCCGAGGTCACCACAGAAATAAACCTTCTCGCGGAAAATTGGAAGTACATTTTTGGGGGTATAGTTTTCCAGGTGAGTTTTCATCGACGACGATCTCTACTTGCTTAGTATTTGCTCGATTTGTGTAACAATACCTTCGAATTCGAAGAGATATGGTTGAAACTTTGGGGAAAATGTTCTGGCGAGTGTAATTTTGAATCCTGAGCGAATTGTTCCATGGATTTCCCAAAATCCATCCTATTTTTCTCGAGGAAGAGAGAGGACATACTTTCTCTACCTGTGAATCTCTGAGAGGATTTCTCGATGATCTTCTGGTTTTTTCCAGCTCTGTTGAGTGCAGATTTTGAAGATCCTTCAACATAGTTCTTATCAATTGTAGTTGGCATTAATTGTGGAGGATTGAGTGGTAGTTATGGCTGCAAACTGAAACTTGGTTGTTACCCCAAGATCAATTTACATCTTTCGGATTGTTGTTGGCATGAGTGTTTGCTCAGTTTGATTTTTGGTAAAACACTTCATCTATGTCGATTTTTGCAGTCGAACATTTCTGGATGTGTTTCCGCAGCTAGGAATGATCAATTTTACTAAGATATCGATGCAGTAATTATTAGCCTTTATTGATTTACTGAGATATCGATGCAGTTTCCGTTCAATTTCGTATTGTCATTGTTGGCGTGAATGTTTGCTCAGTATGATTTACGATAGAACACTTCATCTATGTCGATTTACAGTGGAGCTGCTGAGGATGATCAATTTATACCGATATTACAATGCAGTCATTATTCGCATTTATTGATAAACCTTTTTTTTTTTTTTTTTATCTTCGATGCAATTTCCGTAGTAGAGTCGTTTACTCATGTGAAGTTCTTTTCGTGTAATCAGTACATACACGGCCTAGCAGCTCGAGGCGTTCATTATCTACATCGGCCGGGACCAGTTCTTCAGGACGTGGGCTTCATTCTTCTTCCGGTAACGATATTCTTGCTTTTAATCGAAGAACTATTTCTTAACATGCCTCAGATTATTCTTGAGCTTTAAAATTACGCGAAATTCATTGGATTTTTAGGAGCTTGGGCAAGACAGAGCATACATTAGTGAAAGCGTATTTACCTGCATTTTTCTGTCGTTCGTTTTGGTGAGTTTTCCTCATTTCGAAATTATTTACCGGATTTCATTCATAGTTCACGTTCTCAACGTTTTTACGGTTCGCACAGTGGACTTTCCATCCGTTCATACTGAAGAGCAAGAAGATTTACACTGTCCTCATATGGTGCCGAGTCTTGGCCTTTTTAGTTGTAAGAATCGAATCACTTCGATGCAAAATAATCTTAAAAACATAAAATGAAACCCCAAAGTTTATTTATCAGTAACTTATGCTCGATTCTTTTGCAGGCTTGTCAAATTCTCCGTATTTTAACTTTCTATTCTACCCAACTTCCCGGTCCGAATTACCATTGCCGAGAGGTAAAAATAACTTGTTACGGAAAAAAAACAGATCATATACAGAATTTGTAAACAGACGTCTCATTGATATTATATAACTTTTTGCAGGGCTCAAAGCTTGCTACACTTCCTCCACCGAACAGTGCTCTCGAAGTTCTACTTATTAATTGTAGGCTGCGATTTTAGCTTTTCATTCGGTATTTAGTGTTCGATTTTGCAGGGCTCATTTTGTGTTTGTTTATATTTGCACAGTTCCCCGGGGAATCCTTTATGGCTGCGGCGATTTGATATTTTCTTCCCACATGATATTCAGCCTTGTGTTTGTACGGACGTATCATAAGTACGGCACTCGAAAGTAAGAACGCAAGTATTTGTATCGACTAGATTCATTATTATGTTTTAATCTGCTTTTCTTATATATATGTTCGACGTTTCTTGCAGTTTCGTGAAGGCTTTTGCTTGGCTCACCGTCGTAATTCAAAGTTTACTGATAGTAGCGTCGCGGAAGCACTACACAGTCGATGTCGTCGTGGCGTGGTAAGTTTTTTCTACCCCGAAGATTAAATTTAGCATCGATAATTCGAAAACAACTCGATAAAATCTGGCTACTTTTTTCGCTGCAGGTACACTGTTAATTTAGTCGTGTTCTTTCTCGACAAAAAGCTACCAGGTTCGATTCTTTCGATCCCTGTATTTCCTCGTTACCTGCCTCATTTTACCTAAGCTGTAAAAATTTATTACGTTCCTTCGATTGCAGAATTACCCGATCGCTCAAACGCGGCATTGTTCCTTCCTTTGACGAAGGACAGCAAGAACAAGGAAGAAAACCATAAGCTACTTAATGGGAATTCCGGCGACGATTGGGTATGAATCGAACTTGGCTTTTTTATTTTTTCACCGTTCGATGTTTGATTCGAATAATTCGAACGACAGTTTGGATAAAATGTTGCGTTTTTCAACAGCGACCGAGAACTCAAATCAATGGCAAGATCATGGAAGATGGGAATGTTCTGCACGTCGAAGTAGTAAACAGCGCGTAGTCGATTTACGAAGAACATTCGAATCGACTCTGCCGCCGTTACTGCTGCGATATCTAAGGTTCGTTCGTCTCGCTCTTTGATCGATTCGAGAAAATGTGAAAAAAAATTTTAAAATTTTTTTTTTAAAAAAAAAAAAAAGAAAAAAGGGGAAAGAACTTGTAATGTAGATGGTTATGGTGTCGAGTTTCCTGTTAGAGTAAGATAATATATGTTGTATGATGAAAATGGAATTTTCCAGTTGCTCTGCTAATTGCATCAATCCTTTTAATTTAATCTTGTTTTTAATTTAAAATTATTGTTTGGTTCAATTTAATTTTTTCATTCACGAATAGGTATATAAAATAGTACTGGTAAAAGATTTAAATTATAGAAATTGAGTGTATATTTGAATTTTGATGTATAATTATTTTGTAAATTTTTATATGCAATTTGAGGAATTGTTTAGACTATAAATAATTAAATTTTAAGGTAAATTATTTTTTTAGTCTTGTGACTGGATCTTTTATTATTTTAATTCCGTAAATGGAGCCTATCGCAAACTAGTCCCATAAGTAAAAAATTTTTGTTGTTTTAGTCCTCCGGCGCCGGAGACGTCCGCGTGGCTCGCCGGAGGTGACGTGTCTGGCGGGTCACATGTGGATTTTTATTTTTATTTTTTCATTTTTTAAATTTTTTTTAAAAACTTAATTTTAATTTTATTTGTATTTTTTTATTTAGTCCAATTTAAAAAAAATGAAAAAAAAAAAATCCACGTGTTCGCCAAGTGTTGCTGACTTGGCGGGACACCTGGCGGATACGTCACTTCCGACGAGCCACGCGGACATTTTCGGCGCCAAAAGACAAACAACGAAAATTTTTCACAAATGATAAAGGGTCCGTTACGAACTAAAAAAATAGTTTACCCTAAATTTTATAATAAGTTTGAAGTCCTTGTAAAAAATATCCAATGTACGTAACAAAATGTATATCTACATACAATCAATGTGTTTTAGTACATGCATTGAAGTCGCATTGCAGTAAATGAACAGTATAATTTGTTTTTTTTAGTAAAATTACAGAAGATAAGAAAAAAAAAAAGGGGGGTAAAGAATTAAATTATTTTATCGGTCCCAATATAATAGTTTTGTTTATCATTTTTGTCCGTTTTAAAATAATAATTTATTTTCATAAATAATTATATCACCGTAAAATTATTTATTCTTATTTTTTATAAATTATCAATATATAAAAATTTTGTGTCCAACATAATAAGAAACATAATAAGACTGTACTTTTTTTATACGGACGAATTATACAAGAACTTTAATACTGTATTGAATGGTTTAGTTATTTGTTAGGCCGTGATTTGATAGGCAATTAGTTAGGATTTGAATTTAAATGCTGCAAAGTTGTTACCTAACACCCATCATTTTCAAATGACACGCATATATATAAATTAATAAATAAAATTTAAATAGAAAATGTAATAAAATAAAATTTAAGAAAGTACAAGAACGCTGAGGTGGGTAACACGAGCTAAATTCTATAATTAATGGGCCTAGCAAAAATGGCTTATGGCTAATTTGGGCCCAATAAAGATCTGGCTCGGGCCCATTAAGGAATGCCCCAAGACGACGTCGTTTGAGTCGTCTTCCTTCCAGAAATGCAAAATTCAAACATGGCTGCACAGCTCCCAACATGCAATGTTTTATTTTCTTCCTGCAAACAAAACAAATACATACATACATACATATATTTGTACAGCTATCTTTGCTACCCATGTGGATGTTCACACACACACACTTTTGATTCATCCTATATTTCCCAGGTTCTGGTTACAAGGGTTTATTTTTAAAGATTTTAACATAAACTTTTATTTTCCGTGTCCGCATGTGAGGATCAGTTTTTGTATTTTATATTAAAAATATTTTTATATTTATATAATTTTTTTTATAAGTATTATTTTATTAGTATTATAGGACATTAGTAAAAATATTTTTATAAATTTTTTAAAAATTATATTATATTTTGATATAATAATTAATATTAAAAAATTAACATGTAAAAAATAAATGAAACTTTTATAATCGAACAATATAATATATTTTTTCTAAATATTACTCATCCCGACTTTATATATATATTTATTTATTTTTATTTATCCAAGTAAAAGTATATATTTATCTTTAGAACTATTATCAGAGGTATCTTATACTATAATACTTCTAATTTTATACTCCCAGTTTCATTATAATTGAACCCTTTGACCCGACACACAATATTTAAGGTAAAAATATTTAATTAATTAATTAATTATAATAATTTATTATTTTATTATTTTATTTTATTTAATTAATAATATTTATAATTTTAAGTAAATTTAATACATATGATTAAAAAAAATTAAAAATATATATATTTAATATTTTAAATTTTATTTAGCAGTAAAGAAATATATGTAATATGTATATTATTTTCTAAAGAATAAAATTTTTTATAATATAAGTAAATAAAAAAAATATTTTTATTTATTTATAATTAACATAAATTATTTTTATAAAATAAGGTGAAGTTTTTAAATATATATATTTTTAAGGAGAAAGATATAAATAAATAAGTTTTGAATAGGTCGTACGTATTTATGATGTTATATGCTATATTTATTTATTATGTTTTGATTTAATAAACTTTTACCCAAAAAAATAAATGTGTCAATTATTATGGACAGACAAGAATTGAAATGATGTCATTGTGGTGGAACGAAAGAAATATTTATTTATAATTATATAATATACTACTTTCTCTGTTATTAAAATATGTGTTCATTATGTTTGTATTTAAAAAAAAAAAACATAATTGAATAATAGAAGTAGTATTAATTTTATAATAAGTGTATAAATATCTTTATAAAACTAAATACTACCATCTAGTGTTAAAATACTAATAATAAAATAATAATATTTTAATATAAAAATACAATAGATAAAAAGTAAATAAAGTTAAGTAATTAATAAAATATAATAAGATAAATAAGAAATATTGATTATTATAAATTAAAGTATAAGTAATAAGATTATTTATGGATTATACATAAAATTAGACCAAAATAAAAAAAATAAATTCAATGGAGTAATAGAGTATATATATATATAATATTATATCAAATAGTTGGAGCAAACTGAGCTTATCTTGTATATTATACATATTTACGTAGTGTAACTTGTTTTGGCAAGCCATTAAATCTGACAAAAAATATATATAAATATATTAATACAATAATACTCATTCTGTGTCCAAAAAATACCGTCTTGGTATGAATTTTAACATAAATATACTTTTTTTGTCCTGTAAGAGATGTCTTATTAGGCGAACCGGATCATTTGTCCCATTAAAATATATACACACAAGTGTATATATTATACATATAGACGTACATATTTATATATATTATGTGTGTGGGGATAGGTGGATATGGTTTAATTTTGGGACAGAGGATCTCATTGGCTTATTGGGAGTTGACACGAGAATTAGAAAATAATAGTATTTAACTGAAAGTGGGTATAAAATATAATGTAAAAGACTAAAATGTCCTTATTTTTTAAAAAAAGTTTAAAAAAATATGTTATAGTAATAATTAATGATAGTTTGAAAAAGTAAGAATAATTTTATTATAAAATGGAGACCACAGTTATTAAATAAGGAAACAAAATAATTGTTTTGAGACGGACGAAAATTAAAAAATAAGACAACTTTTTTAAAACGAAGGGAATATATGTTTTTGTTATTTTTTATTTTTACAGTAAAAAATAAAAAAATAAAAAAAAATCTTAAATAATTGAATCAAAATATTTTAGCAAGACAAAAAAAGAACAACATATTTTTAAAAAATATAGATAAGAAGTAGAATATTACCCATGTTATTGAGTTAGCGCGATTTAAGTAACAAAGCCCATCAATTTTTTTTTTTTTAAAAACAGCCCCTGGTGGGGTGGGGTGGGGTGGGTAGGGTACAACAGATCACAATATAAGCACAAAATATATATGTCTGTCTGTATGTCTGTCAACCAACGGCCCCTCCCATTTTCTCCCCTCCCCATAGGTTTCTTTAGTCATAACATGGGATATTTTAAAATAATTTCTGTGCATATTAATTTTTTATTTATAACATAGATATGTTTATCCAATTAAATATTCAGTATAATTTATTAAATAATATATTTTATATACTTAAAAAAATAATAATTTAATATAAAATATTATTTTTTTATATTATGATATTTTATTTTATTTTTTCATATTTAACTTCGTGTTTCATTGACATTATATTCATATTTAGTTTATTTTTTAGAATTAAATTTGATATTTTGACTTAAAAAAATAGTTTAAAAGTAAAAAGTATGGAAATTGCATAGTATGTACAAAAATCAAATTAAGAAAAATATATAGCTTTGTTTTTCATTCATTTTTTTTTATATATTTTAAATTTTTAAAATATTTCCAAAATATAAAAAAGGGTTATATTAGACTCACATGGACGATTTTTTCATGTTAGGTGGAGAATTGCATAAATAATTTTTTTTTAAAAAAAAATAATATTTTTCATCGAATATTAATTTTATATAGGAATAAAATGTATAAATATTGTAAGTATGTGTTTGTCATTTATTTTTTGAGAAAATATGGTTATACACTTTAATTATATTTTTAATTTTATATTTCAGAATTTTTAAATTTTTAATTAAATTATTTAGTTATCTTAATTTTTGTATAATTATTTTTACTAAATAACAATTATTTTACTGATATAAATTTTAATTATTTACTAATTATATTTTGGGAAAAAAATATTTTTGTTCTAATATAACCAAAATTCATAAATTTTGGTTTCAATATAAAATTCATCATTTTTTGTCCCAATATAACAAAAACTCATCATTTTTAATCCAAATATAAATTTTTTATCAATTTTAGTCTCAATATAACCAAAACTCATCATTTTTTTTTTATATCAAAATATAATCAAATATTATCTTTTTTGGTCCCGATCATTTTTATTACACGAATTCAAGCGTCGTTCCGCGAAGCGAAAACGGGATTCATCCCGACGGCGATAAGATCATGCAAGGTGTCCGAAAATCCGGGATGTCGATCCTTGCCAACGGCGGAATCATCGATGCTCGAACGGTCGCAACACAGAGACGACGGAATCTGGTGAGCTGTCGATCGAAGCTCTGCTGCGGCGGCGGCGGCGTTATCTTTGGCCTGCCTCGTGGTCTCGCCACCGCCAATCGAAAGAGCTCTGGTCACCATGATCTTGGTCACGTCGTATTGCGAAATGTCGAATTTTGTGACGGCCCCGACTCCCCGGAATTTGATGGTTGCAACATCATAAGCTTCCGCTGCCTCCTCCTATGTGTCTGTCGATAAATATATATATGAACCAGCGGAACCAGTACAAATTCACAGGGGTAAAATATCGATTTTTTTATCGATTCAATGTTTTTTTTTAGTTTATTCATAGTCTACGTCATCAATTTTCGTCGATTTGTTGGCAGTGGGACAAAAAAAGATAATGTTTAATTATATTGAGACAAAAAATGATGAATTTTGATTATATTGAGACTAAAATTAATAAAAATTTTATATTGGAACAAAAAATGATGATTTTTGGTTATATTGGGACAAAAAATAATGAATTTTGGTTATATTAGGACCAAAATTGATAAAAAAAAAAAAAATTATATCGGGACAAAAAATGATGAAATTTGGTGATATTGGGACAAAAAATAATGAGTTATGGTTATATGAGTATTGGGACCAAAATTAATGAATTTTGGTTATATTGGGACAAAAAAATAAATTTTTATCTTATATTTTAACTAAATTTCCATATCTATATTAATAGACCCAAAATATATGAGACTGATAAATAATATTTATTCAAAATATGGTACCCAATAAAATTATCTATGAACAGATCGATATGTATACATATATATTTATATAAACATAAAAATTGTATATACACATACATACATACATACATTCATATAAACATAGCATATATAATAAACACAACCTTATCCTTTGCAAGTGTTGAAAGGATTTTTTTTAGAGGGAAAGAAAGTGGACAAATGGCATGGGGCCCCTCTTGAACCCTAATTCGGTGGTACGAATTATTACACCATTTTCTTGCACACCTATTTGCCCTAACCTTCACACTTCCCTTTTCTCTTCTCAATTCTATTCAATTCAATTGGATCGACACTGTCAAATCATTTCTTTTTTATTTATTTATTTTTCTTTTTTTGGGTTATTTAATTTTCTTTTTTTGGGTTCTTCTCCAGTTTTTGGGGGTCATTATTGTTATCATTCACTCGTACTCATAGGGGCCACCCACCCAGCCATTCTCTTTTATTCCATTATTTTCCATTTCCATTATTGCATTTTTTAAGCTTTTTATTATTTTTTTTTTCACATTGGCAAGAACTGATTTAATTCATAGAAAATGGAGTTGAAATTTAACCTATTGATTAATCAACATTTGTTTATTGCTATTTATTTATTTTTGGTCAAGAAAAAGAAAAGACAGTACAGTGTACAGGAGGATCTGTGGTGCGTCATTGGATTTTCATTTGGACTTTTACGTTGACCTTCAGGCAGAAGAAAATGACCTGACCCTTCATTTAACCTTTCATTATCTTTTTTTTTATTTATTTTTTGGGGACCCAAAAAGAAGTAATCTTTGATGAATGGGCTAAATGAAAATTGTCTTGTGTTAGGGACATTTCTTGATTTAGATTATGGGTTTGATTATTGTTAAGTTGCTGGAATGTTTATGGTGGTTGGAGTTATAATTGATGAGGAGATTCAAGAACCCTAATTTTAAAAACTGAAAAGGGGTTTGTTTGTCATGCTGTGAACAGATGTATCTTTGTAATTGTGAAGAGAATATAGACACACTATGGTTCATTTGCCAAACTGGCAGATTATTATCAAAACAAAATACGAAAGGGGAAAAAGTAAGAACCAAAGAAAGGCCAACTAAGAGAGAGAGAGAGAGAGAGAGAGAGAAGAGAGAGAAGACATGGCACAAAAGAAGAATGATGAGGAAGTTGAAAAGCAGTAACAAAGCAGAAAGGCAAAAACCAGGAAAGAATAAAATATATACATTAAATAAATATACATATTCCTTCAGTCCAAGATTAATCTATTCATTATGGCATTTTGATCTATTTAAAATTAATTTTTATATTTCTATTTTTTAACAGGTAACTTAAGGGTGTGTTTGTTCGAAGTTTGAATTGTTGTATGATATGATATAAATAAATGTTTGATGTGATATTTTGAATATAACATTATTTTTTAGTTTAATATAAAAAATAAAAAATAAGTGTTTTAATTCAATATTTTTGGAGAAAAAAAAAGAGATGAATATAACATTAATTTTTAGTTTAATATAAAAAATAAAAAATAAATGTTTTAATTCAATATTTTTGAAGAAAAAAAATAGAATGAATAGTAAATTTAAAATTCAATCCCTCAAACAAACACACTTAATAAAACTCTAATAAATATTTTACGCATTATTATAATAATACCATCAACTTATTGTTACAATTCTAGAGGTAAAATTGTTTATTCATTCAAAATCCCTGTTTAGATAGATAGGAATTTTTTAAATTTTGGAAGTGTAAAAAAAATAAAAAATTAATATTTGATTTGATATTTTGTAAGAAAAAAAATATATTTGATGTGATTTTTTTTAATAAATAAATAATATCAAATGAGTGAAAATGTGTTGTGTAAACAAAGCCACAATACAGATATAAAATACTACTAATATTTTAAAATTAAGGGGTAAAATATAAACAAATAAATATATATGTAGAATAAAAAAAAATACATGAAACAGAAAATCCTCTTTCATTTTCAAAGCACTAAACACACATCAAAGTGTACCATTGCTCAACAAAGTGGAACACAAGAAAAACAAAATAAATTTAAAATTTTACACTCACCCAACCCCATGCCTTGGATAGATATATATAATAGATGTATATATTATATACACACATATATAATGCATGCTCTTGTAATGTGAAAAGCTGAAAGCTTTTTTTAGCACTCCAGTGAGCAGTACAAACAGCACTATTCTTGGATCTACAAAACCCCAAAAAAATCCCTTTCTCACACACAAGAACTAGAGAGAGAGAGAGAGATTAGCATTCCAAATTGTAGACTGAAGTTAGTTTTCTGATTACCTGATCACTACCAAAATGGGGGCCAAATGCTCAAAGTTTTCCTTCTGCTGGTGGCATTCTCACTTGAAGCCCTCAGTGCTTCAGTCCTCTTCTGATCTGGGTTAGTTTCATTTCACTTCAATTATCAAAAGTCTGCAAAAAATAAAAAAATAAAAAAACAAAAATTGTAAGGGTTTTTTCTTCGTGGGTTTTGGTTAAAAATGGAGTTCATGTTAATGGGTTGTTACTGTAGAGAATGAGGAGAAACAAACATTGCCAAGCTTCAGGGAATATACCTGGGAAGAGCTCAAAGCAGCAACAAATGGATATTCCTCAGACAACATTGTGTCTGAACATGGAGAGAAAGCTCCCAATGTTGTCTACAAAGGTTTTCTTCAGAAAGAAGGCTGGATTGCTGTCAAACGCTTCAACAAATCTGCCTGGCCTGATTCCAGGCAATTCATAGTCAGTAGTAGTTAACATTTTCCTTACCCATTATATTCCATGTCTGATCTCTCAGGTTTCTTCTTCTAACAACAACAGCTTTTGTTTGCTTTCAAGGATGAGGCTAAGGCAGTGGGGAATCTAAGAAGTGAACGTTTGTCAAATCTCATTGGCTGTTGCACTGAAGGGGAGGAGAGATTGCTGGTGGCAGAGTTTATGCCTAATGAGACTCTTGCCAAGCATTTATTCCACTGTAAGTAGGATCCTTACATCCTCAGCCATTTTCTTGATTTAACTTTAACCTTAACAATGGCTGAACGTAAAAACAGGGGAGAGTCAGCCAATGAAGTGGGCAATGAGGTTAAGGGTAGCACTTTATCTAGCACAAGCTCTCGACTACTGCTGCACCAGGGGTCGAGCATTGTACCATGATCTCAATGCTTACAGAGTGCTGTTTGATCAGGTTTGCCACACAATGCCTTCTTCCCATAATCAATCAATTATCAGTCCCTTCTCTTTATCAATCGAGCTTCTCATTTACTGATGATCCAATTGCTTATGTAGGATGGAAATCCCAGACTTTCTTGTTTCGGCCTGATGAAGAACAGCAGAGATGGGAAGAGTTACAGCACAAACTTGGCGTTCACTCCTCCTGAGTATTTGAGAACAGGTTTGCATGGCTTCCACCATTTGGTTAACCTTCTGAGGGTATTGATTGCTCTTTACAGTTTACTTTTCGTCATCTTGCAGGGAGAGTAACCCCGGAGAGTGTAGTTTACAGCTTTGGGACCATGTTGCTTGATCTTCTTAGTGGGAAGCATATTCCTCCAAGCCATGTATTGATCTAAGCTTTGATGGAAGTGTTGGCTAAATCTTAATTAACCTTGATCATAACTGATGCCAATTCGGATTGGTTACAGGCACTTGATCTTATCCGCGGCAAGAATTTCCTGATGCTGATGGATTCGTGCTTGGAGGGTCACTTTTCGAATGATGATGGGACCGAGCTGGTGAGGTTAGCAACGCGTTGCTTGCAGTATGAGGCAAGGGAGAGGCCGAATGCAAAGTCTCTCGTCACTTCTCTCATGTCCCTGCAGAAAGAAACTGAGGTATGATCATGATCATAAAAAAGAAAAACAAGAAGCCTTTAATTTGACAATTGCATTATCCATGAAAGGCTCTTCCGATCACTATGCGAATATAGGTTCCTTCCCATGTCTTGCTGGGAATTCCACAAGGAAATGGAGACAATAGTCAGCCATTGGTACTGACACCAATGGGTGAAGCATGCTTAAGAATGGATCTCACAGCTATACATGAATTATTGGATAAAGCTGGATATAGAGACGATGAAGGAATAGCAAATGAGGTCGGATTTCATCTCTTTCTGAGCCTCATTTCCTGTCAAGAACAAATTGCATGTATATATATACATATATGTTTATGGGGTTACCTTTTGATGCAGCTATCTTTTCAGATGTGGACAAACCAAATGCAGGAGACTCTGAACTCCAAGAAGCAAGGGGATGCAGCTTTTCGCGCCAAGGATTTCATGGCTGCTATTGACTACTTCACACAGGTATGAACTCAAGAGAATTGCTATTGCACTGTTCGGTTTCATTCATTCTATTAATTGATCTTTCATCTGATGGTGCAGTTCATAGATGGTGGAACAATGGTGTCGCCTACCGTGTATGCTCGCCGCTGCTGGTGCTACTTGATGAGTGAAATGCCTGATCAAGCTTTGGCAGATGCTGTGCAGGCACTGGTGGTGTCACCGGATTGGCCTACGGCCTTGCATCTTCAAGCAGCTTCCCTGTTTACGCTGGGGATGGAAAATGAAGCCCAACAAGCTCTGAAAGAAGCCACAAACGTGGAAGCCAAAAGAAACAGAAGTTAAAGAATGTATATATATATATATCCGCTACCTATCATATCTACCCTACAAAATTCAGTCTTCACTCACTCAGTGAAAACCAGAAGATTATTTGGAATTGATTGCTGATTTTCACTTTTCTTCTAATTTGTAATCTTCAGCTCTCTTTCTCTTAGACATCATGAATTATGGAGTGAAAGAAAGTTTTGTGGAATCTTATGGAGCCTTTCTTGAACAGATGCTTTATAAGTTTCAGTGCTGACAAGAATTAGGATAAGTTAACATAATCCTTGGAAAATACAATGAGACCAAGTTGAGGGAACCTTTCATACACTAAAGTTCAAAACTAAAGAACCTTTGTCCAAGAAATAGATCCAAAAATTGGTCACACATAATGTATGATGTTGACTTATACGTATGAAGTTATAGTACTATGTTTAAGAATTGATTTCACCAACACTACAATTCATGAACCTAAAATCAGCAAGACATGAAAACATCTGTGATTGCTATGTATTTATTAATAAATCAGGTCCTTCAATAATACTTCCAAAATAATGACAAAATGATTCCTATCAAGATCATTCATATCGACTATCAAATTTCCCTCACATTTACTTCTCAGCAGTTAGCCGATTAAAGATGGTCACCTGCAACAAATAAACACAAATCGCCACGAAGAGAGTTATAGTGGCTACAATAACAAAGTTTGGCCACTAAATCGAACCTCTTCAAATGATTCATACTAACATGGCAACACAAAAACATACAAGGGATTCTCTATGAAGATCCTTAGAAGTACATTCAATAATATCCCAATCTCATAGATCGCGCCTGTCAGTCATGTTGAAGGGGAAATGCTTGAAAATGAACAAGCCTATTGCTTACAAGCCCTGAAGTTAATTGCAAGAATGATTGTTAACATGAACTTGTACAATGCATAAAGGATACTAAACAAGAAACCGAGTGTGAAAACTAGCTACTACTTTAAAATGCTTCGATCAACACACCTACTTTCACCCATGTTTAATTCAGAATCCTTGTATCTAGAAACACAGTGGCTTTTTAAGAGCAGCCTGAATCAAAACATTTGAAGTAAATTGAAAGAACATCATTTAAAGACTACTGTAACTTATAATGTTCCTACACCAAAATCTACTTGCTTCAAACAGCATGAACAATAGCTCTGCGGTCCATATGCTGAATTCAATTCATCAGTATACTCCTGCAAATCTTCTCCACTTCAACTTATACCAAACAATTCAGCAACTCATAAAACAATAAACCAACAATGACAATCCCAGCGTTCATAAATTCCACAATCCGATCATTAAAAACACCAAATAGAACACGAAATTAATCAGAGCAAAGCATTGATCAATTTTCGCGTGTGAATTACTTCCACAAGCGCATACGGTTACCTTCTTGTTAAACATATCCACTCAATACTCCATCTCCTTCACCATCATCCCAATAATATGCACAGAACCCAAAAAGAGAAATAATCAATTTTTATGTATCAAAATTCACAAAAAGTATAACATCTTTGTGGAGAAAATAAAACAAGTACCAGTTCCCTCTCAAAAGCAGATGGCGTGAAGCCATCCGATCAGCAACAGCGATACACGAGCTAACGCCACAATCCAAATTCAATTATGCAAATCTTGAACCGCACAGAGCAGACAAAAGCTCAATCAGTTCCCTCGAAACCCTAATTTGCGCGGAACAGTCCAGAGATATCTAACCATTTTTAAAAAAATAATTAAAAAAAAGAACACTTTCTCTACTTCATAAAATAAACTAAAATTAAAATAAAATCAGCCTATCTATTGCTTGTCTTGTCATTGTAGGAGAAAAAAAAAAAAAAAATCGTTATACTATAAAGTCTTTGTAATATATATATTCAAATTGTTTAACAAAACAACTGCTTCATTAGTCTTTAATGCATAAATATGTACTTCCTCCTTCCCAAACAAAAACAAGGTGCTAACATTTGCTTTGGCACGGGTTTTTAGGTGGGTAGGTGATACGATGGAGAGAGAAATATATATTTTAGTTTTTTATTTGGATGATGCAAGGGGATGAAGTGTGGGGTAGGGATTAAGTGTAATTAATTATTTTCTATTTCGAAAATGTTGCAGTTTTTTTGGGATATACCAAAAAAAATATTGCAGGGTGTTTGGGACGGAGGAAATACTATTTAATTTATATAGCAATAAGTAGGCAAAAAGTATTTTATGTTTTTTTTTTTGTTATGACATGAGAATCCGCAGTCGCTACCCAAAAGTGTGCACTCGTTAAACCTAAACCTTAGATCAAACTTAATACCTTGTCAATCAGACAGACAATTTTATGTTTTTCTTTTGATAGAATAGTTTAGATGCATTGTTTACCTGACAAAATAGTAAATTAGAGGGAGAATTATGAAGATTAAACGGTATTTCATTTCTTATTTAAATTTTTTTTTTTTTTTTTTTGCATTAAAAAAAAAGTTATTTATTTTAAACTATTCATATGATTTTTTTTACTATAAAATACATGAAATATAAATTATTATACTCCCTCCGTGCAAGATTGCCGTTTACTTTTTGCACGTAAATTTTTGAATATTAGTATTATAATAAGTTGTAGTGAAAAAAACGAAAATGCTCTTATTAGTATTGTGTAATATAGAAGTAACGACATTTGTATAATATAATGTAAGTTGGAATGATATTTATTATGTTAGGTAGACAGTATAATTACTAAATTAGGAAACGATAACCTTGTTTTGGAAGAGACGAAAATGGAAAATGACAACCTTTCAATGGGACAGAGGAAGTATATATTTTTTTAGAATGTATGCTCATCTATTTGAGTACACAATTTAGATGACGAAGAAAGTGTAAAATTTAAAAATAATTAGGAGTGGTAATTCGGGGCGGCCTGATTCAATTGGGCATGGAAACGTCAGCTCGAGCATGACCTAATTTGAAATCGGATCGTGTTGTGCCAGTCATTTTTTTAAATTTTTTTAGCTTTAAATTAATTTAAAATCAAATATACTTTAATAAAAGAATTGCTTAATTGAATCCACAACCAAAAGCTAAAACTTTTACCATCAAGCTATGTTAGTTAAACCTTTGTAGATCAAGCGGTGAGATATCCCTTGCAATATAACCGTATACTTCCCTTGTCATATACTTCATCCGTCCGACTCTAAGGTCTCATTTATCTTTTGCGTCATTGTACTTGACATTAAAAAAAATCCTTATATTTGTATAATTTTTTGCACAAATATCATTATAATAATATTATAAGACACTAATAAAAGTATTTTTATCATTTTTCTTTGAATTATACTAAATTTTTATATAATAATTAATATTAAAAAATTAACAGGCAAAAAATAATTAAAATCCTTAGAACGAAACTGAGATAGAATATATTATTTCTTAGAGTCATTAATAACTAACAACAAAAATTCCAAAATTCAAAAAAACATTTAACTAAAACAAAACTCTTTTACGAACGCAGGTTGAAGTGGAAAAGCCAAGTTATAATAAACGCGAAAACCATGCAAGCCAGAACTACGTTCAGCACACGGTGGCCCTGCGCACAGCTTTCCGTTTCCACCATCGCCGCCGCCCTCTGCGGCGGCAGAGGCGGCGCTGCCGCCGCCGGAGTTTTCTCCGTTGGAGCCTCGACGTTAGTCGCTACTGAATTGCAAATTTCGCAAGTCCTGCAGAGATTCGGAATCTAAGAATATTCTTTTAATTCATTTATTACACGAAGATTCTAGAAGAAAGGCGCATTAATTACTTGTCTCCCTTGATTTTGAACCACGCCTCGGCGCAGCGCTTGTGAGCCGCCGCCAATTCGTGCTTGCAAGAACAGCCTAGCTCGATAGGGTCCGAGCCGGGGGCAGGGCTACAGCTGACCAAGCTGAGCTGGCAAATCCGACAATCCCGTTCTACAGCTGCCACGTCATCCTCAATTCTTTCGACTCCTCCCCCAGTTTCCAAGTCAGACGGATAATTAATATCCGCCATTAATGACGACGACGAAGAAGAAGAAGAATCTTTTCTAGAATCCACATCCTCAAGAATCTTATCCTCACCGCCGCCACCGCCGCCGCATTCCAAGTCAGCGCCGCCGGCCGCCATGATACGTATGTTTATTTGGTCAATTTATGACATACAATGCGGGAGAGGGTAATGGAATTTGACGATGTTCTTATAGCTGGATATGGTGCCATTATTCTCTTACACAAAAATTACAGAAACTACGAAAATTAGGGCACATTAATTGATAAAAAAATTAATCGATTTTTCACTACCAATTAAAAAAAAAAAAAAAAAAAATTAACATAAAGGGTCTGGACTTGAATGGCCTTCATTTTTTGAACTAGAGCTGTCTATAGATAAAATTATATGCATATATATTTATGTTGTATGAATTATAGTAAAAATACAAGCTTTATCATACATAGGACAAAAGAATTTTATATTTTTATTTTTTGACAAATAGGACAAAAGAAATTAGGAATGACGATTTACACCCACCACTTCTCTTTTTTTTTTTGGAAAATTTTCTACCTCATTTAATTCGTAATAAATAACTAAAATATGTAGGTTGTACATGTTTGTTTGTGTATTTTGGCTTTGGTTTTGGGTCTAGGTATTGAGTGCTATATATATATATAAACAAAAGAAATATATTTATATAGAAATTTTAGAAAATTTAAAATATAAAAAATTAGATATTTGATTTAATATTTCATGATACATAAAAATTAATGTGAGAGTTTTTAAGAATATTATTACTTATAAATAATAGCAAAAGATACATGAGTGTTTGTTCGGCGGTATTGCTCCAAATTTTAATATTTATTAATTTTTTTTAAAAAAAATATTTTATTTAGCATTAAAATTATTTTTATTTTTTATTCTTGTTATCTAAATTTATTAGTTTTTTAGTAAAAAAATACTATTATTATTATTTTTTTACTTTAAAAAAAAAAAAAAAATTATTTTTAAATATTTTTTTAAAGTTTGTATTCGATCAAATAAACACATAGCTCGAGGACAAAAGGATATCAAATAAAATACTTATTTTTTATTTTTATATTGTATTAAAAATTAATTTTATACTCTCTATGTCCCTTAAAAATCTATCTATTTTTCCATTTAATCTGTCTCATAATAAAATATCACGGTTTTAGTAATTGTACCATTTACCTAATATTACAAATAACCTTTCAATTTACAATATATTACACAAATGTTATTACATTTATATCATACAATAATAGGGTAATTTAGTCTTTTTACATTTATTTCTACTTTATCTCAATATAATATTAATATTTTTAAAATTTCGTGAAAAAAAACAAATGATTATATAAATATATGATGGAGAGAGTATTAAAATATCCCATCTAACATTTTTTTTATATTACATTAAATTTTTTTATATTCAGCATTCAAACTTAAAATCCAAACTTCTAACAAAACATACAAAGCTCTTTCGAATTCGATATATTGATGGTAATTGTAGCAAGCAGCCTCCAAACGACGTCGTTTCAGCACCGGGAGCAGATGAGTAAATCCGGACATCAACTGACGTACCATTTGAGTGACCGATCAGACCACTTTTGTGTCAAAATGTCATTCATACCTTTTGCTAATTTTTGGCTCTTCCAATTTTACATTTTTTTTAGCACTTTGTTATATATATATATATATATATTAATAATAAAAAAAAAATTATGGGTTGTGGTTTTGGATAACTGAGAGGTGTGAACAAAGTGGTGCTCAGAAAGATTCTTTTCGTCCAAATGTGCCAAAAATTGTGACTAAGCCAGTTCGATTTATTTGGTGTTTCGTTGTGGGCATTTTATTTTATGTTTTTTGGCACAACAAAATCAAATTTGAAGATCGGAGAGATAAGTAAACAAGGCCCAGAAATGTCACTGTTTATTGTGTAATCCAAAATGAGTGATTCTTGGGAGCCCAAGTAACACAGTCACTACACCACAATGTATATAACCACAGCAATTCGGACCTTGCAAAAACGTGTTTTCGCCGAAATGCGACTCTTGTGTTTGGATGAATTGAAATAAAAAATAAATATGTGCTTTTCAGGTTAATACGTTGCATTTATATTATTTTAATATAAAATTTTTATATTATCTAGATATATTTATTAAATTATATGGTCATTATTTGTATATTTGTTTGTGTAAAGTCTATGAATAAACTTCTAATTTCATTATTAATAAAATAACTCAAAATTTTAACAAAACATAACATATTGTAATTGTAAATGAATTGATTTGTATAAGGTAATTCTATTGGAAAAATTAACATGGTGTGCTTTTAGTATTTAAATTTTTTTGAAAATTTTATGGTTAATTACTGAAAATCGCAAAATATTTACTTTTATCATTTTTTAAATATTTTATAACGAAGTAATTATTTTTATTAAGAACAATGGACTTACAATCATTTCATGCATACTCTTTTACTTATTTGTGTTTTGAGAATATTTTGATAATTCATTCATATAAATAATAAATAGATATTTACTTTTGTTTAATGATAATATGATTATATTTATTTATATGTTCAGATTTCTTCTTTTTTTTTTTCATTATTTATATTTTTTAATATAATATATTTATAACAACATATTTGATGAGATATTATTATTATTATTATTATGTACGAAAAGCGTGTATCAAATGTATTGACATGAGTATTATCAATTGGAGTATTATTATTCGATATATAATCCAATACATATAAATCTGCCATTACTCTTTGCGCATAAGGAATCTTCTAGGTATCGCCTAGACATACGCAGGGGAGGAAGCCGGAGCAGACACAACGCCGAGGGCGGCGCGGCGAGAGGATACAGGCGGCATCGCTAACACTGTGCACATTGCAGGCAAAGATGTCCCTGCACAGTTTACGAATCGTTAGGTAATCGATTTTCCTCACACCAATCGTGGATTCAGTTACAAATTAGTTAATTGGAATTCGGTTATGGAATTATTGGAGGATTTTGCTTACCTTCTCCTGCGGCGAGATATGAGAAGAGGTCGATCACGTTGGGGCAGTTATTGAAGCAGGCAGGGGAGCAGAGGCGAGCAACGAACTCCTGCGGTTCGGAGGACATTCCGTCGGATTGGCGATCCATTCCGCACGATTGTAGGCACTGAGAGGTCTCGATGTGTCCGATCAATGCGTTCGACGCGATCTCCGACGTCTTGCACTCGTAGACGATACTGCTGTTGTACGCGAGCGCACACCTCTTCCCCGAGGAGGAAACCGCAAACGCGCACAGCGATCGAGGTAATTTCTCGCAGATCACGTCTTCTGTAGCTGGATTAATTTGTGAAAACAGAAATAATTGCATTAATGAATCATTTTCCTTGTTTTTCATAGCATTACATGATGGATTTCTGGATTTGCAGTCCAGAGTACTAATACATATATGCACACAGTGATCGAGGTAATTTCTCGCAGATCACATCTTCTGGAGGTAAACTGATTTATTTAGTTACATTAATGACTCATTTTCTGGTAATTTCTCGCAGATCACATCTTCTGTAGCTAAATTAATTTATGAAAACAAAATTAGTTATGTTAATGAATCATTTTCCTTGTTTTTCATAGCATTACATGGAGGATTTCTGGATATGCATTCCACAGCAACATCTATATATATATATATACACATACCTCTAGTTCCATTGACGAACAGAGCACAGGCGAAGAAGAGAACGAAGCTCAATTTTGCAGAGGAGGCCATGCTTTGTGTTTATTGGTACGCCCCTAACTTCCTCCCCTTTTATTGGCTTCTGATTATTGGATACAGAAGCGTTTATACGCAGAGTGAATGGATTAATGATGATTCTGTGAAAAATGGAGAACAGGGAGCTGCTTATATACACTCAGGTAGGACGATGAACGAATGGAGCAGAGAAATTATAGATTCATACAATCCTCCATGAATGAATCTGTGGTGAACATTGAAGCCTTTCCGTAAGACCAGGTGAAACTATTGTTACTCAGGTTTTGTTTAGACGAAAATATTATAGAATTTTTAAAATAGTAAAATCAATAAATAGTGTCAAATTTATAAGATTTTGTACGTTATTTGCATCACATTTAATTTTTATATATACATATTTTTTATTTTTTCATTACAAACTATCACATGTGCTAAAGTTTAATTATTTGTGTTCATTTACTATTTACATATTTTTAAGTAACAATAATAATTAAAAATATATTATAAATAAATAATGAGGTGCAAACTCAAATTTCGTATTGTAATATTTGAAGAACTTAGACTTTGTAATTTTCATATGAGCTTTACTAGTATGAATTTTTATTTAAAAAAAATATATATATAAAAATCAAAAAACAAATTTGTGTGTTACATGTCACATTAAATGTAATATATTTTTAGATAATAATGACATATTGAGTAGTAAAATAGGTAAAATATAAAAGTAAAATGACATTAAAATGACATTTGTTTGTTTGTTTAATTTATTATTACTATTATATTTAATACATATTTCTTATTGTAAAAAAATAAAATCTAAATTGATTATTAATTTCGTTATAAAATATTGAATTTCGATGAAAAGGATTGATCGATCCTTTTGATTTTGATATGAAATTGGAATTTTGATTTGATTTTTTAAAAAAATATAATATATGATATTTTGTAAAAAGAAATAATAAATTTTTATAAAAGAAAATACTTCTTCTGTCTATTCACAAATATATATTTTTATTTTAAATTATTAAATTACAAAATAATTATTTTTAGCAATTATACCTCACAAATAGTAAAAATCTGTTAAATAAGATTTAATTCACAATTATTGTAAAAGGTTTACTGATTCGTAACCACAAATTGAATAAGGAGGTTAGACATATAATCCTACAAATTCTCCTATCCATCTCTTGATGCTCTCACAAATGTGTATATAAGCAATCTTGTGTTCGCCATTTCTATCACAGCTCAAATCATCTCATCTGCTTATCAATAAACAAAATAAGCTTTTCTCATAAACGGCGGGAAATAAACATACCAATAACATGGCAGCTTCTGCTCCCCTCTGCTTCGCGATCGTCTTCTTCGCTTGCTCTCTGTTCCTCCATGGAACCATCGCCGGTAAGATCTGCACTGTCAAGAAGAATATCGTTAGTGTTTTGTTGAATTATATATATATGGCTGATTGTTTTGTGTATTTGTGCGTGCAGTGGATGTGACCTGCGAGACTCTGCCTCTGACACAGTGTTCGTTTGCGGTTAGTACGTCGGGGAAGAGGTGTGTGTTGGAGGGCGGCGGACCTGTTCCGATCTGCAAGACATCTGAGATTGTGGGGGACAAATTCCCCGGATACATCGAGACTGACCAGTGCATCAACGCCTGCGGTCTAGACCGCCAAGCCGTCGGAATTTCTACCGTTGCGTTGGCCTCGCCTGACTTCACTGCTCGCCTCTGCTCCCCTGCCTGCTACAACAGCTGCCCTAACATCGTCGACCTCTACTCCAATCTCGCCGCCGGCGAAGGTAATCCAACTTCAGTTTTTCCCCAATCCAATTCCGATCTCCGATTTGGAAATCGATCGTCAATTTCTTCACAATCGATCATCAATTTTTTAACAATCTAACTCGAACTGGAGATCGATGAACAATCGAACGTCGATTCTCCGATAATCCAATTCGGATCTAAAAATAAAAATAAAATTGCCTCTGCTTAACCTAGGATTTGGAGAGATTGGATGAGTAACCAACAATTGTTTGCACTGTGCAGGAAAATCGTTGGCGACATTGTGCGTAGGAGCAGCCATGCCTCCATCAGCGAGCACAGCTGATCCCAATGCTCGCCGCTCCGCTCTGGGCGTCGGTTCCGCTCCCACGGCGGCTCCCCTCTTTCCCTAAGCGCTGAATCCGAAGATGCTTTTATACGCGCGCATTTCGTGATTATGTCGTAGTCAGTTTTAGAGTTTAAATAAATGCCTAGGCGTATTCTCGTGTATACATATATATATATATATATAATTAATTAGGATGATTTTGATTGTAAGTTAAAAATTGTATTAGTGAGTTGAGAATAAAATAGTATTTTGTTTTAAATTAATTTATGGTTTAATATATATACTCTTATATGTTGAAGGGAATAGTATATTTATATGGAATAAATTCTACTTTTTAAAATATTTAAATATATATTTTTTATTTTAAAAATTTTATATATGAATTCTTATTTTAAAATTGTTAACAAAACCATTTAAATAATATAATAATATTATAACTCATTATTATTAACTAATCAAATACTATTACTTTTCGTCCAGTATGACTTTTCCGTCGTGCCTCGTTTGTAGAATATTAGGTTCGGCCGGGGTTTACCCACAGGTGAAACTAGAAGCCAATGCAAGGGGAGCTAGTTCTTAATTTTTTTAAAATAACACTAATTAAAAATATATATTTTATTATTGTAAAGCAATAAAAAATACATATTGTATATATTTATTTTTATATTGTTTAAAAATAATATATAGAACTGTTCTTTTTTTTTAAAGAAAAGAATATTTAAAAAATTATTAAAATTATCTTATTGTCACAACTAAAAGTGTATTTAAATTTTGTTATATATATTGTATTATTTTATAATATTTCTAAAAAATTATATGAAATTAAAATACTAGGCATAAACATACTTAATTTTTTTTAGTATTATTCTTTATGTAATTTAAATATTTTTAATATACAAATACATACTTATAAAAATATATATATATATATATAAATAAAATAAAGGGGGCCGGGCCGGGCAGGGGGCTAGCCCCCTTGCCCTATGGTGGTTCCGCCTCTGGGTTTACTAGTGCGCATTTTTGGGTAACGGCTGCGAGTTCCCACGTCATAAAAAAAATATCATATAAAATAAAATGGAATGAATAATACTCTCTCCGTCCCGATGCAAAGTTGTCGTTTACTTTTTGCAAGTAAATTTTTTAATATTATTATTATAATGGGTTGCAGTGAAAAAGATGAAAATACACCTATTAAAATTATCTAATATAAAAGTAACGACATTTGTATAATATAGTGTAAGTTATAATGATATTTATTATGGTATGTAGTACAATTACCAAATTAGGAAATGATAATTTTATTTTGAAACAAATAAAAATGGTAAATGACAATATTTCAATGGGATAGATGGTGTATTATTTATCAATAATTTTAAGAATTTCATAGTAAAAAAAGTTAAAAACAAATGTTATGTATTACCTCCGTCCCAATTGTAATTGATTTTTTTGAATACATTAAAAAAATAATAGTATTTCATTGATTAGTGGAAATGTATAAGAAATTTTGATATTTTTGTCATCTAACTTTATGCATAAAGTAATTATATTTGTAATACTCCTTCCGTTCCACATAATTTGTCTATATTTTCTATTTTAACCCGTCCCACATAATTTGTCATTTTTAAAAAAATATGATTATACATTTTAATTACATTTCAAATTTATAATTTTTTTAATTTTAATTAAACTATTTAGTTATCTTAATCTATAATTATTTTTATTATATAATAATTATTTTTAGTAATATAATTATTAATTGTTTAGTAATTATATTTTACCTAAATTCTCGTATCTACATTAATAAGTCCAAATTATGTAGGACAAATGGAATAATATATTTGTAATTTAAGTAAAAGTTAAAAGGTATTTTGGTGGAGAAAGTATTATAAACTAGAAATTACTCGAAAAAAATTTGTAATCTTTACATAAAAATATTATAAATGATGTAAAAATATATAGTTTGAAATTGGTTTAAAATTGAATGTTGATTTTTTTTTTTTTTTTGTTTAAATAGTATTTTGATTGATATTTTATGAAAAAAAATAATATTATTTTTACTTAAAATTGTATAAATTGAATAATTTAAATTTAAATTTAAAATATAAAAAAAACCAACTCATTATTTTCAAATTATAAATCAGATATATTTTCCTAAAAAAGTTAACTAAAAATAATATGTAAATTAGTATAGTTGAAAAATCATCTATAATAAGTTTATTATAAATAATAAAAGAATAAAATAAGGAATTTAAATTTAAAAGATTTAATAATGAAAAAAAAAAATTCATAAAATTAATATGACAAAACTTAAATATAATCACAAATATTAATAAAGTATTATTTCATTCATCCTACCACTTATATTCTTTCATTTATGGTTTATTATTGTACATATAATATGTTTTCTGTTCTTGTTTTTTTATTTCTATCTATTTATCAATTTTTTGTATATATATTTAATTATTTATTAAAATATCATCATACATTTCACTTTTTACATCCACGGGATCCAATGATATTTTAGACTTTTTCATTATACAAATTCACTTACAATATTAACTATTTATGCATTATCTCAATATTTGTATTATTTATTTTATTTTTATTAAATAAATTTATGACAAATATAAATTGTTTGACAACATTGAGACCGACCAATGTGTGAATGTGTGTGGCATCAACCATAAAATTGTCAGAATGCTGAACTTTGCATTAGCTTCTTTGGATTTCTCCCATTTGCTCTCCTGCGTACTTCAACCGTTGTCTTAACACAATCGACCCGTGCTTCAAAATTTTGCGCTTCATGGAAGTTGGATGGACCCCTAATTCGATTGATTCGATTTTGCGCATGTTGCTCCATTAAAAATACATGTGATGCTTTGGTGAGATTGAGAACGATATCTCAGATCGTCATTAAACTCTATCATTGTAGCACCTAGCTACTATTGACATTGATACATTAATTGCACACACTTCATTCATGACTTTTGAAGGATGGATTTGTATACATTCAAAAAAATGAGTGAACTGACTGAAAAAGATGTCCTCAGTTGAACATCTCTTTCCATAATGAATTGAACTTTTTTTTTTTTTTTCATAAACATCTGTTTTGATATTTGTTTGAAATACCTCAATCTTGATGATATTTGGTCTACATCCCTCAATAGACTTTTTTGACACAGTAAATTTTACTTCCTATTATCGTATAAGTCTCTCGGTTCAACACTTCTTTAATATATGAATTAGAATCTAATCTAATCAATACTTACAAAATTTAATCATTACTTTTACATAATTTAATTTATTTTGCAACATTTGATTCGTCCCCAAAGCCAACTTTTGTCAACTCAGATATATAATAAAATAAGCTAAAAACATACAACCAAATCAACTAGAACTGGATGACAAAAAATAAAATCAAGTTAGGGAGAGAATGCCAAATAAGAACAGAAAACCCTGATAACCGAGCAATTCCAAATCATAGACAATTGGACACTAACCGGGAAAAATATATAGATTTTCTTAAAATGAATGGGGCAGTAGAAAATCCTAATCAAAACAAAAATTCTTTTACAGAAAACTTACATTGTCATTTGCAGACACTTACATCTATTTTTATAATGTTCAACAGAAGTTTCTATGGGATTAAATTTATTTACTTTTATAATTTTTATTTTTCTTAATTTATTTATTTTTCTTTTTTTGAGATCTTTTTTCATCTTTTATGTCACTTGTGTCTTCTAAATATACCTTATAATTATATCTTATATATATATATGTTATTTAAAATTAATAATCTAAATTTATACATGGAAAAATTCTATTAAACAAATATTGTAATTCAACAAAACTTAAAAATTGAGATATTAAGAAATTCATTTAAAATTGTTGAAAAATTAATTGATGACGTTATAAAATAATGTTGCATTATAATTAATACGAAGATATGAATGTATTGAAATAATGAAAAATAAAAATTTATGTTAATAAATTATGTTACTCCATTTGTTTTGAAATATATATTATTTTGTAAGCAATAACATTATTTAACATCAAGTAAATTGAGTTCAATCAAGTACATACATTATTCCTCAAATCAATATTAGTATTAATATCTTTAATTTTCATTGCACACTCCCAAAATATTTTCATCCAAACTTTTTAAACATTTATCATATCTCACAAATTTAAATACAAAATATTGATATCATAAATAATACTGTTTCTACATATAATAAAGAAAAGTGAGAAATGTATACATATAAAAGAAAAAATATAAATTTGATACCATTATATTCATCAAAAGAGAAATGAACATACTATACTTGACAATTACAGTAATTATAAACTTGTTGTTAGATTTATTTATTTTTATTTATTTTTTATTTTTTTGAGCTTTCCAACCATCATTTGACTTATATTATGATGTTTCAACTATTTACATTTTTTCATATGACGATTTAATTTAAAAATTTTATATTTTCTTTTCTCACTTTTATATATTTTTTTGCAACTTTTGAATTCACAAATAGTATCTTCTTTTCATCCTTTTGTTTTTCAAAATAAAATAATTCCAAACTTCATAATGTTATCTAAAATTTATTGTTTTATAATTTAAAATAGCATTAAAACTTATCATTTCATTTAAAATAACATTAAATTATTAAATTTCATAATATTTTCTCCTTTCAAAAAAATAAAAAAGTAACATAAATTCAAAGTTAAAGATGTATAATTTTTGAAATAATATTTACCTACATAAATATTAAAAAAAGTCACATAATTAAATAATAAAAAAAAAATATTCAAAAGATGTACAATTTAAAACTAATCAAGTTCTTCATAAAAACATAAAATAATTTGAATAAAAAAAATAACAATCTTTGGAAAATTCACAAAAAAATAAAATAAAATAAAGAACTATCATTTAACTCTTTCAATCAAATGAAAACCAATCCAATAAATTATAATTAATATACAATTCAGTATCTAAATATCATTTGTTATTATTAAAAAAGAATGATAATATTAAATAATTTTAAAATAAATAAAAATTAAATTTACAAGTTTTCAAAAATATTGTAGAAGACAATCTACAAAACAAACTAATGAAGAAAACATGAAATGGAAATGATTAAGAGGAAAAGGTGATTGTGGATTCGTGGAATGTAAATATTTTATTTAGTTATTATAAGATATAATATTTAAATTATAATATTGAATATATAGGATTTGTTTGGTTAGGATTTTGATTTGAATTTTTTTAAAAAAAATATGAAATATAAAAAATTATGTTGATAATATAACACTTAATATCTTATATTAAATTTTGACTTTTATAAAAATATTAAATATATATTAAAAATAGTGTAAAAATTTATTTTTGAAAGAATATACCCATAATATACATATATATTATATTATAAATAATAATTATTACTTTATTATATATAGTTAGGCGACCTGGATGGGTTGACCATTTAAGTATGTTATTTTAACATGCTTAGGTATTTTTGTCTGGGAGTTTGAATTTTGAGTAGGGATTTGACTAAGAAAAATTTTGAATTTGAATAGTTGTATGATATAATATAAATAGGTGTTGATGTGATGTTCTGAATGTAAAATTAATTTTTAGTATAATATAAAAAATAAAAATTAAGAGTTTGATTTAATATTTTTTGGGGAAAAAAAATGAAATGAAGAGTGAACTTAAAATCCACTCTCCCAACCAAACACACCCTTAAAAAATTACAATTTAATCCATTATAAAATGGGATGAGACTGATCAATTATAATGTATTCAATTTATTTTGACGGTTTTATTTATAGTCCATTGAAGTTATTTTCATAAACATTGTTCAATAATAAATGAACCTATTCAACAATTATTATTATTATTATTATTTTATTTTTTTTTATGACGTGGGAACCCGCAACAGTCATTATCCGATAGTGTGCACTGGATAAATCTCGGTCGAACCTAATATCATGCAAACTATTTATCAATTTTGGTCAAAATATAAAAAAACTTATCAATTTTGGTCTCAATGTAACCAAAACTCATCATCTTTTGTCCCAATATAACCAAAACTCATCATTCTTGGTCCAAATATAAAATTTTTATCAATTTTAGTCCCAATATAACCAAAACTCATCATTTTTTGGCACAATATAATCAAACATTATCTTTTTTTGTCCCACCGTCAACAAACCGTCAACAAACCGACGGAAAATGCTGACGTGGACTTGCAAGATTGTGCAATTTCTTCGAATATAAATATAAGGTTTGATTTTTTTTCACGTCAACATTTTCCGTCGGTTTGTTAACGGTGAGACAAAAAAAATAAGGTTTGATTATATTGGGATAAAAAATGATGAATTTTGGTTATATTAGGACTAAAATTGATAAAAATTTATATTGAGACCAAAAAGATAAGTCTTGGTTATATTGAGATAAATAAAAAAACGATGAGTTTTGATTACATTGAGACCAAAATTGATAAATTTTGATTATATTTGGACTAAAAATAATTTTTTCCCTTATTATTATTATTAGTATTAGTATTGGTGTATGTAAATGGCAATTAATCCTGCTTTACTCAATGGTACGAAGAAAAATGCAAATATATGTAAACATTTATGCTAAAAGAATACAATAGAAAAAATTCGTATTCAAGGAGTACAAATGCTGTACTTTATTGAGATTATTATTATTATTATTATTTAAACTCTAAAACTGACTACGACGTAATCACGAAATGCGCGCGTATAAAAGCATCTTCGGATTCAGCGCTTAGGGAAAGAGGGGAGCCGCCGTGGGAGCGGAACCGACGCCCAGAGCGGAGCGGCGAGCATTGGGATCAGCTGTGCTCGCTGATGGAGGCATGGCTGCTCCTACGCACAATGTCGCCAACGATTTTCCTGCACAGTGCAAACAATTGTTGGTTACTCATCCAATCTCTCCAAATCCTAGGTTAAGCAGAGGCAATTTTATTTTTATTTTTAGATCCGAATTGGATTATCGGAGAATCGACGTTCGATTGTTCATCGATCTCCAGTTCGAGTTAGATTGTTAAAAAATTGATGATCGATTGTGAAGAAATTGACGATCAATTTCCAAATCGGAGATCGGAATTGGATTGGGGAAAAACTGAAGTTGGATTACCTTCGCCGGCGGCGAGATTGGAGTAGAGGTCGACGATGTTAGGGCAGCTGTTGTAGCAGGCAGGGGAGCAGAGGCGAGCAGTGAAGTCAGGCGAGGCCAACGCAACGGTAGAAATTCCGACGGCTTGGCGGTCTAGACCGCAGGCGTTGATGCACTGGTCAGTCTCGATGTATCCGGGGAATTTGTCCCCCACAATCTCAGATGTCTTGCAGATCGGAACAGGTCCGCCGCCCTCCAACACACACCTCTTCCCCGACGTACTAACCGCAAACGAACACTGTGTCAGAGGCAGAGTCTCGCAGGTCACATCCACTGCACGCACAAATACACAAAACAATCAGCCATATATATATAATTCAACAAAACACTAACGATATTCTTCTTGACAGTGCAGATCTTACCGGCGATGGTTCCATGGAGGAACAGAGAGCAAGCGAAGAAGACGATCGCGAAGCAGAGGGGAGCAGAAGCTGCCATGTTATTGGTATGTTTATTTCCCGCCGTTTATGAGAAAAGCTTATTTTGTTTATTGATAAGCAGATGAGATGATTTGAGCTGTGATAGAAATGGCGAACACAAGATTGCTTATATACACATTTGTGAGAGCATCAAGAGATGGATAGGAGAATTTGTAGGATTATATGTCTAACCTCCTTATTCAATTTGTGGTTACGAATCAGTACACCTTCTACAATACTTATAAATTAAATCTTATTTAACAGATTTTTACTATTTCTGTAAATCGTGCGTGAAGTTGTCCAAATAGAAAATTTTATTTTAGGATTTTTTAATTTCTTTTGATCTTATAATGAAAAAATATATATATAAAAAGGTCTACTATATTTCTATTAATTATTCTAATAAAACATTATTTCTTCCGTCCCACATACAGTGTACTCCGTAGACAAGATATTTTAAGAAGAGTGTTATCAGTAGATAATTAAGAATGTATTAGTGAAAATAATTATCCGATAATATAAATAATTATAAATTAAAATTAAGATAACTAATTTGTTTAATTAAAATTTTTTAAAAAATAAAATTACAAAGTTTAAAATGAGATTAAAGTATGTAATCATTTTCCAAAAAAGGAAAGTGATATAGTACGTGAGACGGACAGAAACGGCAACATGAACATGGTATGTGGGACGGAGGGAGTATTACTTTTTAGGTAGTGAAGTTTTAGTATTGTATAATTATACATTAAGATTAGATGCGTAATTTTAGGTATTGTATAATTTATAAGTAATTAAAAAGTGTATATTAAAAATAATTACGATATAATAAAAGTAATTATAAATTAAGATTAATATGATTAAATAGTTTAATTAATATAAAAAAATTATAAATTATGAATTTTTAAAATATAATTAAAATATATAAATATATTATTTTTTAAAAAAAATTAGTGAAAACAAATTATGTGAGATAAAATAGAAAATAGGTTGTATTTGATTTTTAAAAAAAATTCAGTCGTGTTGGGCTGTTATTAAACCTACCAGTCATTTAACCCAATCCTTAATTAACTACTTGGGCTTGGGTGACGAGTCTATAAGAAATAATGAGTTTATTTATGTATATTATTTGATCTAATTTTTACTCATCTCTTGGGCTTAATTATGCCATTTTATTTTGACATAGATATTTTAGTCTCATATAATTTGTTCATATTTTTTTATTTTATTCCTTTAATTTGATTTGTCTTTTTTTTTAAAAAAAATATAATTATATATTTTAATTACATTTTAAATTTTATATTTTTTGATTTAATTTTTACTCATCTCTTGGGATTAATTATGTCATTTTGTTTTGACACATACTTTTAGTCTCATATAATTTTGTCCATATTTTTTATTTTCTATTTTCGTTCCTTTCATATGATTTATCTTTTTTTTCTCAAAAATATAATTATACACTTTAATCACATTTTAAATTTTAAATTTTATAATTTTTTTAATTTTAATTAAACTATTTACGTATAATTAATCTTAATATATAATTATTTTTACTAATATTTTTTTCATTACTTACTAATTATATTTTGCCTATAAATTCCTATGTGTAGAGTAACCTACTCAAATGGCATGGAATGGAATGGAGGGAAATAAGATTCTTTTAACGCTTGTAGATTTCATTATTATTGTCATCCCCGCCAAGAAAACTCAATATACTCTACAAGTAGGGGACCAAAAGATTCTACATTACGAATTCTATATTCTAAAATTGATTTTTATCATTCTATTTGTTCACTTTCTACTTTTCATTCCTAATCTCAGTTTGCAAATTGGAGTTTTCTCATTTCACAACATGTTCACACAATTGTAGCTCATACAAAGATAAGATTCCCAGAAATGGCTGCAGCCGCTCCTTCGCCGCCGCGCTGCTCACTCCCTCCTCCCCGCCTGTCTCTTTTCCGGCCACACAGCGGCGGCGGCGGTGGCATCCAACAACCTAAAGCCTTCCACAGCTTCATCGGCCGCGGACTAACCTGTCGAGCAACAACAACACCAACAGACATTAACAACACGACGAAGAAGAAGAAGAAGAAGAGCAGATACGAAATCGAGAACTTAACCACATGGCTTCTAAAGCAAGAAGTCGCCGGCCACATTGACGCTGAGCTCACAATAGTTCTCGCCAGCATCTCACTAGCCTGCAAGCAAATCGCCGCTCTACTTCAACGATCCAACATCGTCAGCCTCACCGGCACCCACGGAACCATCAACGTCCAGGGCGAAGATCAAAAGAAACTCGACGTGATCTCGAATGAGGTCACTTTCATTTTTAAGTTAACTAACTAAGCTTTTTTTAGTTCTTCACATTTTTTTTATATGAACTTGCATCCATTTTTTCAGCTTTTCTGCAGCTGCCTTAGATCGACAGGCCGGACCGGGATAATAGCGTCCGAGGAAGAAGACGTGCCTGTTGCAGTCGAGGAGACGTATTCAGGGAATTACGTAGTCGTCTTCGACCCCATCGATGGCTCCGCAAACATCGACACGAGCTTAACCACCGGATCGATTTTCGGGATTTATGGCCCTGACAAGCAATGCCTTCTCGACATGGATGAAGAGAATACCACAGTTAAGTTCCATTCCATGGAATAATCGATTCGTTAAGATTAGTTTGTTTGGTATATGTTTTTCAATATATTGTTAATTTATTTGTATTTATCCAAGATCATGCTGTCATTTTTTTTTTTTTTTGTCATCCACTTCAATCTCCACTTCGCTGGGCGAGAGTCCTTGTTAATGGAGATTGAAATGACAGCACCATAATAAACACCATAATAAAGACAATGACAACATGAAAGTGTGTAAAAACATAAGTAAAATCAATTAAATATTAAAATCAGAATATAACGGCTCAAAAGTATACTAGATTATAAATTTTTATTTATTTTTAATTCGATCATAAAAAAGATATAATAATTTACTCTATTTTTCTTCTCATTCTTACTTTTTAGTCTATGAATAACATTACCTTTATTACATGTGTTTTGATTTGAAAAAATATTTTTTATATGAGGTATATGGAATTGTGTAGTTAATATAAAAATAACAAGTATGTAGTATATTAATTTTTTTGAAAAAATTTGAGTAAAAGAACAAAGTCGTTCTTTTTTCAACTACTTTTTTTTATCACTTTTTTAATAAAATATTAATTTTTCAAAAATTTCGTGCCAGACTAATTAATTTTAATAGACGAAGAGAGTATAAATGTATTTCTATTCTGAATGGGTAAATCAGTTCAGTCCAAAAATGTGTTGTTAGTTCTATGCTGAATTTTATCGATCGTCATCTTAACACATTCGATCTTTCCCTCGTCTCTTCAGCTCGACCAAGCCGAGCAGAAGTGCATAATCGGCGTGTGCCAGCCGGGGAGCAACTTGTTGGCCGCCGGTTACTGCCTATACTCAAGCTCTGTCGTGTTCACGCTCTCCATCGGCCGAGGAGTCTACGCCTTCACCCTCGACCCCACTGTCGGAGAATTCGTTCTCACGCACGACAACATAAGGATACCCGACGCCGGCAGGATCTACTCTTTCAACGAAGGTAACTACGATTTGTTTGATCCTAAGCTACAAAATTACTTGGATGATCTAAGAAAGCCGGCCCCGGGTTCCGACGGGAAGCCCTATTCCGGGCGATACATCGGCTGCCTCGTTGGGGAGATCCATCGAATGCTTTTGGTAGGCGGCGTCTATGGCAATCCGAACAATAAGAATAGCATGAGCGGGAATCTACGGCTGCTCTACGAATGCGCGCCGATGAGCTATTTGGTCGAGCAAGCCGGCGGCAAAGCCATCGACGGCTGCCGGAGAATCCTCGACGTTGTTCCTGATCAGGTAACTCGAATTAAATGATGCAAGAAATGAAGCTTTGTTTACATTACACACTTTTATCACTTTCACTCATTTAATACTATTTATTTTTCAAATAACATCACATCAAATATTAATTTTATATATAGAGTATATATTTTTTATTTTTAAAATTTCAAAATTCCAAACACTTCTGTCTAAACAAAACCTAGCCATGTTGTGTTCTTATTACAGGTTCTATGTAAGATTATAACCAAGTATAATGGATTTTTGCAGATTCATCAACGGACTCCTTTGTTCATTGGGAGCCCAAGTGAGATTGAGAAACTGGAGAAGTATTTGGCTTAAAAAGAGCAAATATCCATTTAACGACTAAAAAAAAAAAAAATGAAAAAAAGAGGAAAAAAGGGTTCCAAGATCAACATCGAAGTTCCATTTGCTTGTTAGATAAGTGTTCTATCAATATTTTTGCACATTGTCAATTATTCACTTAAAAAGTCAAAATAAATCAGTCATACCTACCCAATTAAAGTAAATAATAACAAAATTAAATTAAAAAATATCTCAGTCCTAATTCAATTTATTATTTTGTCAATTTTATTCAAAATATTTTTTTTTTCTTAAAATTAATTAAATATTAATACAAAAATATTATTAATTTTTATTTAAATTACAAATATATAATTACTTTATATAAAAAAAAAATCGAACAAAAAAATATCAAAATCTCAAAGGATCATTTTCTTTTAAAAAGACAGAAAAATATCAATATTTCAAAGGTTTTTGTTTTTTTTTTTCAAAGGACGGAAAAAGTATATATATACTAGTCTAAGACATTCTTCGGGGGCAAAAATTTGGACATTAAGCGCGCATTAATGAATATCAAATTGAATTTGAATATAAATATTATATATTTGATTGTGTTCATTATTTGTTAATTAAATAGTACTTCAATTAGTTGAATTCGACCTATTTGTTAATATTTTTAATTAATTTTTTAAAGTATTTATTTTTATTTCGTAGATTCCATTTCATTCTAATTATTTTCGGTTCAGATACGTTCTCAGGGTTGTGTCTATTTGCAAATAACTGTGACCCTTCATAAAATCATCCACAGCAAAATAAAAGAAAAACCAAAAAAAAAAAAAGTCTCGAGGAAGAAGAAGATGATGAAGCAGGGGTTTCTTTCATGGAGAAATTGCAGTTACCCCACGCCCTTATCGTTCCCTTTCTCCACCACTCCCAATCTCCATTTTCCCAAATCCAAACTCCCCCGAATCACTGCGACGGCGCAAAATTCAGTGGAAGAGGCGCCGGCGCCGATGTCGGGCCGAGAGCGACGGCAGATGCGGAACGAGAGGAGGGAGAGCAAGGCCGGCTATAATTGGAGGGAAGACGTGGAGATGAGGCTAATTAAAAAGCCGAAGAAACGGTACTCGAAGTGGACGGAAGAGCTCAATCTGGACTATCTCGCTTTGCCCGGCCCCCAATGGTGGGTGGTTAGGGTTTCCAGAGTTTCGGGCCAGGAGACCGCCGAACGGATGGCCCGCGCCATGGCCCGAACCTTCCCCGCCATGGATTTTAAGGTGATTTTGCTGCTTGCTTTTTTTATATTTATAAACCTTATATGTAATCAGAGCTACATTTGTCTAGATACATTCAATTGGAATGTACCGGAAGTCTCCCGATTTTGTGAGCAGTGGATTAAGTCGATGAATTTATGTTTGCTTTCGATTTTACGACGTTTGATTTTGCGTATAGCTTGGTTTCAGTTCAGAGTTCTATTGCGTTTATATCATCTCTGAACTTTCTTGGTAAACACAAGTTGAATTCTACGATTTCAGTTGAGTTTGAAGACTTATTTTAGTTTAACTATTTAGATTTGGTTGGTTTAGGCTATGATTTTGTTATCTCTATCAGTTGCTTTGATTTAAGTCTGTCGATTCATATGTAACATCCTTAATTTACTGATTTGGGGATTTTTGCAGGTTTATATCCCGTCGATTCAAATCAGAAGAAAATTGAAGAACGGCACCATCTCTGTGAAGCCAAAGCCATTGTTCCCTGGATGTGTGTTTCTGCGGTGTGTGATGAACAAGGAGTTGCATGATTTCATACGAGAATGCGACGGTGTCGGAGGATTTGTTGGATCCAAGGTCGGGAATACGTAAGATTTCTTTTAATTTAGTTGATGAATTTGCTTTTCTTAACTTGTTATTGCAATTTGCCATACGAATTGATTGCCTGTGCAGAAAGCGGCAGATCAATAAACCTAGGCCAGTGGACGAAGTAGACATTGAAGCAATATTTAAGCAAGCAAAGGAGGAGCAGGAGAAAGCCGATCAAGCTTTCAAAGAAGCATTGCAGCAGGAAGAAGCTTTGGACTCAATGAAAGCGAAATTAGAGTCACCTGTGGTTTCGAAAAAAGGAAGTAGAAAATCTGCAAAGCATTCCTTGAAGCCTGGTTCAACCATTCAAGTTGCATCCGGGGCATTTGCCGGAATTTCAGGCACACTTAAAAAGCTTGATAAGAAAACCGGGCTGGTACTTCTTTTGCTTCGGAAGTTCAAGCTTCATTGTTAACTGGTTGATAAAATACTATAAATTGTTTAAGTTCTGTTTCTCTTTATTGTTTTTCTTGCAGGCAACTGTAGAATTTACGCTGTTTGGGAAGGAAACCTTAGCTGATATCGATGCAAAGGAAATTATCGCTGAGGCAAATTGACATGCAAGTAAAAAGGATGTTCTTTGTTGATATATAGCTTTACGGCACATAGAGAGTTGTCTCATTTGATGGTGAGATTCTACTGATTTTTCATTCGGCTAGAAACTGGCATATAGTCTTTTGTGGAAAGATTTTAGAACAGATCCTACATAACTTCTGTTGCTCAGAATCGATTACAGGCTACATGTAAATTAGTGTTCCGGTGATCCTTTCTAGCTGCCAACCATTAATTTCCATGGAAAAACATGTCTTGATCCCATCAGTGTGGTTCTGTTCTTGTTGTTCTAACGAACCATTAGGATGAAGGCACAATGACTGCATCATGTGTTGTATTTTATACATGTAGTGAAATAGCAGATCGATCTGTATTGAACCTTAAATTTATATACAACAGAAATAATATCAGATCTTTGCTCTAGATCACTGTTTTCCTCTATTCATTTAGGTAAAATTACTTATGACATACTTGCCGTATGAAAACGCAGCACCATTCTTCCCTATGATTTTAAAACTGAATGAGACTCTTCTGTATTTTCGAAACATTGTACAAAATTTCCTTTTTAAAGGTTTCTATGTAGTATTTTAAGAAATACAAGAAAAGTCTTATACAGTTCTTAGGGAATTTTATGATATATTTTCTAAAACACGAAGAAGCCTTGTGCAATTTTAAATCATGGGGAGCATAGTGTCGACTTTTCAAACCACAAGTGGATTATAAACAATTTTGCTATTTTTTTTTTTTATGAATAAGATCATAGTGTAATTATGGGAAATTGCATTTAGAAGCTAAGGGTTATATACACTGTTCCTGTGCCGGATATATCTGTTTTGGCAATTGAAGGTTTAGTTGTAGTTTTAACTTTTGTAGTGTCTGTCTTTGCTCTAATATGGATCTGCTCTTAGTTTTGATATCTATTAAAAAGATAACTGTTGAAGTATATTGGACATTAATTTGAATGGATTAATACACTGTAGGGCTTAGGGAATAGTTCTCATAAATTTATTCATTCTCCATAAATAAATTGATGAATTCCCAGAAGAGGGCTGGTTATATATACATAATCTTGGTATGAATTTAGTCTCTCATAGGAATTGAGGTAGTGATATTTATATCATTATTATTGTCATCCCCACCAAGAAAATTTAATGTACTTGTGCAAGTAGGGGACCAAGATTCCATATCTTCAATTCATAGGTATGATAAATGAATGAAGATTGCAGTAGATGCTGCTAGTGTATGGATCAAAAAGCAGGTAACTCAATCCACCACCCCTCCAAGGCTCCAACTAGGACCACTCATCACTATTTTATTTCATTCACTGCCAAACTATAGGAACTCTCATGAGAATAACAAGCATTGAATCAATGCTATGCATAAATACTGTGTATTAGTTAAGCGATATTGGTTAAATAAAGTTGATAATATCTGTGTCATATAATGTAAGTTGTAAGAATATTTTTAATATTAGATAGATATGATAATTACTGAAATGAGAAATGAATATTTTGTTTCGAAACGAATTAGATGGAAGATCATATAGTATTTTTTTTATGGAGTGAAAGGAGTGTACAATTCTGAAATTCTTTGTAACAACAATGTATCAGAAGATAGGAAAAGTTCATTTCATCATTTGTTTTGGAGTTCATGGATTGAGTTAATGGAATTGAATGTGTCACCTCAACAATGGTGCCACAAACTCAAATATGTACTGACCCTGCTGCTTGTTTTAGGCATAGGGCTCTCTCTCTCTATCTCTCTCTCTCTCTGCAGATGAAGATGGAGATGACGATGAAGCTAGACAGACAGACAGCAAAGATTGATTATCAAATCAGTGAGTCGTCTTCTTCCATGAAACAGGTCCACTTGTCAAGCTGTCATCTCTTTTTCTATGTGGGTCTGTTTATATACACTTCTAGAGAGAGAGAGAGAGAGAGAGAGAGAGAGAGAAACAGAGGGGTAGCAAATAGCAATACATGTGTTTGCATGAGAAAGAACGAGATGAGACCGTTGTATGAACCAAGAAGACAAAAAGGGCACGCCAGTTATATACATATCTTTATATGTATATATTATCTCTATTCTAAGTTTGAAAGTAAGAGATTTTTATTACAGGGAAAACAAACAAAGTGTTGGTTGATTAGAGTAATGAATGAGCTCTGACCTGCACACCACATGGCTGTTTATTGTCCGGTGGAGAACACCAACAACAGTCCACATTGCCCAATGCCCTGCCCACCATGGAATCTTCCTTTTTCTTCTCTCTCTCTCCTCTCTCTCTCACACACACACAAGAGAGACTCTTTAATTATTTTTTGTTGGAATTAAAGATAAAGGTAAAGCTTGGTCAGGTCAGGACTATTTAATCTCCCATGCCATCACTATCAGCATGTTCATATATACATACATATATATATATATCTAACTGTATTATTTGCATGGTTAAGAATAGTTGATTTACTTTGGCCATGATATTTCCTAATGCAAACAATGTTGGCTTTATAATTTCTTTGCAATATTTCCTCCATTGAATTTTAAATTTAGTATTTATGTTTCTTTCTGTTATTAACCTGGAAATGGTGAAAGCAACAGGTTAGAAGGAAACAAGCACTGGCAAGCAAAATGCAGAGAAAAGAAGGACCATAACTGCAAATTCAGAAAAGAGGAGGACATGATCGTAAAGAATCTCTCATTATATTCCCCCAGTCAGCAACCACTAGGAGAAAGTAAATCCGGACAGTCCACCAGAAACAAACAGGTCGAATTTAATTCTCACAACCCCCAAGCCACCACCCCCCACCCCACCCCACCCCATTCCTCACCATTTCCCCAAGCTCTCTCCTGCCGTAGCTTCTACACTCTCAAACCCTAGAAATATTTGTAAACAAGTTGTTCTTGCAGTTTCTCTTACATGGGCGGTTTTGATTTCCAGGTCAGCCTTGTCAATCCAGAATAAAAGACAAAAAAAGCAAGCTCTTGTTCAAGAACTCACTCCACACCAAATATGGGCGTGTTTTCGACTACTTCCAGGTACTCATTGGCTTTCCTTGTGATGATGAATCTCTGTTTGAAAGCAATGGCTTCAGAATCAGACATAGACTTTTCCTTCAAGAATTTTGGTAAAGTTGAGCCACACCTTGCTCTTTATGGTGATGCCGAGGTTAATAATCATAGTAGTTCGATTCAAATTTCTGGGTCGACGAATTTCAGTGCTGGGAGGCTTATTTTCAGAAAGCCCATCAATCTTGTTGGGGCAAATCCAAGAACCATGGTATCTTTCTCGACTTATTTTGCCTTTTCAATTTCTGGAGAAAATGGGGATGGTTTGGCCTTTGTTGTGCTCCCTGTTGAGTTCCCTTTAAATATTTTCGATGGTGGGTCGATGGGATTGTTGAGGGATAGAAAGATTAAGTTTCTTGCTGTTGAACTCGACACTTACATGGATAAGACATATAATGATGTCAACAACAACCATGTTGGGCTTGATATCGAAACCCCTGTCTCTGTTAAAGTTGGAAATCTTTCATCTGTCAATTTGGTGCTCAACAATGGTGAAAAGTTGCAATGTTGGATCGATTATGAAGCGAGTGGTAAGAGAATTGAAGTTAGGGTTAGTAAATTTGGTGAAACTAAGCCTGTTGATCCATTACTGTTTTATTACCCTTTAGATTTGTCACAAATGTGGGGAGATGAGAAAAATGGTGTCTTTGTGGGATTTGTTTCTTCGAATGGGAATTCTTCGCAGAAGATTAGTATTCATTCATGGAGCTTTAAATCGAGAATGCCGCCGCCAAGATGGATGCATTCTGAGCCGTTGGATCCTGACAATGTTGTGGAGATCAAAGGTGAAGAAGGGATAAGGTCAATCCCTAAGAGAAGTGATTGCACTTCAAGAGTTGTTCTTGCACTCGTGTTTGGCGCCGGATGTGGCGTGATTGTGGCGTTCTTTATTGTGTTTGTTTGGATTGTTGTCGGGAGTAAACGGCCGGTTGCGCCGGAGGAATTGGCCGGGAAAGGGAATGAGTTTGAGTACAAGAAGTTTGGTGAAGAAAGAGCCATCAAAGATGGAGATGGAAATGGAGAGAAGTGATGTGTTTGGTATTGTTTTGTGGGGTTTGTGTAAATCAGAATTTCTTGTTTTGTGTTTTTGTTAGGGGCCAAGAATGTGTGAGTGTGAGTGTGATCTTTTGATGTTGGATGGTGCTGTAATTTAATGATCAATCATTCAAAATTTGTAGTAGTTTTTTTTGGTATGTACTATGTGTTTTGATCATTGGAATACAGCTTCTTCATCTGGGAAAAATGTGGGCATTTTATTATTATTAGTATTATTACTATTTACTCTTTACTCTCTTCGTGTCAAATATTTTATAATATTTATTTTTGCCTGTTCAAAAAATATCTGTAATATTTAATCATTATCTATACTATTTTATTTTATTACATTACTAAAATAAATATATATTTTTGCTCTAAAATATTTGGGAGGAGGAAGTGTTCTTTACAAAGTCAGAAACTCTTAGGTACTATCTTGAAATTAGTAGTATGTAAATTAAACCCTTAAATTACAATAAGAAATTTGAGTTTTGATTTAAATATTAAAATTTTAAATTTAATTTAATATAAATAAAAAACAATAATAGTAGTCAGTATAATATAAAAATAAATATTTGCATTGATTTTTTTAGTGGAAATTTTTTTTGTGAGAAGAAAAAAAAATAGCCAAATGAAAAACCCTTTATTATTATTGTTTAAATTGAGATAGTTCTAAAAATTTTATACTATTATTTTATTTTTTTCATTTATACTTACTTTTTAATACTTCATCTTTTCGTTTTAATTATGCTTATTTTTCTTTTTTCTTTTTTATTCTTTCATTAAACTTATAGTTATTTTTCTTTGAATTTTAGGTTTGTTTTGTTTAATGTTTAGAGTTTTAAATATTTGTTTTTTTTATGTATGAAATTTTGTGAGGATGTTGTAGAGAATGGTATTTATTTGAATTGTAGATTTTTATAGTAATAGTATATGTATCATTATTTTATCAAATGGTTTTTCTTTGTTAGATAATATTTCTAGAGAACAATGCCCATTTATTTTTAATTTGGAATTACACAATCTATTTTCTCAAGTTTATATTTTAATCATAAATTTCAATTTCGAATATGCGATTATTTAAAAAAATAAATAAAAATATTTCCACTTAATTACTCTTTATAAGGTTAAGCAATTTTACTTAGGGTGTGTTCGTTTGTAGAATTTTAACAAAATTCTACTATTCATCCAATTTTTTCCCCCCAAAAACATCAAATCAAACACTTATTTTTCATTTTTTATATTATACTAAAAATTAATTTTACATTCAAAACATCACATCAACACCTATTTATATCACACTATACAACTATTCAAATTCAAAATTTTTACTATTCAAATCCCAACTCAAAATCCAAAACTCCAAACAAACACACCCTTAGTCGGCATGCCGGCCCAGTTATTTCTCAAGTCCCAATATCTTAAAGCCCATATTTAAAACCCGGCCCATTTAGATTTTATATAAACGACGCCGTTTCACCAGCACATTAATCTAGGGTTTCTCAATCAACCCTTTAAATACTATCGTTCACTAGTTTTTACGCATTCGGCTATGCTGCTGTTCTTCAGATTCAACTGTCGTCTCCAAATTACGCTTCGATTGTGATTTTCGTTTCCTTTTTATGTTTTCATAGGTTTTTTGGTTGAGAAATTGGATCGTTGATGCTCTAAAGAAGAAACTGCTGTTCTTCCGAATCAACTTTCGTCTCCGAATTATGCTTCGATTGTGATTTTCGTTTCCATTTTATGTTTTCATGTTTTATTTTTGGTTGAGAAATTGGATCGGTGATGCTCTAATGAAGAAACTGCGTTATCTATCTGAAATCTCCAGTTCGGAGCTGAGGATAGCTTTTATAACTTTCTGAGATCCTTCATTTTTTTTTTATTATTTTTTTTCAATCGTTGAAATTGATTGTTTTGCAATATGTTTAGATTGGAGATGAGCATCGACGATGAGCCAAAACTAAATCGTTATCCTTGCACTTTGATTGCCAGTGAAGAAAGCCTACGGGGAATTTATTATTTTCTGAGATGCTCTCGATCTCCTCTCTTTCATTTTTTTTTTTTTTTTCCTTCTATTTTTTCTTTTGTTCTTTTCCTTCAAACAGGTAAAATTATTTTCAATAGAAATATTGATTTATTCCCTAATTAATTGGTTCATGTAAACTTTAATCAATATTTTTCTTAAAATCATCATTTCAATCCATCGTCTTGAGAATTCAGAAATTTCAAAGGTTTGTTTAGATAAGAGCTGCTAAGTTTTGGTAATTTTTTGTATTAGTAAAAATAAAAAATTTGTTGATTTTATATTTTATAGTATAGAAATTAATTTTAAATGGAAAGAACTTTTAATGTTGTATATTTTTTGAAAAAAAGACTATGGTTTTGTTATCCAAATATATTTTTTATTGTTTGTTTGAATTGCGATCTGCATGGGGTCTTGCGTGTTTTGATCACTGGAGTTGTATCCATTTTCATATATTATATTTGCATAATTTTTGTACAAATATAATTATATTAGTATTATAAGACACTAATAGAATTATTTTTTGTCTTGATTTGTAATATATTTTGATATAATAATTAGTATTATTATTTATTTTGTTAAACAAACAGGGATAAAACATATCCAAACACTCGTAATACTGCATTTTTAAAATTTCTTGTTTAAAAAATTGAGTTAAGGGTAAATTATTTTATTGAAGAACTTATTTACAAATCAGGCCAAGCTAGAGCACAATATGAAAAAAATCAATGGAATATATTTTATTTCTTTCTTTCTTTCTTTCTCAATATAAAAATGTGTGTAATGTGTGCCTCTAAAGCTAACAATTAATTACCTTTTCTCTATACACGCCTCTGCAATACAATAGCCGGAACTCTGCTTCTGACCCTCCACCCGAGAGGAGCTCCCGGGACTCCAACGCCAGATCCATCCTTCAATCATTTATCATTGCAGTATAATGATTTTGACAATATTCTTACCATCATCATATGATCAATCATTGTGAAGAAACCTTTGTAAGAGATTTTTGATGTAGATTATTGTTGCAGATGCATCCTGGATAAGGATTTGCATAAAAATTCTCCTCCAATCTTGGTAATTGCCCATTTTGTCTTATTTCAGGCCCACCAATTCTGTCCAAATGTAATCTCTTCACTTCGGCACTGAATTCCTCCCAAGAAATGCGCCCCTCGTCCAATGAATCCATCAGTCTAACAAATGTTAACCTGAAATTTACAAAATATTATTGTCCAATTCCAAATTTAAATTCAGAGAAAAAGAGTGTTAAGTGTGTGTAATGTGGAAAATTTAGTGAAGAACAAGAAATGATGCATAAGAACGTAGTACCTGTCGGGGTTGATTGTTCTTTGGAAGCCTTGGAACTTCCGGTGCCCCTGTACGGCCTTCGCCATGTTCCCATCGTAAGTATAAATAAACGCATCACTCTCCACGGCGGTGATGTAGTCCAAGGCCGCGAGGCGGTTCTGGTAATCAACAAACGGCTGTAACTCTTCCGGCGTGGCGAGGCTCGAGTGGGAGTATATGTTGGGATACTCTGCCCGGAGGGCATCCATGGTGTTGTTGCCGTAAATTTCGCCAGCCACGATGTAGATTCTCGTTGAAGACGGATATCCCATTGCCTTGATGAACAGGGCAGCTTCCCTCGGTGACATCGGGCAGCCGCCTTGGAGCCTCCGCTGCTTGCTGTTGATCTCCTTCTCTTTCCAATGCTTGACGGTGTATCGCATCGACCGGAGCTCCTTGGCCTCGGATCGACTCAGGTTGTGGCTGCAGCCGGTGAACGCCAGCATGTCCTTTTCATACCTGTTTGACGGGAATTCGGGTTAGAATGTGTTTGGTTGTTGGATTTTATAAAAATCTTATTATTCATAAAAAAAAAAAAAAAAAAAAAAATTTAAAAACATCAAATCAAACATATATTTTTTATTTTTATTTTTTATATGATACAAAAAATTAATTTTATATTCAAAATATCACGTTAACACCTATTTATATAACACCGTACCACTGTTACAATTCAAAAATTTTTTCATTCAAATCTCAATTAATTTCTCAAACAAACACACCCTTTTGTATCACATCGAGCAAAGCTCCTCCTCAGCCTCGGATTGGGTAGCTTGTGAGCTAAGCTCAATCCAGCTAGTTAAGAGCTCAATTCAATTAGTTTATAAAGATAAATAATTCAAGTTTGAATTTGAAATTTATATTTTCTGTAAACGAGCTAAGCTCGGCTTGATTGATACTAGGAGCGGCAAAAATACGCATCCTACCACAATAGGCCTTAAAAAGTAAATACAAAAATTTTCGGGTCGTATATAGCCTCGCCCGATTGCTTAAAATTAATATTCAGTATTTAATACATGATTAAAATTAGGTTATGATTTGATGGTAAAATTTTTATTAAATTAATTAATTTATTTTTTTTTAAAAAAAAAAAGAAAAAAATAATAAAAATTGAGTCGAAAAAAATAATAAAAAAGTTGGAGTCGTGCTTGGGCCGAAGAGTTCCGACCCGATTTGAAATTGGCCGTACCGGTCCGGTGCACTTCCAAACCAGGTTGGTCCGGGCCGGCACAAAAAACTGAGCCAGCCCGAAGTACCATCCCTAATTGGTGGGTAACTTTGATTGACTTCGTTAGCGATTATATGTTTGTATAATTTTATATATTAGTACTAATATATAAATTCTGAGCCGAACTTGAGCGGCAATATTAGCTCAAATTCTAAACGAGTCAAGTCGAGCTTGTACCAATAATATGTTTGAGTTGAGCTCAAACACCAGGTACTTAAGCTTGCTCAGTTCGTTTAATAGCTGTATCGGTAATGTTTAGTACCTCAAATGAAGGGCGATGTAAGGTTCGCCGTCTGTCCTCAGTCTGTCGACGAGTTTGTTTCCGAGTTCCTCGATCTCGGGCGTGTAGCGAAGGGCTTTGTAGTTTGCGCGGCAGCGGAGCTTCTGGATGGAGGAGGCGAGACCGTTGTTGGCGAGACGGGAGTCAGTGTGGGTGAACTTGATTACCTTGTGCTTTTTAAGCAGTGGGAGAATTTCTTTCCTGTAGTAACTAGCCTGTGCACCATCAAAATATTCAAAATTACTTATAACCTTCTTGTAGTTCGAAATGATTTAGAAATTATATAAGACTTTATATTTAATGTTTTCTAATATCGTTCAATTAAGTCAAACTATTATTCAAATTCAAAATTAAAACGCAGTTTTTTGATGAGCAAATAGATACCTTAGACCATGAGATAGGTGCTCTAATTAGAGGCTTCACTGATGCATATTGTGGCGGCAGGTTTTCGACTATGTCTATATCATCCTTCAATGTTTCGATGAAATGCTTCGAATCGAAGATGTCCTTGAAATCACTGTGTAAGGAGATGATCGAAGTATGAGGTCTGGAGGGATATATATTACAAAATGAGAATATTCAGGAAGAAGCTGTGTAATAATGACACCTTGGATCTGTCCAGAAGCTTTTGTGATCAAGATAAGGAAGTACTAAAGTTGCATTCATGATCTTTGCTACTGCAACCATATCACAAATCTGAGACCAAATACCAAACGCGGTTTAGTCAGAAGACCACTTTATTTAGGATTTAGGAAGAAATGAAACTTACTCCTGTCCTCATTTGATTTAATCCACCATTGGCATGAACCAAAATATAGCCATTTGTGGGAGCTGCAGGTCCTGAAAATGGATTTCATTAAATCATATGAAAAAATAAATATTTGAGGTAACTTGTAAAGTGCTGACAAGAATAATTTTGGCAATACTTTTATGATTCTTGGGTCGAGCTATACATTGGTACAAATCATTGCTGTTGGGCTTCGTCCATATTTCTGCGACCTGCAGAAAAGAATCCAAGAATCAGAATTCATCATTAATGGGGAAGTAAAATAGTAAACTAACTTTTGCAGTTTTGCAAATTTGTTCAGTCAATGAATCATTGAGTGTGTACAGCCGCCCCAACGGTCAAATACTCGTTTTAGAATTCCTAATAGAATAGTTAGGACAGAGAAAACTCCATTCCTCAACTTCTTGTCGCCCACTAACGTTAAGTCGGTCAATAAACAAATGAAAATCAACCATCTCATGAGTTTCAAAAATAAACAAATAGAATATTCAACACCATGCCGTTCTGTTCATATGTACAGCAATGAAGAAAAGCTTTAAATTAATTGTTTATTATTCGACTCTCCCATTCTCTTCAGTGCTTGTTGAAAATGATATGTTAGATGCTGAGTCGCCAGATTCATCATTAAAAGATTCATTAATGGCATTACGGAACTTGATTCAATGGCAGAGTAATTTATTCCAAGAGTAAATGGAAGCAGTAAAAACGAGATTTAAGTCTAAGTTTGAACATTCGAAAAGAGTAAATCTAACTAAATTAAGAATGATCAGCTTTTATGGAACTCCCAGACTTTATTCAAAGTAAATGGAAGCAGTAAAAACGTGATAAGAGTAAGTTTGAACATTTTCGAAAAGAGTAAATCTAACTAAATTAAGAATGATCAGATTTACCATATTCATCGAGGAGATTAATAAGAAGCAGAAACTGAAAACGAGATTCGAGTTTTAGGTATTAACCTACCGGAAATTCCTTCATCTGTCGTTTCTGTAAAGCAGCACCGGAAGATGATTCTGAATCGAAAACTGCCATGTGAGCATTAGCCATGAGATCGGTCCTGAAATTTGGAATAACTGAAATCTCATTCTCCGCCTTAACCAAACTCTCGACGGATTCCGCCACCGCGCCGCCGGCCGTTAAGAAAGAAAACCGCAAAAACACCGAGACAACCGCCGTCATCATAAGAAACACAAAAATCGTACGGACCATGTTCTTCCTCGAGATCACAGCACTCAAAGCTCCCGATGCACTCAACAAACATTCTTCCACGAACAAAATCCAATTTACTGGCAGGCGTTTACATGACAAAAGGCATCTCATCACGAGATAGTGGTGGTGCAAGCTGTTGCACTGATACACGCAACCGTTGCAGGAATTGCTATTACTATTATTATTAAACAACAATTGTTCTTCATCTCCTCCGCTTCTGGAACAATCCAACTCAATTTGCACATTATCGCCGCTCTTCTCCTTCTCCAGGTCATTAATCGAATATTCAGCTACGCGGCGGCGCTGGTGCGTCGCGGTAGCTCCTCCGTGGCCGGCGCTACCCGAAATTGTGCTGCTTCCACCGCCTAACATCGCTGGAAACATACACATAGACTCAAATCCAACTAGAGTTACAGAACAGCTTCAGCACGACGAAGATATCAACGAACATTAATGGTGAACCGTTGCGTTGTTCTGTTGCGCCTATTTAATACACAAATAAAAAATTCCCGTTCCTTCACGTCTCAATCAATTTCTGCAAAAAAAGCTGTCGATCTGCTCCGCTTTCCCTGCACTAGAAGAAGAACAAGGCGACGTGATTTACGGGGCAATCGAAGCAATTGAATTCAGGGAGAGAAGAAACGGAGATGAAAGGGATTCATGTAATTGGGCGATTCGCCCTTCGATTCGCTGCTATCAGTTCTGACACTCTGTTTCCTTCCCTTCTTTTATAGCGTCGATGAGCTAAAAAACGTGTTTTCCACTTCAACGTTTTTTATTCTCACACACTAATGCGACTTTACCTCAGAAATATTCATTATCCTAATTATACCACTGTATAATCCCTCCGTCCCACCGCTACTCATTTAACTATTTTTTGTTTGTAGTGTGTTTATTTTGTAAATTTTTTGGATAATGTGTTTTTTAAATTAAGTATAAATAATTATATTAATAATATAAAATTTATAATTAAAAATAAAATATATATTTAATTTTTAACAATATTTATAGACATTCTTATCACCTAAAAACATAAAATAAACATATTCTATTATTCTATATATTTTATTTTTCTATTACAATAAAAGTATTATTAATTCTATTAAAATAAATTAACATTAGATAGAGGCAAGAGCACACTATAAGAGTGAAATAGATTTTTTTTTTTTTTTTTAAAAAGTAATAATTATAACACATTTTAATGATTCTATAAGAAATTTATTAAGAATTTGATTAAAAAAAATACATCATGAGACAAATAAGAAAAAAAAAATAGTTGTAAATATTTTTTTTTATTAAAATATAAATAATAAAATTATAAATGAATATGGTTTCTTATAAATATATTGTCCAAATTTTAACCCCAAAAAAAATATTTTCTATAACAAAAAACAAATAAATATAATTGGAGTGAAGCAACTGCCCTAAAATTACGGCCACAATAAATAAAACTGTGCATTAGAAGCAATAAGAAATTACAACAAATTCCAAGGACTCTAAACATTTGTGGCAATTTTTTCTATTTTTGACATATTGTTTTTTCGTCTTAAATATAAATTATTCATTTAGAAATTTGAAGTAATCTTATTGTGTAAATGAGCATAAAATAATTTATATGAGAAGTTTGCACAAAATAAATTATAGAGAGTCGAATTATCAATATACTCTCTCTCTGTCTCAGATACCATGTCCACGTTGCCGTTTTTGTCCGTCCCACATATCATGTCATTTTCTTTTTTTTAAAAATGATTACACACTTTAATCTCATTTTTTATTTTTAAATTATATTTTTTTAAATTTTAATTAAATTAATTAGTTATCTTAATCTTAATTTATAATTATTTATATTATATGATAATTATTTTCACTAAAACATTCTTAATTATATACTAATTACACTCTCCTAAAATACTGTATTTACAGTGTAGCAAATACGATATCTGGGACGAATGGAGTATTTTATTTCAGCTGAAAAGTAAAAATTGGCCGGACAGATTTGGTGTGTTGTGCGTAACACGAAGCATCCATCGAATCATTTATTTTAATTGGAAAACATAATTTTAAAAAAATATATATTTATATATATTTTTGGAATATGAAAAATTATTCTCTCAGTCCCACCGAAAATGTCCACTTTAGCTTAGGCATAAAATTTTAGGTATTGAATAATTAGTAAATAATTAAAAATATATTAGTAAAAATTATTATAATTTAACAAAAATAATTATAAATTAAGATTGTTAGCATATTCAAACAAAGATTAAAATGACTATATAATTTACTTAAAATAAAAAAAATTATAAATTAATAATTTTAAAATATGATTAAAATTTATAATTATATTTTCAAAACAAATATATGATAAATTATGTGGGACGAACGAAAATATAAAAAATTAACAAATTAAGTGGGACGGAGGAAGTAGCTAGTAAATATACACCTAAGTTTGAAGTTTTTTGTGTTTCTTTTGTATAGATTTTTAAATTTCCCCAAAATGTTATTTTAATATCAAATTTTAATTAATTTTTTTCAAATTTAATCAAAATAAACACACTCAAATTCGATTATATAAAGCTCAATTTCAAATTACATAACAAACGATTTTTTTTCATTTTAAATTTTATCGTATATATATATATTTTATTTTCTTATATTAAATTCGATAACTATTTATATATAAATTATTCTATTTAATATATAATATTTCCTAAATAAAATAAATAAAAATTAGATTTAATATCTAAATACAAAATAATACTCTCTTCATTCCACGTATCATGTTCACGTTGCCATTTCTGTCCGTTCCATATTCCATATCATTTTTCTTTTTTGGAAAATGATTCCACACTTTAATCTCATTTTAAACTTTTTAATTTAATTTTTTTTAAAATTTTAATTAAACAAATTAATTATCTTCATCTTAATTTATAATTATTTATATTATAAGATAATTATTTTAACTAATATATTCTTAATTATCTATTAATTATACATTTCCTAAAATAACGTGTCTACAGTGTAGAATGATAATATATTAGTTTAAAATAGAAAACAACAAACTCATAATATTCAATATATATATTTTGAAACGTCACTCCAAAGCTTATGTACAATATATATATATATATATATATAATTCATAATATTCATTCGTGCCTTAGTTCAATTTATATTTATTTTAATTTTAGATGAAATAATTTTGTCTTATTTAAATATGTATATTGTCATCTTTGTTGGGTCCATACAAATCTATGCATTTGTATATATAAATATAGTAATAATAAATTTCATGTTAAATATCGAAACATATTTAACTTTCACGTAAATTTAATAACATACATTAAGGGTGTGTTTGTTTGGGGGTTTGGATTTTGAATTGGGATCTGAATAGTAAAAATTTTGAATTTGAATAATTGTATGATGTGATATAAATAGGTGTTGACGTGATGTTTATAATGTAAAATTAATTTTTATTATAATATAAAAATTAAAAAATAAGTATTTGATTTGATGTTTTTAAAGGAAAAAAATTGGATGAATAGTGTAAATCTAATCCAATAACACGTAGTATAAATGGAGTCACGTACTTGCAAATGGGATGTTACAACTTGCTTCCACACTTCCATTAATCAGTACTGAATTAAAAAATTCAGCACGGCTGAATTTTATTAATTAATTAAATTATTAATTTAATTAAGATAATTAGAATTAAATCAATGGTGTAAATTTATTTAGGGTACGTTTGACAATTAGAGGTTAGCTGTTAGAATTAGTTGGTTTGACTAGCTAATTCAATTAGCGGTTGTATTCAAGTGTTTGTTAAAATAACTGTTTGACATTAACAATTTATAAATACAATAACTGTTAAGGACATTATATGTTATTTTTTAAAATATTTAATTTTGTTCATTTTGGTTTGAAATTTATGAAAATTTTTGTTATTAATTTTTGAAAATTATAAAAACACTATAAAATATTTATTTTTATTTTTATTAGTTAGATTTGATAAAATTATTTATTAAAATTATGCAAAATATAAAATAATAAATCTTTCGTATATATATTTTTATTATGTTAATTATTGTTTTAATATATATAAATAAATTAATAACATTTATTTTTTCTATTTGATTTAGTTTTAAAGATTTATATATTTTACAAATAAAATGATTTATATGTAATAATTAATAATTAAAATTATTTTAAATTTACAAAAATAAAAATATAATTTAATAAATTGAATATATTAAAAATAATTAATAAATATTGCTATAAAAATATATTTATATGTATAAAATAAATAATTAAGTTTTAAGGGTAAATAAGAAATAACCAAAATTAAAATAAAAAAGTTAAATTAACTTTTTAGATTTAAAAGCTCTTTAAAAAAGTTAATTTACCAAACATCTAAATTAGCTTTTTGACTGATTAAACAACTAAAAAACTGTTCAATAAACTAAAAATTCTTCAAAATTTTTTTTCCCAAACACCCTCTTGATTAGAAGGCTTCATTAATAATAATAATAATCTATAATTTTATAAATATATATCTGTATATAATTGAGACCAATAAAGTATATTTTATAAATAACCTTAGTAACACATAATAATAATAATAATAATAATAATAATAAGCAAATTATTATTTATCAAAGTCACTAAGGTACCAAAATAATTTCACAATATATACAAACTACTCGATTAAAATTCTAAAAGAAAACCAACCCACACTATAGGATGCTTTTAGTGTTGATTTCAAATAAAAATTATAACTCCCATAGTCCAACACATTCACTATTTTTATTTTCATATAATTTGTTTTTTTTTTTTTTTCATATAATTATACATTTTAATCACATTTTAATTTTTATACTTTTTAATTATTTAATTATCTTAATCTTAATTTATAATTATTTTTATTATATAATAATTTTTTTATTATCACACTTCTTAATTACTAGAGAAAAAATTATTTTTCGTCATAATATAACCAAAATTCATTAATTTTGGTCCAAATATAACTAAAACTCATCATTTTTGTTCTAATATAATCAAAATTCATCATTTTTTTGTCCCAATATAATTTTTTTTTTATCAATTTTAGTCTTAATATAACCAAAACTCATCATTTTTTGTCCCACCGTCAACAAACCGATAAAAAATGCTGACGTAGACTTGCAAGATTGTACAATTTCTTCAAATATAAATAAGGTTTGATTTTTTTTCACGTCAATATTTTCTGTCGGTTGGTTGACGGTGGGACCAAAAAAGATAAGGTTTGATTATATTGGGACAAAAAATTGATGAGTTTTTGTTATATTGAGACTAAAATTGATAAAAAAAAAAAAAATTATATTGGGATAAAAAATGACGAGTTTTGATTATATTGAGACAAAAAATGATGAGTTTTGGTTATATTGAGGTCAAAATTGATAAGATTTTTATATTGAGACCAAAAGTGATGAATTTTAATTATATTGGAACCAAAAATAATTTTTTCCCTAATTACTATTAATCACTATATTTTACCTAAATTATTGTATTTATAGTAATATGAACACTTTTAGTAAGATGAAAATAGTACAATGTAATTAATACGATTTTTAATAAATTACAATATTTAAAATTTTAAAATAAATTATTATTTAAATAAAATTTTAAAATAAAAAATTCAAACTAAAACAAAAAATGTTTGGTTGAATTATTATTATTATTATTGGTTTGAAGTTGGCATGAAATATGAATGATGGTGCAAAGTGGAATGAACCTCCAGGGCGTGTCCGAGTGGAAGTGTACAACGTTGACGCCCACCCAACCTTTCTATTGTCCACGCGTCCCCCATTTATACTCTGCAGGCCGCATAAATAAAATTAAATGTAATCTCCTAACTAAATAAAATTAAAATAAAATAAGGGAAACTGAAATGCTTTAAAATTATGTTAGACCTTTTAATAAAAACATAGAAAATCATAAAAAGTAAAATGATACCCATTTCACTAAATTCATGATGATTACCTATATAGCAATCTTTGATTAGTACTCCCTCCGTTTTATCTAATATGGGTGTATTACTGTAAACACAGAAATTTAGGTAAAATATAATTAATAAGTAATTAAGAAATATATTAGTAAAAATAATTATTATTTAGTAAAAATAATTATAGATTAAGATTACGATAACTAAATAGTTTAATTAAGATTAAAAAATTTAAATTTTAAAATTTAAAATATAATTAAAGTGTATAATTAATTTTTCAAAAAAAAAAATGACAAATTATGTGAGACGGACGAAAATATAAAATAGGGACAAATTATGTGGGACATAGGGAGTATATTTTATATAGTTGTATTAAAATATAAATAATTTATTACTCCCTCCGTCTCACATACCATGTCCATGTTGCTGTTTTTCCTTTTTTTTTTAAAAACTGATTATACACTTTAATCTCATTTTAAACTTTTTAATTTTAATTTTTCTAAATTTTAATTAAACTAATTAGTTATCTTAATCTTAATTTATAATTATTTATATTATAAGATAATTATTTTCACTAATATATTCTTAATTATCTATTAATTATATCTCTTCTAAAATACCGTGGCTACATTATAGCAGACACGGTGCGTAGGACGGAGGTAGTATTTTAATTTTTTAATATAGAGCTGGAGAGTAAGCAAGGTCTAAATTTCCACGCGGAGAGTATCCTTTGTCCAGCTGGAGCTGTTCTTGTAACCATCTCATCAATTTATTATTTTAAAAAAGATAAAAAAAAAATTCCAAAATTTATTTCCAATATTATTATTAAATATATCGTTTAATTCAAACTAGGCTGTAACGTTGGCCCCAACTGCGACATTCCATCCAGGCTGGAAATTATTAAAAAAAAATTAATAAATTAAAAATATATATGTTGAGATCGTTACATGATTGCGTTTTCATTGGCGCGCACCGTCGCCGCACTTATACGACACGTGTCCCATGGGCTGGGTTAGAATAAATTGGGCTTATATATGAGCCGGCCCAAATTCGGAAAACAATACGGGTATTTGGGCTCACGGAAGCCCAAGTAATATTCAATTGAGCTTTTTCCAAAAGCCCAATTGGGGTGTGTTGGTTTAAAAAATTTAGGCAAAATCCTACTATTGATCATAATTTTCTTTTAAAAAAACGTCAAATCAAACATTTATTTTTTATTTTTATATTATATTAAAAATTAGTTTTATATTCAAAATATCAACATGTTCAAAATTTTTATTATTCAAATTTCAACTCGTTTTTTTCAAAAAAAAAAATAACACGGGCTTTCAATTGGACTTTTTCCAAAAGCCCAATTAGGGTTTCAGTCATTATCGATGCTATTGTTTTATAGCGATTAGGGTTTTCAATAATCGCAGAAATTCTCGTGCAGCAGAAGCGATGGTGAAGGGGCGGCAAGGAGAACGCGTCCGGCTCTATGTCCGTGGAACGATCCTTGGATACAAGAGGTAGGTGGATGGATTGAATTTTTTCGTTAGGTTTTTTCGTGATAATGTTGTTTTCGGTTGGTGCGGCGAGAATTGGTGATTTGATTGTGGATTGTGTAAATTTTTTGAATAGGTCGAAGTCGAATCAGTATCCGAACACGTCTTTGATACAGATAGAGGGAGTGAACACACAGGAGGAAGTGGCATGGTACCAAGGGAAGCGAATGGCGTACGTTTACAAGGCTAAGGTTAAGAAGAATGGATCTCACTACCGTTGTATCTGGGGAAAGGTCACCCGCCCTCATGGTAACAGTGGCGTCGTTCGTGCTAAGTTCAAGTCTAATCTTCCCCCTAAATCCATGGTAAGGATTTTTCAGTATAGAAATTGTCTTTGTGTGGAATGTTTGGCATCTGATTGGTTGAGATTTTTGATTTTTTTGTGATACAGGGTAATAGAGTGAGGGTTTTCATGTACCCGAGCAACATTTGAGGTATGATCTTGGATAATTATTGTATTTAATTCTTATGTTTTTAAGAATGTTTTTAGACTTGAACAGTTGGTTCTTAAGCAGGGTATGTTAATGAATTGATGATGATCAGCTCTTGCATTTCTATGCATTCATAGTGTTTTGGAGTACTGATTTTGAAATGGTTATGTTAACTGTGTTTCTGTTTTCTGTTTTCTTTTTTTTGTTAGGGTGTTTTGGATTTGAAAATCTTGAATGGAAGGTAGTTTTTGGATGTGATCTTATGTTTTGAGTCGAAAATGGGTATTGGATGCCATGCTATGAAATGTTAAATGTATGATAGGATTTTGAGGTAATGCTTTTGATAGGAAATAAGTATTGATGGCGTTGAATCTGATGTTTTAGTGGAATAAATATTTTAGTTAGATTGCATAGTGCCAAATAGGTATGAAAATATCGACGAAAGCATAGGATTTAGGAACTTGTCAAGTCTTGTGGGGTATAATACTTATTGAAGTTTGGCCATGCATCATATACTTGGCAAATGTGTTCTCGTATTGATTGCTCTTGAGTGTGTTTGTTTAGTACTCTTATAGATTTAGGTGTTTTTGCTATAGGGATTGTGAAAGTATTATAGGAACGATCTTTTGTGCATTTTTATTGACTTCTATTTTTATATGTATATATTGTCTTTTTTGTATAATCTTTTTGGGGAATTGTATATAGTGAAAACACCTGGTGTGTTTGTTTGTGGATTTGATTTTTGGGTTTGAATTTTTTTTTGAATAGTAAATGTGTGAATCAAAATAGTTGTTTAACGTGATACAGACATTGATGTGAGGTTTGAATGTAAAATTGATTTTTAGTATAGTCTAAAAAATAAAAAAGAGTTATTTGATTAATGTTTTTAGAGGGAAAAGATAAAATCAATAGTAAAATTCTTGTGAGAAATCTACAGAAGAATTGCAGCCATTGAACACGCTTCTTGTAACCATTTGGGAATTGTATTGCGGGAAAGAAACTTCACAATGATTCCCATATGTGTTACTTCGGTTTATTTATTTAATAGCTTGTTGGCTTTGAAATGGATGCATTTGAAAAATTAAATGCAAGAATGTGAATTTTCTATCTAGATGCGATGAAATGAAGATACATAGATTCAAAATTTAGCGCATATATTTGTAATATACAAGTTGTTTGTCCCATGCGAATGATTATTCGATAAAATTGGTGTTCTATGTGGACTTGCCATAATAAAAACTAATAGTACTTTTCTATCGATTGCAGTGACTTGGCTCGTGTAGAGGTCTTAAACCCGAAGCTCTTCCTGCCCGCTGGTATTTTTAATTTATTCGAAAAAGTTTTGTTATTTGAAATGATAGCAGCTGTGTTTTTTTCATTAACTATTCGATATGTTGCTACTTTGGTTGTTCTTGATTGAATGGTGAAGCACAGACAATGCATACATGTTGACTATGCATCATTATGATTTTGAATTATCTTTTTAGCAATTCCGACTACACAATCAATTTTCACTTGTCTGGTATTATTCATTTTGAAAAAAATATGGCATCATATATAATTTTTTCTTTCAGAAGATATTAAAATCAAATGCTAATTTTTTATTTTTTTCCAAAATTTTCAAAACTTCAAAAACTCTCTGGCTAAACTGAGTCATGCACTTGTGGTGAGCCTTTGCATTTGCAGATTTTTTGCAACAATTGTGTAATTCAATTAGAACATACCCCTTTGTTATTTTATCTTTTATATAAAAGATAATTATATTCTAGATTTATCTTTTATATAAAAGATGGTATATATAATCACTATTATTTTTCTTAAAAAAAATAAAGTATAGAACAAAAAATAAAGGTTGCACATCAATTTTTTATGGTACAAAAGTTCTTAATAAAATATTATCTAATTTTTTTCTCCTAAAAATTCATATAAAAAAATCACACCCCAAAAGTTCTTTTTTATTAGGGACTACTTAAAAATATAATATTTTTCCTCTGCATTCAAACAACAATTCGAATTAAAATCAAAACAAAAAAAGCAAACCCCCGTCAAATATCCACTACATTATAAATAAGTAGACATTTGATCAACATGATTGAAACCATAGAAGGGAGTATTACTTACCCTAAAAAAAAAACTAATGTATCTAGTTTTCACACTTAATTTATCTAGTTTTCTGTAAATACAAAAAAAAATTTTAAAATTAAAATTAAAATTAAAATAACTAATAATTTAATTAGAATTAAGAAAATTATAAAATTCAATTAACATATATAATTATTTTCCAACAAAAAAAAGATACATGGGACGAATGGAAACAAAAATACAGACAATTTATATGCAACATAACTTACCAACCAAATATTACTACAGCTTGAGCCACTCCATGCAAGGGCAGAGTCCCCAACACAACCTCGCCGGATACGAATCCTTCAAGTAAACCTCCCTGTCCGTCCCAATTATGTAAAAACTAAATGAACTACGATTTCGAGCCATCGTTACCCGAGTTACCGGAACCACTGTGATGCTATGTCTCTCGCATATCTGCCTCGCTGTCGGAGGCACCGCAGCTCGCTCGCCAATAACTTCCGAGGAAAATTTGTTGAGGAAATACGAATCGGCAAAGAAGGCCGGAGTGCACTGGTAGGCTTGGGTGTTGCACAGCTGCACTCCTTTGGCTCTGTGGAAAACATCGTCGGGAACTGACGCCGCTCCCCTTGTTGCGCTTACTTTTCTCGCCTGCAGCGTTTTCCTGTTGGCAAATATGTTTCGATGCATGTTATTAGTTTCAGAACAAGTACAAGGGAAAAGTCGTAAATTTGATTATGCAAGTGACAGAGCTATCAAATCAAATAGTTAATATCATTTACCAAACTATCCATTTTTTAAATTAGTCCTGTCCCAGTATTAATTTTCCTACTGTACTATCTACCTTGTATTAATAATATCATTACAATTTACAATATATTACACCAATATCATTATTTTTATATTATGCAACACTAATAAAGTTAATTTTGTCATTTTAACATTATTTCTACTATATACCAATATAATATTAATATTAATAAAACTCCGTGAAAAAAAATTATTTGGATACTTCTTTAAGGGACGAAGGAAGTGCTATTTTTTCTCATAACATCATATCAAAATATAATTTTAAATCAATTTCCTCATTTTTGGGTTCAAGCTAAACAGACTACTACTGTTCAACTCAACTCGCACGAGTCCTTGTGAAATATTACATCAAAATACTATTTAAACCAAATTAAAATCATAATTAAACAAACCCTATATTACATAAGAAATCAAAATTTCATTCAAGATATAGCTAAATACACCTAATTAAATTGCATTAACAAAAAAAAAAAAAAAAAAAAACAAAATGAAACTATTAACTCAAAATTTTCATTATTCTCAAACTAAAAATTGAAAATCAAAATTTTACGGAAACACACTTTAAAAATGACCATGTATGAAGAAATATTGTATTTTACTCCTCGTTGCTCTAATAATCTCGTATTTGTACATGACACTTATTTCATACTTCTAGAAAAATAACAAGTTGATGATCTAAAAAACATGTTTACGTGAAATACTCAACAATTCACTTAAAAGAACTAAAATTAAGGAGCGCATTTGCATAACTAGTGTCAAAATTTTTGCCGGGCAAATTTAATAAAGATTCATACCATTTAACGATTGCCACTTGGCGCGTTAGAAGAGAGCCTCCGCCCCGACAAGTTCCACACTTGATTAATCCACGAGACCCACACGTTGCACATGGAATCAAGCCCTTGCCATCACATTTTCGACAACTGCAAACAATTGTTAGTCATACATATAGAGAAAGAACATGAACAACATTGATCACCAAACTACTAACAAACCTTAGGGCATTTTCGTTCAAAACTAAGATTGTATTTCCACATAAAATGCTTACATTGTATCTGAGCCATCTTTATGAGCGATCAACCCTCGACCATAACAAGTAGGACATTGAGACATTTGATTCTCCTTATAGAAGCCGGGCTCTTTTTCGGCATTACAAGAGGCGCATATAATATTTCCTCTTCCCGCGCAATCTACACAAATCCAATAAACACAGGAACACATCAGTGACCTTTTCTGATCTAACATTCGATAATAAATATCAAAGTTAAGTTTGATAAACAAGGCCCATCAATCTAATAGATCATACCTGAACATTTATCGACAACTTCAGAATGAGGAATCACTTTCCGTGACTCTTTTTGGGGTATAAACAGTACGGGAAACTCCGACCTGAGATCCAATTCCCAAATTCCGAGTTCAGGGCCTTTATCTTTTCCATCCACTTCACCTCCACCATACGGCTGTGTCTCTGATAAGGTTTCCCTCTCTTCAACGAATGTTTCAAGAGTTCCCACATAAACATTGCAATCCTCCACGGCATGAATAGCCCATGTCCGAGCAGGACGACTTCCCCAACAACAACGATGGCCAACGTGATCTATCAAAAGCTCACGAATTTCCACCTCATCCAATACTTGCCTGTGTTTTGTATTCAAAGAATTACACTATGTTTACAAATACACTTTTAGAGCTTTTGATACTGTTGATCAACCGTAATTTAATCCAAAACATACCATCAAATGCCTATTCTCTTTCGCAAAACATCACATAAATTACTAATATTTTACTATTCTCAAAAAATTTCAAAAATTTAAAAGTTTTGGTTTGGACAGAACCTTAAAATTGCAGCTACATTCATGTATTTTGTTCATAAATGGATCAACTACATAGGTATCTAATCATTTGAAATTCCGAATTATCGATTACATTACCTTTGTACACCAGCGGCATTTTCAGCCAAAGGTCCATAATATCCAGTCTGAGGATAACCAACTGCTTGCTCTGCAATAGATAATTTGTTTAACAAATCAAGATAAGATTCTTTGATAGAGCAATTAGGATCTGAAAGTGAACAAAGCAACTAGAGCTTCTACAACAACGATGCAGCTATGGAAGAAAAACCTAATTTACGAACAACAAAATCAAGATAAAATTCTTTGATAGAGAAATTAGGATCTGAAAGTGAACAAAGCAACTAAAGCTTCCACAACAGTGATGCAACAATGGAAGAAAACCTTATTTACGAACAACAAATTAAGATAAAATTCTTTGGTAGAGAAATTAGGATCTGAAAGTGAACAGAGCAACTAAAGCTAAAACAACAGTGATGCAGCTATGGAAGAAAACATATAATTTACGAACAAATCAAGCAATACAAACAAAAACAATTATAATCCAACTATATAGGCAAGACTTGGCACTCCATTTCTCTGAAATTCAAACGATAGTCACAACAATCAAATTACCGATAGGATAGGCAGGATTAGGAGGACTGAGTAAAGGAGCGTGAAGAGAGAGAGGATAGGGTTCGCGAAAAGCCGCCGCGGATCGAATTTCGTCGACGCTGACTTCAGTTCCTGACAAGGAAGCCGTCGGAATCGCCGATCCAACCCTCCCGATGTGCTCGTACGAACTCCATTTATCTGCACCAAAAAGCACTGAATGATTGAAGAAAGGAGTAGAACACAAAATTGCTCACCTAAAAACCGTTGGCTTACCTGCTGACAACAAAGGCTGCTCCATTTTCTTCTGATTGTTCTTGATTCAAATCAAAACTTCGATTGATGATCAAACTATGACTATGAATCATTGAATCTGAGTATTTAATACTGCAGAAATTTATCTTAATCGAGAAGGAAAACCCGAGGTCCGGTTGATCCTGTTCTTGGGGCAGGTAATGTCTTGGAAGCTCCCGGACTCCCACACCAGATATATAGACAGGCCCATTGGGCCGTAATAACTTAACCGGGCTTGTAAAGGCCCACTTTAGATTTATTTATTTATTTATTTATATGTAATTAGAGTTCCTTGCCAGGCCCAGGATTGTACCTGGACAGCTGCAAGTGAAGCACTGCAGCAGCAATGGTGAAGGGACGACAAGCAGAACGAGTGGGAATCTGGAACGATCTTTGGATTGGATACAAGAGGCGAGTAGAAATTTTGGATTATTATTATTATTATTATTATTATTATTATCTCAGTACCGCTTCCTCCAAACGAAAATATTTAATTTTTTTATATAGAAAATTATAGAAATAATATAAAAATAATAAACATGTTTAAATGTAAATGAAATTGCGTAATGAGAAAATGCAAGTACGTCTTCACTTTAACCAAAATCTTCAATTGAGGGTAGGGTTCTTTGCGTTTTCATCCTGTATTTCATTATTTTAAAAAAAATCTAATCAATTTATATATATATTATATGAAAATTTAATTTTATATTCAAAATATTATATCACAATTTAAAATTTTATTCCTAAAAATACTAAACTCAATTTCCTAACCATAAATAATCATCCCCTAGGAAAAAGCTTTTACAAAAATAATAGTCATAATAATAATGAGACACCTCATTTTGCATTTAAAATATTGTTATTTTTTATTTATGAATGCGAGATTGTATTTTGAATGTTTTGGATATAAAATCTTTCGTATAAAAAGAATAAATTTCTTAGGTGTATTTTATACTATTTATTGCCTATTTTTATTATTAATCTATAACAAATTATTTTTTCTCTATTCAAAATATATACACTATTTTTTAACAGATAATATTAGAAAAAGACAAAAAAAAAATAAACAAACATCACCTTAAAATTAAACATTATAAATTATTAGGTTAATCTTAGTAAATTCTAACGAACACTGTAACAATGGAGTTGAACATGCGAACAGTGGTGGCAGTAAATCAGAATGTGTATATATATATATATAAATGCCATAAACAACCACTTTTTGTGCTATACCCTTTTCATTCAAGAAAAACAAAAATAATTATTAAGAGTAAGAACATTAGGAATAATAAAACCAAAAATATTTAATAATTAAAAAAAAAAAAAAAAAAATCAGATTCAGGCAAGCAAATGTAAAGAACAGATTTAAAGGAGGGTTAAAGAATTTCTAACCATCACTGCAGTTTCTTCATCTCTAATATCCATTTATGAACCTTCATATCCAAGCCCACCAAGAGATGCCTCATTTTTCTATACCAAGATGTTGCGAATGTTTCGATTCGATCTTCAAATTTTTCGTACAGTGCCGGGATTGTAAGAACAATGACAAGACCTGAAGGAGCAAAGAATAGTTAGAAATATACAAAGCTACTGGTTTCGATCTTTTAGAAGATAAAAAGTTTTTAAGATTGATAGAGATATGGATCTTTTCTGGCTTACTAATGTAGCCCAAGGTAAGGAGATCGGTGAGGCTTCCGAGAATCGATGTTGCCAAAAGACCAAGAGCTGCTGTGATGAACATCTTCGAGTCCCTTCCATGGGCAATATCTTGTGACACTAAGAGCACATTGTTTACATGGCTGCGAATAATGGTAGCTGCTTCATTTACAAGTTCTTCCGAGAGATACAAATGTGGTAGAGGCGGAGGTGGTCTGTTTACAACAATTGTAAGGAAGTAAGAAATAGCCTCTCCGGCTGCATTTAAGTAGTGTATCATATGAACTGACAGTACATGACAATAATCCATACAATACATACTATAGTTGATTTCAACACCCCTTATAGAGAGACCTATTAACATACTCACATTACAAACATACCATTACGCATATAATTACTTAAAAAAATGTCAAAAACTCTTATACATTTTCACTAATCAATAAAATAATATTATTTCTTAATCTATTACAAATTCTCAAAAAGGCCTTTTATAACATGCTGTCTGCCTATTTATAATATTCTGATAGAAAAAATCAGTACGATGCTATTTGCCTATTTATAATATGCTGACAGAAAAAATCTAGTATTATGTTGGCTGCCTATTTATAATATGCTCACTGGAAAAAAAATCAGATGCTAATTTTAACTAATATGTGTTAATTGAAACTATATCTTGTCTGCCTATTTATGATATGCTGATGGGAAAAATCAGTACATGCTAACCTCTCCCTAGCCACTCCTTTTCAAGATCAAAATAATGCCTTGTAATATATCTATTATAACAGAAACTCTTCTGTTTACTTTGGCATTTGTTTTTAAGTTATTTTGCAACGACATGATCGCTGCTAATTATGAAAACATATTTATTTCATATCATAAAGCATCGCATCGAACCTATTTAAGCCAAAACACAAAGTAAACAAAGCATCAATCTATCTACTTCATATGATCTTTTTGGAGCAAGATGGTTCGGTAACTTAGTAACTGATAAAGCAGAAGATTCAGAACGAAATTGAAGAAATGATTTTCTTGTGCAGAGTCAATCTATCTACTTCATATAATCTTCTTGGAGCAAGCTGGTTCGGTAACTTAGTAACTAATAGAGCAGAAGCTTCAAAGTGATGATTTTCTTGTCCAGCATTTTCTTTCAGAAGTCAGTTGCTTGATTGTGTTTATTATGCTCGATGATATCAATCTCAATTCAGCCTTGAATTTAGATAAGAATTATCAACCCTAATTCAATTTCAAGAAGCCATAAAAATAGCTATAGTAGCACAGAGTAGAGGGGGGGAAAATACAAGAAACCTGTTCAAAATTGCTGCAGATTTTGCCCACAGAAACAGAATGGTGAAGAGGAGCAGGAACACACTTGAAAACAGTGACAGAAGAGTGTAACCTGATATCTCGAAAACCACCCAAGCAGCCAAAGTCACCACTAAAATTCGAACAGTCAGATCCTTCCGTCTCCATAGAATTACATCTGCAACTGTTTATCAGAAAAAGATTCAAACAGTCAACTCCTTCAATTCAAATATCGAATTCAGGACTCGCTTATCATTTGCTAGGTTAATGACAAATTTCACGTCAGCGATTTTCAGTATGTAATTCTGTGTGCGAGTTAGATCCGCTTGATCGGAACTCAATTGCGGACAAACGCGATTTTTATTCAATTTGAACTAAACTTATCCTTATTTTTGTTGGATATCGCTTGATTGCGAAACCGATGAGTCAGAATTAAGTCTTCCGTAAAGTCGATTCAAAACTGAAAACCAGCGAAGATGAAGAACTTGACTGAATTTCAATCAACAAGCAAAAAAACGACAACTCGAGACTTACCGAGACCTCCGCCGAGAATCTGATGAACAGTTCTTTGCCTGTTGAACAGCCGATCGGACGAAACCATCATCAATACTTTTGAGTGAAAAAATGAAAAACAGGAATCATTAACTGATTCAATTTACTTCCACTTTTATATCAGGCAAAGGAATGATCCAGTCACGAGACCAAAAACACCTCAATCTCCCAATCCTCAATATGGAATTAAATTAAAAGCTCAGTCCACTCTGTAAAGCTCACAGCGCATTTATTTCTCTTTCCTCAGTCGCCCAATTTCTTATTTGTAAACATATTTTCCACACACACACGCAGAAATTCCAGCTTAAAAGCTTGAAAACACCTTTTCCATTGGTAACTTTTCGTCAAATCCAAAAAAGTACCTCCGCTGGATGGCCTTGGTCGGCGGACTGGCTTGAGGATAGAGACGTGTGGGGGAGGTTTCTCCCGCTGCTACCATTTTCTTCTTCCTCTTTCCTGTCGCTGTTTTATGCGCTGTTTGTCGTCAAGCAGATTTTTAGAAAATTGTGTCTATTTATATTAATACAATTTCTCAATTATTTTCTATATAATAAAATTTAAATAGATATAAAAATATTACTCCGTGTATAGTTTACTAACTCGATGTTTTAAAACTCAAATCCAAAATAATAATAATAATAATAATAATAATAATAAATAAACGAGAAAAATTGTGGACTACCAAAACTTGTAGCTACCAAACACGATTTAAGGGGTGTAGTTGGTCTAGATATAAAATTATACTTCTCTCAGTTCCATAAATATAGTCTTAATTGAATTGGACATGAAATTTAAAAAATATTGATATTATATTTATAGTTGATAAAAAATATGAATAAAAATTTTTCTTTTTTTTGTAAAAAATAGTGACAATTATTGTTTTGAAATAAAAAAAAAAAAAAAAATACAAGAGATGGAAGGAGCAGAGGAAAGTAGAGAGCAGGAAAATAGATATAACATATAAATACAGAAAAGTTCGATCTACTATAGATAATACATTACATTCTAGTAGAATAAAAAAAAAAAAAGAGGAATATATTGATTAAGAGAAAATGATAGGTTAGATAAGATAGTATAATTTTATGTAAGGTGTGTTTCATTGTGGAATTTTACTCAAATTTTTATTATATGTAGTATTTTTTAAAATATTGAATGAAATATACATATATTGTTTATTTTATACTTAATATTAATTTTATATTTTAAATATTACTGATCATCTGTATTTCAAGTCTTATTCGAAATCTTTTAAGTCGGATTTGGTCAACTTGATTTCAGATAACTTGATAATCCAAGCAAACTCCAAAAACCACGTAAAATATACCAAAAAATATGAAAATCGATACAAAACATATCTGAAAATTGAAAAATTTTAAACTCATCTACAAAATTCAATAAGAAATAGATTAAAAAACTTGATTTTGTTTATATATATATATATATATTTATAATTAGTATATTGTTTTTTATATAATTTTATTTTTTCTATATTATTTCATTTTATAAAATATTCTTTCGGTCCGACTCTAAAAATCTTATTTATTTTTTGCATAATTGTATTTAATATTAAAAATATTTTTTATTTGTATATTTTTTTGCACAAATGTCATTATAATAGTACTATAAGACATATTTTTGTCATTTCTCTTTATTTGTACTATGTTTTCATATAATAATACATGCAAAAAATAAATAAGACTCCTGAAGCCGGACTAAAGTAGTACTATTATAATTTGAAATAAATAGAAATTAATTTTGATGATAAAATTATATTAAAATTAAGTTGAATTTGAATTTTGGATTATTTTATTATCATTTTTATACTTGGGATTATCAGGTGATTTTGAAGCCCAACTTATCTAACCCCAATTAATTTATTATTTTTTAAAAGTTTAGTTTAGATTGACTTCTTTTTTTTTTTTTTTTTTTTTTTTTTTTTTTTTTTTTTTAGTTCAGAACAACTAAATTTGAACCTAAATTTTTTCATTTAAAACATCTTCGGTTTTTGGATGGATTTAATGTTGACACTCTTATCAACACATTTAAAGTGTGTTTGTTTGTGGTTTGAATTTTGAGTTGGGATTTAAATAGTAAAAATTTTGAATTTGAATAGTTGTATGATGTGATATAAATAAAACGATTGATATGATTGTTTGAATGTAAAATTAATTTTTTTATAATATAAAAAATAAAAAATAAGCGTTTAATTTAATATTTTTTTTTAAAAAAAAATGAGATAGAATAATTGGATTTCAATCCCCCAATTAAACACACCCACTCATCCAAACACACCCTAATTTGAAAATTCACATAAATATGATTTGTTTAATTGGTGATTATTTATTCTAATTTTGATATGTAATATTTTAAAAATAAAAAATAGTATAATTTTACATAGAATTGTAAAAGTTGATAAGTAAAAAAATATTAATAAAATACACCTGCATTTCCAAATCTTTATAGAAAATAATAGTACATAATAAAATTGTAATGAAAATAAATTCACTATAAAAATAAAATTTAACTATCCAACTGAAATCTAAAAGGGGACAAATGTATTTAGGTAGGAAGTAAGAGAATAAATTAATGAAGAAAAAAAAATGATAAATCAAACAAAAATTATGAAAAAATATTATCATATTTAATTAATATTTTTTTTATTTGAATATTAATTTAAATAATATTTTATAAGATCGAACTAATATATTTTCATAGTAATTATAAAAATTAAATAATAAAAAAAAATAAACTCACACCAAATTTTATTTTTATTTTTTATATATTTTTTGCATATAAAAATTCGAAACGAGGAATGGTTTATTTTCAAAATTTAATTCTCTAACTCAAATATTTGTTATTTTCTGTCGTTATTTTTTTATACCAAACATCAGAAAATAAAAATAAAATTCAAAAACAAATATTTATTTCTTAATTTTAATTTAGAAATAAAAATATTTATATTGATCTATTTTAATTTTTTTACCAAATGCTCATAAGAGAAGAGTGCAAATATGCATAAATAAAGGGGCGGTTAAGCAAGTAAAATATAAGGTTAAAAAAAATATAAATAAATAAATAAATACAACAGAATTAAAGGTTCGAGCACTTGGTGCTTCAATCTTGCTTCAATTCCTCTTCTCAGATCTCCAAAACCCTTCACTGGGGCTTTGACCACACGCAATTGTTGCCCCCTTTCTTTTGATTTTGGTTCCTAATTTCAACTCGAGTGAAATCTTAGGGTTCTTGTGCCTAATTCATGAGAACTCGGAGTTTCACGTTTCTAATTGTCCTTATTTTCGCGTTTTCGAGCTGGAGTTTTCATTATGGCGTCTCGCAATCGGAAGAGGCCAAAAAGAACAAATTTCGAGAGCGTGAGGCCACTGATGATAGTCTCGGTTATCCCAATTTGTAAGTTTTGTTTAAGCTTTTGATATTAAGGATTAGCAAGTTGCATTCTGTCGCTGATTGGATAATTGAAGGATTGACTTTTTCTTGGTTTCATTTGGATTGGAGTGTGGTTGTCGGAAACGGAAGCTATTTGTTCATGTTTAGTATCATTCGGTTGTTTGCGATTCAACAGTATAGTAGAAGTGTATTTGTGCGATTTTAGGCATGCATTTGGTACAAAATTTAGTTTGTTCAACATTTTAATATAGTACTGGTGTTTATGTTTGTGTTGGTAGCGATGAGGATGAGCTTCTGAATACACAATGTCCTCAGCATTTGGAACTGAGATGGCAGTCTGAAGTGAGTTCCAGCATATACGCTTCTCCATTGGTTGCAGATATTAACAGGTGATGAAAATAGAATTGGCCGTTGTGAAGTTTTTATATTCTGTACCTACTCTGCCCATATATATCTCTCATTCATCCATTCTGTTGCTTGCTCTTATTCTGTGTTTTAGTTTATAGAAATATGCTTAGATAATCTAGGTTGGTTCAATTATAGAGGGATGATTTGATCACCTTCTTAACCGAATTTTTTACTTTTATATAAAACTAGCACGAAGTCCTGTTAGAATGCCATTCTTTCCTACAAGTTTGTCTATAATTTTTGGATTTTTTGCATGTGATCTTTATTCTATTTCCATCTCTAGAAATTTCTTTTGTATCCTTCAGTGATGGAAAGCTCGAAGTAGTAGTACCTACCTTTGTGCACTACTTGGAAGTCCTAGAGGGCTCTGATGGCGATAAATTGCCAGGTATACTAAATGTTTGCAAAAATATACTTGTACAAAAGGGTTTTTTGATTGTTGATGATGTTATAAATTCTGTTTGTATGTAACCTATACATTTCATAATTTGGATTGAAAGACCTAACATGGATAACTAAAACTCTAGGAAGTGTCTTATTGTTTCCCATCAAGAAATGACCATGATCTGTTCTTTGTTGAATAATGTATTAGGATGGCCGGCTTTTCACCAGTCAACAGTTCACTCTAGTCCTCTTCTGTATGACATTGACAAGGATGGTGTCAGAGAAATTGCTTTAGCTACTTATAATGGTGAAGTGCTCTTCTTTAGGTAACAAATTACCACCCACCCTAAATGCTACTCTTTATCTTGAGTTAGAATAGCCATTTACTACATTCCATTTTGTGGTAAATAGGGTCTCGGGATACATGATGTCAGATAAACTGGAGATTCCAAGGTTAAGAGTTAAAAAGAATTGGTATGTGGGTTTGCATCCAGATTCAGGTGACCATGCCCACCCAGATGTTCATGATGAACAACTGATGAAAGAGGCTCTCACCAACTCATTACCTCGTATGTTCTTTCATATATTTTTTCAAGTCTTAGTTGACAGTCTACGTTATTTTGGGTTGCTTGAATATTTCAATTACAATAGTCATGTTGGAAGCTCTCATTTTAGAACTTAAGTTTGATCATCTGCAGGAACAGAGTATTAGTGAAGTTTAAGCTTATCATACTGCAGCCCAGGAAAATATTTTCATTTCTATGAGCCAGGGAGATTATTGCACCATATAAATGCCCATAATAAGACTTATGACTTTTAGTCTGTTAGGGTGGTACAATGGGATTCAAGATCTTAGTATTGTCTCTGTGCAAGTAATAAATTTGTGAAGTGGAGTAAAAACACCATGGAAAAATTAAAGCAATATTTCGACGATGGCAACTAATCAATTGTAATTTCTCTTTTAAGTTTATATTATAGACTTACCTCACCAAAATGACTGATGTGCTAGTGTAACTCCACATCATGCTGGTTGAGCATCCTGTGGAATCCAGACTAGGATGAATCCTCTACTTTTTCCCCTCCTTTGAACCTTGTTAGCGATAAAACATTAGCATGTGCGTGAGTCTGAAATTCATCTGATTCATTCTGTCAACAAGGCTAACCTTGCTATAAATTTTCATTAATGTTGATGTGAACATTCATCTTTAATTGTATGAAATAGTACTAAATTATTGAACATATGTTACCAATATTAAATGTCTCTCAGAATCCAATGGAAGTACACTCGCATCAAATGTTACACACTCTGCAACAGATCACCAGGACACATTGAATTCATCAAATTCAGTTCCAGAAGTAGTTCACAATGACACATCGTCTCTCTCAGTGCCACTTGATGCTGAACAGCATCAGCTGAATTCTTCTCAAATTGAGAACCAAGTGAAGACAAATAATAGTCAGCTAGATGGAAGCATCAAGATGCCAATGAACACAAATGGCACATCTGCTTTGGAATCTGACCATGGTAGTACCGGAGAAAGTGGAAAAGCTGCAAGAAGGCTTCTTGAAGATAAAACTTCGAATGGCAATGAGGATGTCCATGCTGCAACCGTAGAAAACATTGGAGGTCTGGAAGCAGATGCTGATTCATCATTTGATTTGTTGAGAGATACCGATGAATTGGCTGATGAGTATAATTATGACTATGATGATTATGTTAATGAAAGCATGTGGGGAGATGAGGAATGGGTTGAAACACAACATGAGAAATTGGAAGATTTTGTTGAAATAGATGCACACGTCTTGTGCACTCCAGTAAGTACAGTAATGTATGAAGCTTAATGCCAGTTTCTTGTTATGTTGAACCTCAGGATCAATGGTAATTTCAAATTTCTTCAGGTCATAGCAGACATTGATAAAGATGGCGTCTCCGAGATGATTGTTGCTGTTTCTTACTTTTTTGATCGTGAGTAAGTTTACTCCCATATACAATTTCTCTCACCTATTTTGTAGGCACATGATATCTTATCCTGTTTTGATATCCTTAACTCGTAAGCATCTGGGACATAATATAATCCCCCACATGGTTTTGTTCTTGGTGTTGAACATGAGAATGTATTTTCAAAGACATCACCAGTACTGGTGCATGTTTAGAAGTGCTAATTGTGAATGTTGTCTACTTTAAATTTCTGGTATCTGTTTTCAGTGTCGGAAGTTGTCAACTTAGTTTGCTTATTACTAGGATTCCAACTTTTATTTATTTATTTATTTTTTCCTTCAAAAAATAAGTATTAGTTTTTTTTATGGTCTCTGTGCTGATATTGAGGAAATGAGGAAGGGGGAACTGTGTCTGCCTTTTAGTTGTGTGTTTGTGTTTCTAGTTACGTCAATTATCTAATCTGTCAACTGATTTTCCAACTGACTAATTCGTAGTTTGGCAGGTATTATGACAATCCAGAACATTCAAAGGACCTTGGTGGTATTGATATTGGGAAATATGTTGCTGGAGGTATTGTTGTCTTCAACTTGGACACCAGACAAGTTAAATGGAGTACTCAACTGGATCTTAGCTCTGATACTGGGGACTTCCGGGCGTACATATATTCCTCTCCTACTGTGGCTGATTTGGATGGTGATGGGTATTTGGATATTCTTGTCGGCACTTCCTTTGGGTTGTTTTATGTCTTGGACCATAAAGGTACTTACTCTCCGAACCATTTGTTTCAACATTCTCTTCATGTCTAGCCTTCTTGCATAATTTAGCAATACAAGGACCATTACCTTCATTCACCCTGATTGATTATTGATACTACAAAGCAAATTCTATCTACTTGTTATTTGTGACCAAGCAAGAAAATTTCTTTTAGTATCTATCTACAAAGCACATTTCTTGTTTGCTGATAGTTTCTTGGAATTCTCGATTGTGTATGGTCTCGGAGCCTTTCTCATGTTGTTATTATATTCATTATTTCTTTATATCCTTATTCAGGCAAAAATAGAGATAAATTTCCGCTGGCAATGGCTGAAATTCAAGGTGCAGTAGTTGCAGCTGATATCAATGATGATGGGAAAATTGAACTAGTGACGGCTGATTCTCATGGAAATGTTGCTGCTTGGACTCCGCAAGGAGAAGAAATCTGGGAAAAACATGTTAAAAGCCTTGTTCCACAGGTGGTTTACGCCATTTTGACTTCTATTTATTTGGATTCAAACATTGTATAAGCAATTTCTGATTTCTCCAGGGTCCTACTGTTGGAGATGTGGATGGAGATGGTCATACTGATGTTGTTGTCCCAACACTCTCTGGAAACATATATGTTCTCAGTGGCAAAGATGGAACAATTGTGCGCCCATATCCTTACAGGACTCACGGTAGAGTGATGAATCAGGTTCTTCTCGTTGATTTAAGCAAACGGGGAGAGAAGAAGAAGGGGCTAACGATTGTTAGCACATCATTTGACGGGTATCTGTACCTCATAGATGGTCCCACATCATGTGCAGATGTTGTGGATATTGGAGAAACATCGTAAGATCATTCTAAGATGCTTAATTAACAAGACCCTTTTTTTAAATGTCGCCATTTAACAAAAAATCTTTCTTTGATGATAGATATAGCATGGTTTTGGCCGACAACATAGATGGTGGAGATGATCTTGATCTTATAGTGACCACCATGAATGGCAACGTCTTTTGTTTCTCAACACCTTCACCACATCATCCCCTCAAGGTAGATTTTTCTTGTACGATCTTTATGGTTGTGTTCTTTTGTAAGTTTTACGACAGATTCATACTGTTCAGATTCTTTTTTCTCTCCAAAAATATCAAATCAAACAATTACTTTTTTTCTTTTTATTCTGCTACAAATTTATTTTACGTTCTAACGCCTCATCAATATCTATTTATATCATATGAAATAACTATTTAAATTGAATTTTTTACTGTTCAAAAATTCTAACCCAAAACTCCAAACCCACAAACAAACACACCCATCTGTTTTTCAGTTGTTCTCCATCCATATTTCTTGAAATCTGTGCATAATTTTAGGCGTGGAGATCTCCAAACCAAGGAAGAAATAATGTTGCTCACTCTTATAAACGGCAAGGCATATATGTAACTCAATCGTCGCGCACTTTTCGCGATGAAGAAGGGAAGAACTTTTGGCTTGAAGTGGACATTGTAGACAATTACAGGTTTCCATCTGGCTCACAAGCACCTTATAATGTCACGGTACGTCTCAATTTTTATTTATTTATTTTTTTTACTAATCAATTATTCATATTCTTTATGTACCTAATCCTTCTTATTTTCCTTCTCTACAACCATAGATAAGTTTGTTGGTTCCCGGTAATTTCCAAGGAGAGCGAACAATTAAGCAAAACCAAATCTTTGATCGTCCTGGCCAACATCGGATCAAACTTCCGACAGTCCCTGTAAGAACTGCTGGATCTGTATTGGTGGAGATGGTCGACAAGAATGGACTCTACTTCTCAGACGAATTCTCTCTTACATTCCATCTTTATTACTACAAACTGTTGAAATGGCTCCTGGTCCTACCCATGCTTGGAATGTTCGGCATTCTCGTCATCCTGCGCCCTCAAGAAGGCATGCCATTGCCGTCATTTTCGCGAAATACTGATCTGTGATAAGAGGTAACAATCAAAATCTTTGATTTACATTTCTGGCACATTCAGGAAGAACTTAACTGTGCTTGAAAGGGCATGAATCAAAAATGCCCTGTGGAAAAATCTTGCCCCGAGCATCTGAAATGAGAGCCTAACTTATCTGTGGCATAGCAAATTTTACGTGTAACAAAACCATTCCGGGACTTCTTATAGTTACTGAATAGAAAGGTAATTTCGCAGCGCCTTGATTCCTTTGCTTCTTGCTTTTTTCGACTTCTGTAGAGCAATTCAGTTGTGTAAACTGGTATAGGGCTTGAAGTTTGACGTTTTGCCTGTGTATGCTGAGGCTAAGTTTGAGTTTTACTGCTGGAAAATTTTACACAATTTTATGTGCTGCTTTTGCTGTTTTAACTCGCTTTGTTTCGACTTTTTTCGCTTGCTTTTACCTCAAATTGGTTCTGATGGATTTGTTTCATATGATGCTTATGTGTATTTGTTGGTCATTCTAAAATACCATTCATTTATCTATCTATTTTATCTATCAATTAAATGTGATATTTTATGAAGAAAGAAAAAGAAAAAGGCCTATTTTTATTGAGAACGTTGAGGATTATAAATGATTTATTAGGTACATATGGGCTATTGCCTATGTAGAGGTATTCAATAGCAAATAGATTTGATATACATTCATGTAAATAAATATGTAAATAAATATTGAAGATAGAGAATAATAATTAAATATTTTTATTTTATCAAATATTAGTAATGAAATAAATTTAATGAACTGGTAAAAGGAAAATGAAATCAATTTAGGCTAAAAACACTAGACAAACAAAACAGCTAAAAGCGCTAGACAAACAAAACACTGCATTAAAAAAGTCAGGTTTCCATGTGCGCGTTTGTCAGGCGGCTGTAGATTGATTTAAATTTTTATTTAAATAATATTTTAATATTATATTTTTAAAAAAATAATATTGTATATTTTTTTATCAGAAACTATAGTGTTATTTGGATTTTAAATATTAAAAGAAAAAACCCTTAGATTTTATCTAAAGTTTTCATCTTTTCAAACAACCCTAAGCAAATCTCATGTTCAAATAACTCATTTTTTCAACACCAGTTCAATAAAAATAGAAAGAAATGCTGAGAGAGTTCAAGAACAAGATCAAATGAAAAAATTGAACAATATCTCAACTCAAAACAGTGCAAGCAGCATTTATGATCCAATGGTATTACTACACAAAGGTCGTTATACGACGCTTACAATCAACACCATTCTTCTTCTCATCAAGATATCATGAACCAATAAACGAGCATTATCTAAGGCAGCAACCACCCGAAGCTAAAGCTATCAACGCTATCAATAAGACAGGCACTAAATATTCCAACAGAAATGAAGATCAAATATCGAATATCCAAGAAGAGCCAACAAAGATCGAGTTAGTTCTACTTTCAACATATTCCATTGAATCAACAAGAGAAAGCACAACACTTATTACCCATCGAACGTTAAAGACAAAACAAAGTATAGATCAAATTGAAAAACAAAACAATAATAAAATTGAAAAGTTCTAAACATATCATTACAACTTTGTCTGCACAAAAAGATCGAAAACAAGGCTACAGTGCAAGAAGTGCCAACAAAGATCGAGTTAGTCATAACTTCACATATTCTATAAGGGGAAGCAGAAGCACGTGATCCCCTATCGAACAATAAAGACAAAACAGAGAAAAGATCAAAATGAAAAACAAAACAATAATAAAATCGAAAAGTTCTTGCTCATATCATTACAACTTTGTCTGCACAAAAAGATCGAAAAACAATGCTACAAAACAAACCACTAATCCAAGAAGTGCCAACAAATGTCGAGCTAGTTCTACTTTCAACACATTCCATTGAATCAACAAAATTAAACACAAACATTAAAGCCAAAACAAAGTGTACACAAAACTGAAAAAAACAAAACAATACTAAAATCGAAAAGTTCTTACACATATCATTACAACTTTGTCTGCACAAAAAGATCGAAAAAACAATGCTACAAAACAAACAACTAATATGCCTGCAACACCGGCCTCTTACCAAGCCTCTTGATCTCCCTATCCATTTGGCCAGTAACCATCAATCCAAACATTTTGAAATTACATATTAACGACCAAACCGGATGCCCAAACGTCGTCGGGACATTCCCTTCGACAAAGAAATGACTATACCAAGCCAATCCATACCCAAACAATGGCACAAATATCATACACCACCAGTTGAACACCACTGAGTACACAAACCACAATATACTGCACAGTGTTCCTGCAAAATGCCAACGCCTTGTACCTGCTTTCGAATGATGATTCATGTAAAATGGCCAAAACTCCTCCAAGCTCCTGAAATTCATCTCTCAGCTTCCCCCAAATCGAAATTGCATAATATAAACAACAAATTTTGATACAGATTACTTAAATCCCCAACAAATAATCCCCAATTCCAGACCTCCAGGGAAACCCTTAATCGGAAATCAATTTAGGGCTTGATCAAATTAACCTAACAAACAGATCCAATACTGAAATTACACTCCAGATTGTGAAGACATAACATCCAATTCACAGTATACGCAATAAATAAAGGATGAAGGGTGAACTGTAGCTATCCTCAGTGTTGAACCTCAATTGACGAAGTGAAGATGGTGATTTGAGGATCCAATTGGAGCGTGTCTTCCACCACGTCCATTACGGATATGCAATCGAACGAGTCTGCGACGACTCAAACTCGATCAGTCTCCACTCGTCAGTCAATTTCTTTGGTTGCCCAGAAATCTTTCATCACAAATCCTGGTCAGCGATGTGCATCTGATCCACAGCTGATGAAAATCTCAAACGGGAATAAAAAATATCAATAATAATTATTATTGCGTCATAAAAAATAATTATTATTATTGTAAAATATAGTCCTGATTTTAGGTTTATTTGATTGCATAAAAAACTAAAAAAAAAGGAAAAAAAATCAATACTAATGTAATTAATTAATCTATATAAACAAATATTTAGTTTCGAAAATAATATTTTAATAAAAAAATATTAAGATAAAAATAATTAGGTATTATAAAATAATTACAAAATATTTAATGAAAATTAAAAAATAAAAAATAATTATTTATTAAAAATAAAACTTATAAAATTATAAATATAAAAATATAATTATTATAAATAAATTATATATAAATTTAATAAAAAACACAATGCAATAATTATCAAAAACTAGAAAATAATTCGCATTTATGAGGGAATATTTGCCTTTTGGGTTAGGCCCATTTAGAAAAGTCTTTCTGGCCCAATAAAGGCCTATAGGCCTGTGTATATATGTATATATATAATTCTTCTTCTTCGCAGTGGCGGCTGCAATGGCGCAGCCACCGTCGGGGCTCCTGAAGCTTCTGAAATCGGAGAAGAGTCTAACTAAAGTTCTGAATCTACTCAACGCTGCGAGTGGGGACGCTAAGTACAAGATTTCAGATAGTGTGTTCTACCACGTACTCCACCGCCTCTGCCGCTCCAATGATCCGAAACTGCTGCCTAATGCTGCACGGATTGTGGAGGTTATTCGGCTCCAGCAATGTCCTTGCTCTGAAGACACTGCCATAGCTGTTTTGAAACTGTATTCTCGAAACCAGATGGTGGAAAGCGCGGTTGAACTTTTCCAGAAGATGAAGGAGGTTTTCGGCTGCGAACCGGGAGTGAGGTCGTATAATTGTTTGATGAACGCCTTTGTGGTCTCGAATCAATTGAGCAAGGCTGAGATATTCTCCAGGAATCTGCGAAGAATGGGGGTATCTCCGAATCTGGAAACTTTTAATATCTTAATCAAACTCGCATGTAAAAAGATGGATTTCGGAAAGGCGAAAGAAATGATAGATAGAATGTGGGAAGCGAATGTTCTTCCTGATGTTTATAGTTACGGCGCTTTGATCGACGGGCTTGCAAAAGGGGGCGATTTGAACTACGCAGTTAAGGTGTTCGATGAAATGCTTGAGAAAGGCCTGAAGCCTGATATTATGTGTTATAATATTTTAATAGATGGTTTTTTCAAAAAACGTGATTACAATGGAGCTAATCTGATTTGGAAGAGGTTAGAGAAGGATTCATGGGTTTATCCAAGTGTTGTCACCTACAATATCATGATTAATGGCTTCTGTAAGTGTGGAAAGTTTGGTGAGAGCTTGAAATTGCTAGAAAGGATGAAGATGAATGAGAAGAAAGTGGATATGTATACATACAGCACTTTGATTCATGGGTGTTGGAAGTTTGGGGATATTGATGGGGCCGAGAAGGTTTTTAATCAAATGGTTGAGAACAATGAGTCACCTGACGCCGTCGTATACAATGCAATGCTAAATGGTTATTTCGGGTCAAGAATGGTTGGAAAGTGTTTGGAGCTGTGGGAATTGATGGGAAAGAATGGCTGCCGAAGTGTCTCTAGTTTTAACATAATGATGAAAGGGATGTTCGATAATGGTAAGGTAGATGAAGTTTTTTCGATATGGAATCTTATGAGGGAGAGTGGATGTGTCGCTGACTCGACATCTTATGGAATTTTAGTCCATGGATTGTGCAAGAATGGTTACAGTAATAAGGCTTTGGAATTATTGTCGAATGCTAAGGAGGGGAAAGGCCGTATTTTAGATACTTATGCTTATGCGGCAATGGTAGACGGGTTGTGCAAAGAAGGAAAGTTATTCGAAGCCGTTTCTCTGCTAAATGATATGGTTAGCAATGGCTGTAAGCCAAATGCTCATATTTACAATTCTTTGATAAACGGCTATTTAGGAGTTGCTAAATTCGAGGATGCCGTTAAGGTTGTTAGAGAAATGGTAAGTGCAAATTGTTCTCCTACAATCGTTACGTATAACACGCTTCTTAATGGCTTGTGCAAAGGTAAACAGTTCGATAAGGCGCCGGAAATAGTGAAGGAAATGATCAAGAAAGGGTGGAAGCCTGACGTGATTACGTATAGTTTGCTGATAAAAGGGCTCTGTCTGGCGCATAAATCAGAAACGGCTCTCGATTTATGGACCCGAGTTACGGTTGAAGGTTTTAGACCCGATGTACAGATGCATAATACTTTCATTCATGGACTTTGTTCAGTTGGGAAAACACGACAAGCTTTGTCGTTGTACATGGACATGAACCGTTTGGGTTGTACGCCGAATCTTATTACGCACAATACTATGATGGAGGGATTCTATAAAGATGGTGATGTAAGAAATGCTTCGGGTATTTGGGGCCGTATGTTAAGGACCGGGCTGCAGCCGGATATTATTTCTTACAACATTACTCTTAAAGGTCTTTGTTCTTGCAATAGAATGTCGAGTGCTGTTTTGGTCTTAGATGACGCCTTGATGAGGAGAATTGTTCCTACTGTCGTCACGTGGAACATACTCGTTAGAGCTGTTATTTACTCCGGTGCTCCAAGATGAATTATCGAATGGGTATAGTGATTTATTTCGATTGATTTGTTAATTTTCGGGCACTATTAGCTTCGGTAAAATTTATGTTTTGTTTTTGTTTTAGGGCTATATGGATTATTGCTGCTTTTGTTCAAGTTATGTGTTCTTTATTTCACAGCATCTAAATTAACATATAGTCGTTGATGATCATAGTCGGATCACCAAATGCTATATGTGATGCGAAAGTAAATTACGACTGATGTATTAGCCCCAGAATAGTAATATTCTCTCTGGAGTTATAACTCATGCGACATTTTTCGATAACTTATCTCTGTTTTAGATTCGTTATATATTTATATTACACAATAGGAAACACTTCACACTATCTATTCTTTGCTGTTTTCTTGTTCGATTTTGTCAGTTTCGGACAACATACTCTGTTCATAGATTAGTTGTGTAAGCAAGCCCACCAGAATGACCCCTAGAACACTACCCTTCCCCCAGTCGGGTGATGCCGAAGATACTACAACATCTACGATTGCAATTATTACCAAGATAATTAATGCAATGTAGATGTTCCTTCGGATTACTGAGCCGGCGCTTTTCTTGTTCAGCTCCCGAATCTTTTCAATTTCTTCTTTAGCTTGTGCCTTGTCGACGGGCGCTTTTTCGCCGAGGTTCTTGAAGAACAGCCATTCATTTCTGTCTTTCTCAATCTTGTCTTCGAAATCTGCTAATTTTTTTTCGTTTTCTTCAATCTCCTGTTTGTTCAACTCTGTTGATTCCTCGAACTCCTGCATCCGACTCTCTATGTTTTCCATTATCTGTTCGATAAATAGAACAAATCACTTGTTACTAACAGATTTCAAAATTTATTTCGTATGCATTCAACAGGAAAAAAAAATAAACATGCCCTGGCGCCGGCTTCATCCAACTCCTTGAGGGCATTTTCACCAATCTGGTCGATTTCAGCGTTTGCTTCATCCGCAAACTGCGTCAGGAAAGCCGATCTTTCGTCCAAATAATCCGTGAGACGAACTTTCTGAGCTTGAAGCATTGCAATTCTAGCAAGAAGTTCCTGCTTGCGTAAATCCCCTCCCGACGATTTCGGAGCTTCTTGATCAGAATCCTCCGAACCATTCGATTTGCAGAAGGACAGGACTACCCTCTTCTTCCCGAAGAATTCTCTTTCAGGGAAACATCCATGGCGGGGAATAAAACAGGTTTGAATTGCTTTAAGATACAGCATAATTTCTTTTCTTGGGAAGTTATGGCTGAGGGAAAGAAAGAAAGAAAGTGATTACACAGTTAGAATCATTTTGGGCCTCTCATTCGAATCCTATATATTATCCATTCTTGTTTGAAAGTGACTGAAACTTTGTTTCTTTTATTTAAGTTTTTGCAGTACAGACAGAATACGATTCGAAAAGCTTTCGGCTTTCGCTATTACATTGCTGATGTTTCTACCGGTTTTTTGTAGGTATACCATTTTGCGACGACGGAATAAAACCCGAGATTTGCGACACTCAGCACAGCCAACAGCCAGAAGAAGTTATGAAGCTTCCCATAGTTGAGGTTATCAGGTATCCATCCATGGCTGCCATTCTTTGTGCTAACTTCTGTTACCAGCTTCACCAGCAAACTGCTTAGGTAATTCCCGGCAGCCACCGTCGTCAGCGACAGCGCCGAGCAGAGGCTCCGCATTGTATCCGGGGCCTGTTCGTAGAAAAACTCCAGCTGCCCAATGAACGTGAAAACCTCGGCGCAACCTATTAGGGCGTACTGCGGGACTTGCCAGAATACCGAGAGGGGAATGTGCTTGAGCTCGTAGTATCCGTGCTCCTTCACGATGCGCAGCCGTATCGTTTCCAGAGTTGCCGCGGAGACCATGGAAATGATCGAAATCACGAGCCCGATTGCCATTCGTTGGAGCTGAGTGAAGCCGTTCTTGTTCCCTGTCAGCTTTCGAGCTACGGGCACGATGATCCTGTCGTAGACAGGAACCCAGAAGATGACGCTTATGGTGTCGAATAACGATAAAGACGCCGAAGGGATGTCGAAGGATTTCGTTATTCGGAGATCCATTGTGTTGCCTTGGAGGACGAACAGCGTCCCCATTTGACTGTACACCGCGCTGAAAACGATCCCCGTCGCCCATATCGGCAGAAGCTGTACTACGGATTTCAGCTCTTCGACGTGAGTCACCGTGCAGAGCCTCCACGGATTCACCGTTCCGTTTCGCCTATCGGATTCCGTCTCGATCGCAGCCCGGTCGAAGAACCTCAGCTTATCGGTATGCTCAAGCTTCCGACTTCCTTGAACTGATTCTTGATCCGATGTTTCGTAAAGTCCCGTTTCGTCCTTTGGCAGGTCCAATCCCGATTTCCTGATCGCGGCGACGACGACCTGGGTGATCTGGGTCAGGGGACTCCCGCCGGGCTTCCGATTCCGGTACCGCCGCGTGCCGGAGAAGAAGGTGACCACCGCCAGGGCCATCGCCACCGTCGGGATGCCAAAACCCCACTCCCATCCGACGTTCGTTTGTATCCAAACAAGAACAGTTGATGCGACGAGCGCGCCGATGTTGATCGAGAAGTAGAACCAATTGAAGAAAGAGCTCTTGCTCTTCTTCTCGCCCTCGTCGGAATCGTCGAACTGATCGGCGCCGAACGGCGACACACATGGCTTGATCCCTCCCGTCCCGAGCGCGATCAAATATAACCCGACGAAGAACACCCCGGCCTCGAACCCCGTCGGATGACAGACTTTAGCTTCATCACACCGCGGCTTCAATCCATGGATCGATGCGGACAGCGTCAGTATCGTCATTCCCTGTAAGTACATTACAAAAATATCCGATCATCATAATCATCGTTATCGTCAATGTTGTAATTGTGCAGACAAGGAAATAAATCGTCGAAAACCGACGGCGACGTAGACGATCGAGAAAGCAGCAATGGTGGAGTATCTTCCGAGATACGCATCGGCGAGGAATGCGCCGAGCAACGGCGCGACGTAGCAGGTTCCCGACCAGTTGTTAACGTTGTTTACTGCGACTACATTGCTCTCGTTCATCTGGAATTTGAGGTAGTTCACCAGATTGGTGTTGATCCCATAATATGCTAGTCTTTCACAGCATTCATTCCCTGTTCATAACAAATATTTATTTATTTGTTTGTTTGTTTGTTTGTTGTCTGATTAATTCGCAAATCGACAGGTTTGGAATCAAGAAATTGGTAAAGAACGACGTGCCAAGAATGTAAGGACAGGCTTTCCAGGTTCCTGTGTTGTGTTTGATCGCAGGGTTGTTGTGATAATCCAAAGTTCCATCTTTTGTGTACTTCTCATCATCATCATCTTCTTCTTCTTTTTCTTCTTTTTTGTGTTCTGAAACAGCCATGGCTGATGATGCCACATTGAAGAAATCTCCCATGGTTCTTCTTTTTCTACTGTTGTTGGTGGTGACTGGTGAGTGATTTAAATTGTCTTTTTTTTTCAAGGATTTGTTTGTTTCTTAAATAATGTGTAAATTGAAATGTGGGATTTTTGGGCACACCTTTCGAGGGTGGAGTGGAGTGATTTGATTGGTTGAAATTTTGGCCGTTGACCCTTGGAGGTATTAATTGTTTGCTGTTGATATTTAATGAGTAATGACAGTCAGTGATGCATCGTTGTTTTTATTAATTCACAGTAATTTATTATTTATTGCATTTATTTTACTTGTGAAAATAGGTTTGTTTGGTTTTACACTCTTTTGTCCTCTTTCAATTGTTTTTTTTCACTTTTTATCTACTCTTTTCGTTCCGGAACTAATATTCATTTGCTTTTTACACGTAATTTTAAAAATATTAGTATTATATTTGAATATAAGTAGGAATAAAGTAAAAATGACTAAAATAACTTTATTAGTACGTGTGATATAAAGGTAATGACATTTGTGTAATATATTGTAAGTTATATGAGTATTTGTAATGTTAGGTAGGATACTTTTGCTACGGTACATAATAAAATAGAAAAATGGATACTTTGTTATGAGACGGATAGAGTATTTTATTTCAAGTGACATTTTTATTTTTGATAAAAATTAACATGTTTTTATTTTTGATAAAATTTAAAAATTAAATATACTTAATAAATATAAATCAAACTTACTTACTTTTATAATATATAATATCACACGTAATTCACTCAAAAAATTTTTATTTTATATATCTCTATAAAATTTCACTTTTTATGTTAATATAAAATATAAAGTATCATGTCTAAGATTTTACTTATTTAGGGTATATATGTTTTATGTTAATATAAACATATTTTTGTAAAAAGATGAAATATAGTATTCCCTCAGTCTTGTTGGAAGGATGGCTTTGCGTTTGCTTTTTGCAATTAGGTTTTTTAATATTAGTATTATATTGAATTATAATAAAAATGACAAAAATACCATATTAGTATGATGTAATATAAAAGTAATGACATTTAGGTAGTACAATTACTAAATTAGGAAATAATAATCTTGTTTTGGGACGAACGAAAATGGAAAATTGTAACATTTCGATGGAACGGAGGGAGTAATATAGTAAAATTATTAAGTTAATATTAATACTTCGTCCCATAATATTTGAAATCTTTCTATTTTTGTAGGTTTCATAACAATTGACATATTTTTATTTTAGATAAAATTTATTTAAATTAAAATATAATTAACAAATATAAATCAAATTAATTAATTATATAATATACAATGTCATACATACTCACTCAAAATCTCTTTACTTATATTTATCTTTAAAAAAATATATATCTTATCTATTTTTAAAACTCCACATATTTTATAAATTTGTTTATATTAATTATAAATAGATAAAAAAAAAATTTTTTTTACTTGTATTATAAAAAAATTTATGTTCTACAAAATGATATCCGCGTATATTCTTTTATTGCTATATTTTTTAAAACATGTAAATCATATTCTAATCTTTTAAAATAATATATATTAAATTTATTTTAAAACTATCAATATTATTAATTATATAAAAAATTACATTATAATTATCTATTATTAACTAACTAAACATAATTTTCTTAAATATAATATTACTGATAAAATGGGCAAATTATCTTGGGACGGAAATAATTTATCTAATTGTACTCGATAGTTAAAAATAGTATAATATAATTTTGTTTATATTAAGTAGTTAAATGTAATGTAAAAATAATTTTATTTTCTGTGTAAAAGTTAAAGACGCGATATAATTATTTTATAATTAGAAAAATCAGAATATAAAAATATGTAAATTTTGTAAGTGAATGGAAATAGTAATATAATTTTAATTCAAAATCAAAATAAATAATTTTTATCTACGTAATCAAATATGGTATTGGGCCTTAAAATGAGATCTATTGGGCCGTCTAATTACAAAAAGATTTGGAACTGGCCCGTGATTGTTTCAGTCCCAGAATAAGCCTATCCGTTTATTATTATTATTATTATTATTAAATTTATTGTTTTATTTTCTTAAATATATAGTTTAGTCTATCTAGTTAGAACTGGCCCAATATAATCCAACTCATGGTCCGCGCCGGGCGGGTTTAGTTTATTTGTATATAGCTTGACCTAGCTGGGACTTAGGCCTCGTTTGTATTGGCTTTTGTCCAAAAATATAAACAAACGTTTTTTTTTTTTTTTTTTTTTTTTTCACAAGCACATTGAGAGTAATTTCTGAAATAAATAAAGACACTTTTGAGCTAAAATTACTGTTTTTATCTTTAATAATAAAAATAATAATAATAATAAATACAATACTGTAATATAATATAGAAATAATTAATTTATATATTAATTTGTTAAAAAAAATAAAAAATATTATTATATTATTATTTTTATATATTTAAATTAAAATTTAAAATTATAATTGAGATACCAAATTTAAATAATAGTAGTATATAATTTTTTTAATTATACTAAAATTATTAAATATAAGTTATAAAATTTTTAAATAAATTGAAAAATACAAATAATTTAATACTCCTGTTATATTGTAATTTTATTTTTAAGATATATATATGTTTTTAAATTAAAATTTTTAAATTATAAATAATTAAATTTTAAAAATATATTTTCTATACTTTTATTTAAAATATTTAAATATAAACAAAGAAATTTAAAAAGATATATAAAAATTTTATAGAAAAATACAATTATATTAATAGTTATTTTTAGTAATTTTAATAGTATAAAAGCACTTTCAACTCTATTACATCAAAATAATTTTTTAAGAAAAATTGTTTTTAAAGTGATTCATCCAAATACAAAATCGAACTACTTGTGCTTTTGACTTCTGCTTTTACTTTTGGCTTCTACTTGTTTTTTAAGCTAATCCAAACGGTCCTAAATCATTTCTTTATTTCGTTTGGGCTAAACCATTTAGACAATAGATATTTTGAAATTTTAAAAAATTTTAAAATAATAAAAAATTAATATTTACATGATATATTTTTAATAGAAAATATATTTAATTTTATATTTTTTTAAAAATATGAAATAGTGCGAAACACCAAAATTAGTATACGAGCAAAGCCATAGTTTACATGTATATAGCATCAATGCATTAATAGTTTAAATAGAGTATTAATTTTATTTTAAACTTAAGATTTTTTATTATATAAGATTTTTATTGAAACATACATAAAAAATATTGGATTATATAAAATAAATCGAAACATAGTGAAAATTTGTTAACCTAGAAAGTAAAATTGTTAATCATACAAAAATATACATATATATATATATATATATCTCTTAAATTATTAGGTGTTGAATAAGTCTTTATGATTGATCCAAGTCCTCACAAAATATACACAAACAAAAAATATTATAGATAACTGTGTTGTTAATATAAAAAATAATAATTTATATTTAATTTGATTTCTTGTGAATGAATAAATATTTTTATATATATAGTGTTAATGTCAATATATATATATATATATTGTATTTTTTTTAATAATATTTTTTGAGAATCATTTCATATAAAAAAAAAAATGAAGTGAACAAACCAAATACAAGGATTTCTTCTTTTAATTTTTTTCACACGTTTTTTCAAAAAAATTAATAAACTAAGTATATTTATTATTTTTATATTTTATATACAATTCTTTATATTTTATATAATTTTTTTTTTCAAAAAATCTCATAAAATAAACACACTATAATTGCAACTAAAATAATATGTTTTGTATTAATTATAAATATATACGGTTAACTCATAATATCCCTTTTCATTCGAAATTAATTTCTATGTCTTCGCCTTCGCGTCGAACAGGAGCAACTGTTCATGATCATTATGGGAAACTAGAACAAAAAAAGCCCGGCTGGGAACTGACCAGGCCAGACTACCCGTTGTATATTGTGGAGTATTAACATTTAAACATATTGAGATATATTATACTTACTATTTTCATATTTTGATTAAAACTAATAAACACAATACTTTTAGCCATAATTAACATCCTAATTATTATTGTTTTATATGTTCGTTAGCCTTAACCAGTATGGACACCATATATATTGTTAATTAAATAATGATGAAAATATATTAAATATCTACATATTAACAAAATTAATAATAAATTATATTATCTTCGGTCGTGATGTTTATGTCACTTTGTTTAGATACAAAGACTAAAAAATAATATTATCTCCGTCCGGTTCTAAGAGTCTCATCTATTTTTTTTTATGTTGATCCTTTTTTAAATATTAATTATTATATCAAAACATAGTAAAAATTAAGAAAAAATTGCAAAAATATTTTCATTAGTGTCTTATAATACTAATAGAAGGACATTTGTAAAAAATATATATATATATACAAATATAAGAATATCTTTAATGTTAAGTAAAATGATGTAAAAGTTAAATGTGATCTCAGAGACAAATTAAGAAAAAATTGCAAAAATATTTTCATAAGTGTCTTATCATACTAATACAATGACATTTGTAAAAAAAAAAAAAAAAAAAAAAAAGCAAAATAGCAAAAAATCCCCCGTGTGATTTTTCGAATTTGCTGAAAATCCCATCTTATTTTAAAATTGCATAAAAACTACTCGTGGTTTCTAAAATACTGCACACTCACCCCTTCCTTCAAAATTGGACTAATGGTGTTAATTTTTTACTTTTTTGGACCGTTGTATCCCTATATTATTATTTTTGACCACTTATTCTATCTTTGACCATTATTTTTCTCGTTATACATACATAGATACACACATACATAAACCAACACACGCATTACACAGAAATACATAGGCACTCCCACCCGCTTCTTCCTCTTTCTTTTCTTTTCTATCTCCGTTTCTTCTTCTTTTTTTTTACAGATAAATATACACACATACATACATATTCTTCCCCCTTCTCCTTATTTCTTCTTCCCTGCCCACCCAGCGGTTCTTCCTTTTTCTTCTTTTTTCTTTTTTTCTATTTTTTTTCCACTTCTGTTTCTTGAAGATTCATTTTATTTTAGGCGATTAATGATTGATTATATTTGTTAGATTCATAAATAGATTAAAACCCTTGCAAATTTAAATTTGGGAATTTTGAAGTTTAACCCAAATCTTAAAAAAAAAAAAGAAAAAAAAGCCTAATTTAGCAATTTTGAAAAAAAATGCCTGATTCATATATAAATTAGTGACTATACACAAAAAAAAATATATTTATTGTAAAAAAAAAAATCATGTCTGCTCCACCGTTTTTATCCATCCGTCATTACCAACATTACATTTCTTAATATTGCAAACATTTTCCTTTTTCTTCGTCACTTTTCTCAAATGAAACTTTCAATTTGAGAGTTACATGTTAGATTGATTCTCTTACTATTTTTTCTCATTCGAGCTCACCCCAATCCACTGGTTGTTGTGAAGATTTAGGAATTGTCAGAGGTACGCCTCGCTCCTATAGAAGAAAACGCGATTAAGAGTAAGAAAAAACAACCATGACAGCAAGGTTGGAGAAAATGAAGGAGATAATGGAGGGTAATTTTGTAATTTTTTTCCTTATATTAAGTGAATTTTCAAGAAAACACGCATTAATGGCGCGTGCAGTACAATTGTTGTTAAATATTAATGGTAGGGGTGTTTTTTGCATCATTTTCGAAATCGCAAGTAGGTAATATGGAATTTTAAAACCAGAGGGGTTTTCATATAATTCAGAAAATCCTAGGGGAATTTTATGCTATTTTGCCAAAAAAAAAAATTATACATCTTTAATGTTAAGTATAATGACGCAAAAAATAAATGTGACGTTAGAGACCGATAGAGGAAATAATATTTTAATTTAAAAATAAGATAGGTAAAAGTAAAATCACGGTATTATATATAAAGAATTTTACTAAAATGATGTGACAAATAAAAAAAATAGTGATAAATTAGTTATTATATGTTAAAATAAAAATAATAAAATTGTAAGTGAATAAAATTATTTATGAATTGTGTTTAAGTTTAAGGAAAAAAATAAATAAATAAACAAACAAACTCAACTATAAGGGATGAAATTAATGGTAAAATAAATGTATTAAACCACATGTAAAATATATGAAACTGTAGTACATAATTACATTGAAGCAAGGGAAAATATATAACACATACATTTCACCAACTTGAACCTCCAAACCAATACAAAATTAATTTAAATAAAATTAATTTAAATAACAAGACATCTTCACCATCTCATTATTATGATCATGACTAACTCATCACTTATCATCTAACAAATTAGTATTTTATTTTATTTTTTTTATAATTTTTAAAAAAATATATATATATTATTTTCTTGTTCTTGGATTCTTTGTTTGTTACCCAATGGTTGGCTAAAAATAGTGATAATATCGTAGCTTGTAAACAATTTCATTTCAATCAAAGGGCCCTTTTCATCGCTATTATTCTTAATTCTTGTTTTTATTTTATTTTTTAATTTTTATTTGACTGCCTAATAAGTATCTACAAAAGTGATTTTTTTTTTTTAATTACATACTAAAAATAAAAAGTTTTGCAGTTGAAGAAAAAGGGTCTTTATTAATTAACAAATTAATCTAAAATAAGTCGAGTTAATAATGCTTAATTTAAGAGCACACTATTTCAGTTAAGTACCAATTAAAAAATTAAATCCCTAAACCAGGGTTTTGTTTAATTAATTTTATATAGAATTAATTATTTTTACACGAGGGACATATTATAATATAAAATTAATTTCTTGTAATATAAATATATGATAAAATGAAAATGAGTTATTATTTACATTTTTTGAAAAAATTCAAGAATTATGGTTTATTTTGGATTTTGGGATTTAGGATTATCATTACTATGTAATTAAAACTTTAGAAAAAAAAAAGGTGCTATGCAAATTTAAGTGAAAAAAAATATATTTTTGTACATGTATTTTAGAAATATAATATTTTTGTACTTTAAATTATTTTAAAAATAAAAAATTTAAGTGAAAAAAAATAAAAAAATATATATATAGGCATTATATTTTATAGAGAGATTTTTGTGTAAAAAAAATAAATTATTGAATATTACTATATAAGTAAACAAAGCCTACATACATATATTGATCCTTTTTGTTAATTAATTAGCTGTTCTTGAAATCATTATTTTGACCTGTAACTTTCTTGCAAAAATTTAAAAATATTCAACCACTGGACCTTATTTTCTGGATAAATACTAACAATTAATCATTACTGGAAAGAAATTTAGGGAAGATCATGTGGTGTCACCAGAAATCAAAATCAAAATCAACTGGAACTAAAATTTAATTATTAATTTATTATTAAACCAAACATTAGCTGAGAAGACGACTTATATTTGAAGAATTAATTGTTTCACCTAACTGAGTAAAAACGACGTCGTGGCTGCTGCTACACATGCATATATATATATATATATATAAGGCTGTGTTTGGCTGTCATAATAACTACAAAATCCAAAATTACAGATCCAAGAAAACAAAAACCCTAATTTTGTTCTTGGTTCTGAGAAAGAGTAAACAATGGAGAAGTGTTGGATTAGGGTTTGGATCGTCCTCGTAGGTTGTCTGCTTCCAGTTCTTGTCCAATCCAGAGTTCGACATTACCAGTTCAATGTATTTATTTAATTCAATATTTCTTTACGTTATTACATATATATATATGTGTAAATTTTTATTTAATTAAATAGTTATATTTATATATGCATTGCAGGTTGTGATGAAGAACACGACACGTCTGTGCTCCACAAAAAGCATTGTCACAGTCAATGGAAAATTTCCCGGCCCAACTGTTTATGCCAGGGAAGATGACAATTTGCTTATTAGGGTTATCAATCGTGTCAAATACAATGTCACAATCCACTGGTAAATTTAAAATATATAACTATTTAAAAATAAATCATTTTTATTTTTATTTTTAACTAATTTAATAGAAGAATTTTGAGTTTATTGAAATAAATAAATGGTTAAATTCAATTTCAGGCACGGCATACGGCAGCTCCGCAACGGCTGGGCCGACGGACCGGCTTACATAACCCAATGCCCGGTCCAGCCGGGTCACAGCTACGTGTACAATTTCAACGTGACCGGCCAGCGTGGCACGCTTTGGTGGCACGCGCATATCTCGTGGCTACGTGTCACCGTCCACGGCGCGATTGTTATACTCCCGAAGCTCGGCGTGGCTTACCCGTTCCCCAAGCCGGACCGGGAAGCCGTCGTTGTGCTCGGCGAGTGGTGGAAAGCCGACACCGAAGCCGTCATAAATCAGGCTATGAAATCCGGCTTGGCGCCGAACGTGTCCGACGCCCACACTATAAATGGCCATCCGGGCGGCGGCGGAGGCGGCTGCGCCGCCGCCGGCGGTTATCAGCTCAGCGTTGCGCCGGGTAAAACGTACTTGCTTCGGCTCGTCAACGCTGCGCTCAATGAAGAGCTGTTTTTCAAAATCGCGGGACATAAATTAACGGTGGTCGAAGTTGACGCCGTTTACGTCAAGCCGTTTAAAACTGACGTCGTCGTTATCGCGCCGGGGCAGACGACTAACGTCGTCGTCGCGGCGGATCAGGCCGCCGGAAAATACATGGTGGCGGCGTCGACGTTCATGGACACGCCGGTGGTGGCGATCGACAACACAACCGCCACCGCGACGCTGCACTACTCCGGAACTCTATCGAATTCCCCGACGGCGCCGGTAACAACGCCGCCGCCGAACGCCACCGCCGTCGCGGCCAAGTTCGCGAATTCTCTCCGCAGCCTGAATTCCCCAAAATACCCCGCGAAAGTTCCGGCGACCGTCGACCATTCTCTGGTCATCACCGTCGGCTTAGGCGTCAATCCTTGCCGCACGTGCGCCGCCGGAAACTTCAGCCGCGTCGTCGCCGCCATGAATAATATCACATTCGTTATGCCGGCGACCGCCATTCTTCAGGCGCACGTGCTCGGAATCAATGGAGTTTTCACCGCCGATTTTCCGGGGAACCCGCCGGTGGCGTACAATTACACCGGCAAACCGCCGGCGAATATCTCGACGAGAAAAGGTACAAAACTGTACCGGCTGCCGTACAACGCCTCCGTTCAGGTCGTCCTTCAGGACACCGGAATTATTGCGCCGGAGACCCACCCGATTCACCTCCATGGATTCAATTTCTTCGTGGTGGGGAAAGGATTGGGGAATTTTAACCCTAAAATTGATCCACAGAATTTCAATTTAATCGATCCTGTGGAGAGGAACACCATTGCCGTCCCCACCGGAGGTTGGGTGGCGCTCCGATTCCTCGCCGACAATCCAGGTAAGAACATTGCCATCTCAGTTTATATTTTTTTTAAAATCGATTCAAATTCTGAAATCATTACAATTCATGTTCTTGAATCAATTAGGGGTTTGGTTTATGCATTGCCATTTCGAAGTTCATACGTCGTGGGGACTGAAAATGGCGTTTTTGGTGGACAATGGGAATGGCCCTGGAGAATCCATTATTCCTCCCCCAAAGGATCTGCCAAAGTGCTGAATCTATGCCACAGATTGTTACCTTTTTGTATTTTATTTTGTTTTTTGGTTATTATTGTAACCTTTTTTTTTTTTTTTTTAATACGAGAATCTTGAAAATTAAAGTCGAAGCAAAAAAGAAGAACAAAATTCAAAGCAGAAAATCATGTAGTTAAAGAAAGTGAATTTTTGTCAACCCAATAATTATATATAAAGATTTGATTGTAACTGTTTCATCTATTGAATGATATATAATAATTTTATATATATAGTTGAGTATTTCATTGAATAATGTAAAGGGCGTGTTTCCTTGTGACATTTGGTTTTTTATTTTACTATTCCTTATTTTTCTTTTTCCTCCAAAAAAATATCAAATCAAACAATCATTTTTTATTTATTTTATTACATTAAAATCTAATTTTACATTGAAAGTATCACATCAATACATATTTATATCACATCAAACAACTATTTCAAATCAAAATTTTATTATTCAAAACCAAAACTCAAAATCAAAATCACACGAGTAAACACAACCATTATTTCCTTATAACAAGTTGTCGGTAAAAAAAATAATAAATGTAGTTAATTCAAATTAGCTTTGTTCTTTCTATATTTCTTTTCCACAATTTTTTCAAAAAAATTAATATACTATACACATTCATTATTTTTATATTATATATATATAATTTCTTATATTTCACATAAAAAAATTTTTTTCTTCAACAATCTCACCAAACAAACACACCTGTAATTATTTCAAGGTTCTTCATAATAAAGAGTTTTTTTTTTTTAACCCCAATATTTATTTAAATACTATAAATATTTGTAGTGGTGGAACTATCTCAACATAGGATAATTTTTAGTCTTAATTCTTCATTGAGATAATTATACAAATACATATATGGATGTTTTCTTTTCTTTTTTTTTTTTTTTTTTTCTTTTTTAACAATAATAATAATGTTTGTTTTATCCCACTTTTAGAAAATTCATTGCGTTTTTTTGGATCATTTCATAATTGTTTTTTCAAAGTTTTGTAACAAATTATCATTCATCATTAGTTAGGCCCGTTTGTGGCTACATGAATAATAATAAATAATAATATTAATGTCATAAATAAAGTATTAGGGTTGGTTTGTTTAGTGTTTTTATTTGAATTTGTTTTTTTTTTTTAATCCCATGAGAGGTATAAGGAATCATATCAATAATATAAAAAAATTATTTACATTAAATATTGATTTTTGTGAAAATATATATATATATATATATTGAGAATCGTATTTAAAAGAAAATCTTAGACAAACAATATCATACGATGTTGTTTTAATATTAAGAAAATAGATCAAGTATTATGAAAGATGATTTTGAAAATAAGTAAATGATACAGATAAATATCAATTTCATTATTTGAATAAAATATTTTTAGGGTTTACTAAGTGAAGGTTTGTAAAAATATACTCAAATTTATATTTATTTATATCAATGTTATTATTACATTAAATCAAAATGTAAAAAATTAAAACAAAGGTATTATAAGAAATTTATTAACAAAATAAATTAAAAAGATATAATAGAATATATAGAAAAAAAAAATAACTGCAAATTAGTTAGCATTTATTAAATATGAAGAATAAAACTATGGAACAAGAAAATTTGGTTATTATAAATAGTTTATGTATAAATTTAACGATCACAAAAAAAGAAAAAATAGTTTTAATGAAAAAAGAAAAAATAAATGTTTATTTGGATTGATTTATAATTAAAAAATTAATATAATAAAAATGATATAGGATGTATTGCATCTTCTTTGTCTATAATTTTGATCTAAATATCAATATATATATTTAAAATACATTTTATTACGTTATGTATGTATAATTTATTCAAAATATTTTTACTAGAGTAATTTGGGCTGTTTATTTTTGCTCTGAAGTGTTCTCACTATGCGCTAGGCACAATTAACAAAAATAATAGGTGTGGTGATTTGGGTTTGACTTGAGAGTATTTAAGGGTGTTTCTATTTAAAAGTTTGGGTTTTTAAATTATTTAGATATAATATAAATAAATGTTGATTTGATATTTTTAATCTAAAACGAAAATAAACACATACTCTCTCCGTCCCGCAAGAAGCGTGGCGTTTGTTTTTTGCACGTAGATTTTTTAATATTAATATTATATTGAATTGTAGTAAAAAAGATAAAAATACCCCTATTAGTATGATGTAATATAAAAGTAACGACATTTGTGTAATATATTGTAAGTTGAAAGGGTATTTATTATGTGAAGTAAGAAGTACAATTACTAAATTAGAAAATGATAACCTTGTTTTGGTACAGACGAAAATGAAAAATGGTACTTTTCGATGGGACGGAGAGAGTATTATGAATTTATACCGTTGATTTAAAATTTATTTGAAATTAAATGTTGATTTAGATTTTTATTTAGATAATATCTTAACTTGATATTTTATAAGAAAAAATAATATATTCTAAACATATTCTATTAATTTGAAATTTTTTTGTATAAAACAACTGTAATTTTCTGTAAAAAAAAATAAAAAAATAGCTATGTATAAATTATTACTTGAGTAATCCAAATATATATATTTTTTTAAATTGTCATAAAATAAAATAAAATAAAAAAATCACGTTCTCATTTTATTTTTAATTTAAAATTATTTTACTTTTGTACTATTTTTAATTTTTTTTTTAAAAAAAGTAATAATGATTATCTTTTATTATTAAAATATTGTATCCAACCAAATTAGTATAGAATTCAGTGATGGAAAAATAATATCAAATTAAAAAATAAAATAAAAGTTGAAAAAGAAAAAGAATAGCAACCTAAGTTGGACTGTATATAGAATGGAATTGGGCAACGAACACATTAATTATTGTCCATCATTCATTGACGCTGACTTCTCATCTCCCCTTTTATTAAATTACTTTTTTGCCCTTCACCTCCATGCATTATTAATTTTAAATTTAGTTCTCAATATGGGCAAAATTATTCTTAACTAAAAAAAGAAGGCAATTAATTTAAAATTAAAATATTGGAAATATTAAAAGGCAAGGCTCTGTGGTGGAGCCCACAATTCCCACCAACTCAACAATGCCATACTTTTTTGGAAATATGGGAAGCCAAGAATCTTTCCACTTGTGGAAACTTTCATTAATATACGTGTCAAAATATTTATTACTCACTTTTCTTTCCCAATGTGTAATAATTATTTAATATATAATAATTACAATTACTCCCTCTGTCTCATGTAATATGGATGTATTACGGTAGACACGGGAATATAGGTAAAGTATAATTAGTAAGTAATTAAAAAGTGTATTAGTAAGAATAATTATTATTTATTAAAAAATAATTATAAATTAAAATTAATATAAGTAAATAATTTAATTAAAATTAAGAAAATTATAAAATTTAAAATTGAAAATGCGATTAAAGTGCATAATTATATTTCCAAAAATAGAAATGACAAGTTATGTGGGACGGACGAAAATAAAAAATATAGACAAATTATGTGGGACGGAGGAGTATTATTATTATTACTAATCACGAACAATGCAAAACTAAACTTAAAAAAAAAAAAATTGAGTGTAATTTTACAATTTGAAATTTTATTTCTTTTTAGATTTATATATATATATATTAATTCAATATAGTTTATTTTATACTCCCTTCGTCCCGTTTATGATGACATCTTTAGTTAATTAGAAATATGGTTATTTAAGTAGTGTAAATTACTAAATTATTAATAATAAATTATGATATTATTTTTATATGAGTAGTATTGTTGATATTTTAAATATTTTTAGCGTTATATTACAATAAAATATATACAATACGGATCTTATTTCGTAGATAATAAAATTTTATATAATGCAAATAAATAAAACAATATATATTTATATATATTTAACTTAAAACTAATTTTATAAAAAAACGAGAAGTTTTATAAAAATATTTATTTGTTGATGAGATATATAGAAACAAAAAGATTCGAATGGTCCTATTTTCAAATTTTAATTAAATTAATTTATATTTGTTAGGTATATTTAAGATGAATAAATTTATTAAAAATAGAAAAAAAATCATATTTTATGAGACGTATAAATACTAAAAAATAATCGTCTATAATAGGACGGAGGGAGTATAATTTATTAGTTGAATAATACGAATATTAAGAAGAAGAAAAAAAAAAGAAACGCACAAATAAACAATATATTTGGTAACATTGATAAAAATATATTTATGATTAATTACTTTGATATGTAATTATTTTTTTATGAGATTTAAAAAAATACCCTTTTTGTTCATTTCCAAAAAATAAACATTGAAAACTTACAAGGTCTGTTGACAAATAAATAAATTATAAAATTGCACCCACATGGGATGTTGCAACAAATTTGCTGCCCGTCCTTATAATATACAGAAATTATTTATAAAGTATGTACATAGGTGTATTTCATTGGTGTTCTTTCTTTTTTAAAGAAAAAATATATATATTGATTGATATTTTAAAATAAAATTAATGTATCGATGGTTGAATAGTAGAAAAATAAAAATAATTGTTAACTATACACACCAAAATATTTTCTTTTTTAATTGAATAAACAGCAATTAGTTTGTTTTGCACTTTAAACTAATCTTTCTATTAATCATCTTACATATTTAAAAAAAAAAAAAAAACATTATATTTTTACACATGATATTAGATTACAATAAAAAAAATAATAAATAAAAAATAAATTCAAACTCAAATATATATATATATATATAAAATAAACCATTAATATTTGATATAATATTTTGAAAGAAAAATAAATTTAATATGATATTAAAATAAAATTGAAAAGCACTAAAGTTCCAAAAGTATAAAATAAAATCTTAACCTACTGAATGGCCCCAAAATATATATAAAAAAAAATAATATTGAAAATTTTCAAATATACCAACCACTATATGGTGCTATTATTTTTTATTGAGTTTATTTAATATATTACGCGCATTTCAATAATTGAAAGCAAACCTTTTGGTTGGCCAATTATGTGACAAAGAAATATTATTTAATTATGATAAATATATACTAGCAATACCATAAAATTGTAACTCGAATTAAAAATATATATATATATATATGTATTAATTAACTCATGATTATATATATAATTAAGTAAACGTATATAGATGTAATATTTTTTAATAAAAATTGTATATTGAATATAATATCTTCTAAAATTATATTTTATCATAAGTTACACAAAATGCGAACAAATATTGATTTCGAATTTAAATGACAAAAGAATATGTCCATTTATTTTGAATTTTTTATTTAAAAAAATAATCAATAACAACGCATGTACATTTATAATTATATATATATATTAATATATAACCATCCTGGCCGTCTTTTTCAATAAAAAGTTGACCATAATGTCGCCATTAAAATGCTCTTTTTTTTCTTCCATAACAATTTAATAATAACAAAAAGCTTTTAAACCATAATAATACTCCCTTCATCCAATTTCTATTGTCTAAGTATATTTGTACGATTTTTTAGGTTATTATTTTTTTTGTATGAATTGACAAATTTGTCCTTAGTTGTATGATAGAGATTAAAAATAATAAATTAATTAAGGATAAAAATAAAAAATTGTATTTAAAAAAAATAATAAAAAATAGGACAATAGTTAAAGAAATAAATTATAAGTAAGCAAATTCAATGGGGATACGTGGCGAGCTCTAACTGGTGGACCCACCACCTTAATTATTGTGCTTTGTGCTTTATATTTGTTAATTTAACTTCCCCTTAAAAACAATCATAGTTCTTACAAAAGCAACAACCGTTGTCTGACTGCCACATCAGCTGTTTTTTGGTGATGTGAAAATAAATCGTTTCTCTTTTTCGCTACATTGTTTTTTAATTTGATTTTAATTTTTCTAACAATGTACTTCATTTTTTTATTTACTTTTAACATGAAAATTTAAAAATATTGTAATATAATGATAGTCGGTGAATTTTTAGGTTAAACGATACGGTTGTCTTTTGATTTTATTTGTAACAAAATAATATTTATATAAATAAGTGTTATTGAAGTAATATTGTGTTTGTTTGGACGATTTTTCTTAAATTTTATTATTTATTCAATTTTTTTTTTCAAAAATATCAAATCAAATATCTATTTTTAATTTTTTATATTATACTAAAAATCAGTTTTTCATTCAAAATATCACATCAACACCTATTTATATTGCATCATACAACTATTCATATTCAAAATTTTTATTATTCAAAATCTAAACCTCCAAACAAACGCACCCTAAATATAAAGATATAACTATTGTAAATAGACATCTTAAAAATATAAAGTGTTACTCTTATTCAAAGGAATAATTATTTTATTTTATTTTATTTATCATAAGACATGTCAAATTTAACAATTCAATTGTTAGTTAAGGCAAATACAAACAAAACACAAAATTGATTAAATGCTCTAAGTGCTATATTTTTACGAAAACTTATGTAAATTGTATGATAAAAAAATTGATTTGAATTACTCGATCCGTTCCGATGACTTTGTTCGGATTACTATACATACGACAATTTAAAATAAATACTATAATTAGTAAATAATTCAAAATATATTCATAAAAATAATTACTTTATAACATAAATAATTATAAATTAAAATTGAGATAGTTAATTAGTCCAACTAAAAAAACTAAATTATAATGAGATTAAAATATCTAATTCTTAAAAATAAAAACAACATGAAATATAAGACGGATAAAAACGAAAATATAAAAACGATAGGTAAGACTAAAATAGCATAAAATAAACTCCTAATATTTTCAAAAAATTTAAAGAAAAAAAAAAGATTTCGAAAAATGTATATACACTTTTTATAATTAATTCTAACGGTTAAATATTAAAAAAGAATTAAATTAATGGTACATTCACCCGATAAATATACATACATTTTCACTTAATATGATAGGAGTAAAAAATATGTGCACATACTTACAATTATACTACTCTAGTCAGCACAGTAAATTAATAATTTATAATTTAATACTCTTATGTTTCGACTTAAAATATTTATTTGAATTTTTGTAATAAATTAAAAAATAATAATATTTTATTAATTAATAAAATTGTATAAGATTAATATTATATTTGTAATATAAATAAAAATTAAGAATATTTAACTATTAATATATTATTATTTTTAGAATAGTAACAAAAAATAATATTTTGAATAAAATATATTAAAAAATACTTTTGAACAAAAAATATACAAAGTTATGTATAATATTATCGATAACTTTTTTTTACATAATATAAAAATAATAATAAATAAAAAAAAACACACAACAATTAATTTAACGTGAATATAATTATATAAATTAAGAAAATGCAGAAGCCTCGTAACTCCAAAATAGAAAGTGCGGTGCGAACACGCGCATTCATTGTCCAGTTACGTCACCTCTAAAGCAAAATTACAAATGTACCCCTCTAAAACCAAACAGCAACCATTCCCAGATTGTCCTTTTCCGCCATCTGATCAGTCAGCTTTCTGCCCTTACACTCCCCCCCAAAAAATAAAAACAATAAAAAAAAAATAAAAAAACACAGACCCCACCAGAAACCTTACAGCCAATCATTCATCAACACCATTGATCTGTCCGAAGCTCAGCCACTTCTTCAATTCATCAAATTCTTCATCTTTCTTTCTTCCTCTCTTACAACAAAGTACAAATTACTTTCAGACATAGATTCGCTTCCTTAAAACCCCCAGTTGATGTTCGCTAATTTCTGAGATTTGCAAGAATTAATTCCAATTTCAATTCATATTCATGGCTGTCTTCAATTCTCCTTAGGGTTAGGAAAGTTGTGGCGGCTTTCTATTTCCCTTTCCCTTTCCCTTTCCCTTTCTAAGATTCGTCTCTGCGAAAAAAATTAAATTAAAGAAGTATTCAGATTCCCTTTCAAATGCTATTATTGTTATTGTTATTGTTATTATTATTATTATTCCATTCGTTCTTCCTATAATTTCCGCCAGATTTAGTACCGGCAGTCTTCGATTTTTGATGAGGAGGAAATGAACCACACCTCATCGTATTTGGGGAATTCGAATTGGCTGTTCGAGGAAAGTACGGTCACCAAATGGACGCCGGACGAGAATAAAAGGTTCGAGAATGCTCTGGCGGTGTTCGACAAAGACACGCCGGACAGGTGGCACAATGTGGCGTCGATGATTCCCGGCAAGACCGTCGGTGACGTCATTAAACAGTACCGTGAGTTGGTCGATGACGTCAGCGATATTGAGGCAGGTCTGATTCCGGTTCCCGGCTACTCCAACAATTCCTTCACTTTGGAGTGGGTCACCAGCCATGGCTACGACAGTTTGAAGCACATCTACGCCGCCGCCGCCGCCGCCGCCGGTGGGCGGCGCAACCCGGCGTCGCGGTGCTCCGACCACGAGCGGAAGAAGGGCGTCCCATGGACGGAGGAAGAACACAGGTTAGTTAATTAATCAATTTAGGGATTTGGAAATTTAGGGATTTTTGAATTTGGGGATTTTTGTCTGTGCAGCTCAAGTGTTCGACGAAATGCCTGACTGAAACAGATTTTTTTGTAATGAAGTTAGGGTTGATTTGGTTTTGATTTAAATAATATTTTGATGGGATATTTTATTTTGAATTGCGGATTGAATAGCATGGATTTGGGTTTGAAGAACAATTATTTCCCCTGTTTTTTTGACAATTATGTCCTAATCTGATGCTGTGATCTTCAGACAGTTCTTGTTGGGTTTGAAAAAGTATGGTAAAGGAGACTGGAGGAACATATCTCGGAACTTCGTGACAACGAGGACGCCGACGCAGGTTGCTAGCCACGCTCAAAAATATTTTATCCGGCAGCTGTCGGGAGGGAAAGACAAGAGAAGATCGAGCATCCATGACATCACAACAGTTAATCTCGACAACACAAAGTGTCCTTCCCCGGACAAATCTCAGCACCATTCGCCGCCGCCAGAGTCAAACTTGACGACAACGTTGCAGCCGCCGCACCACAATTCAGACACAAATGTTGTTGTCCGAGGAAGCTACGATTCGGGTGTTCCCGGTGCGATAATTGGGCAGGATGGCAGCTATATGATCAGCCATCTTCAGGGGTCTTTGCCATTCGGGTTTAATTTGCTTGAGCATCACGTAGATTCACATGGACTGAGGTTAGGACATTATGGAACAGTTTTTCAAATGCACCCGACTCAACATACTTGAATTTTAAGCGAATTTTTGTGGATATATATATATATATGTTGTCGTCGTCGAGGGCTATTTAAGGTTTTCGATTGTTCTTACAACCTAGCTCTAGATATGCATTGTAATAGCAAGGGATTTTGCCCTGAATCTGAACTAGAAATCGTGTAACTTCAATTCGATCTTGATTTATCGAATACATTTTGCAAGATAAGCCCGAGAAGCGGCGTTTCTTTCCTTCGAATTTCTTATTTTTTTCATTGAAAGATTCTTGAATTATTGCGATGAACTCGTAGAAATCTTGTTTGGACAACCTATATGTTTGAATCTGAATTTAAACAGTCTCTTCAAATAATTTTGTTTGATTCGATTTATTTTATCTTTTTTTACATTTGGGTGATTGAAAACGTCCCCCGAATCGGATTCTTACATTCATTAATGTCTTTGTAGATTTATTCAACTTGACAAAAGAAACTATATCGATTTCTTGACTTTCTATTTCTCTTTTCTCACTTGAATTAATTCTTACTTACTATATTCTCATTTTATCGCATCCTTTATTATCTACTTATCGTGGAGGAATCGCACATGATTTTCTAATTCTCTTAAGGATCCTTCGCCCGACATATCTGATATATTCTCGCGCCCTTCTTATCTTCCTAAAAGTTGCTACAAAAAATGTTAAATTTACCACATAACCGATCCTTTTTATTCTTGGAAGATCTCATTAACAGTGGTTTAGATTCTCTTTTTTTAGTGCTTTCATCGCGTCCTAACCTCATATTTTGACAAAAGATCCTCTCCTCCTTAAAATGAATGTAATAACACATACCTCTCACCTCAAGACAAGAATCTTGACGGTATCGTGATCATTGTCGCCATCTTTGATTGATTCGATGTTCCATAATTTTCTAAACTTCCTCTTAAGCAACATGAGAGGTAAGATTCTCCATTCAATGTGTTGTTTTCTTGCCAAATTGGTAAGCTCAACACTTCATTCACTTAGTATTGTAATATTATTTTAACACGACACGATCTTTAATAGATTTCGTTTGTCAATGTATTTATTATATCAGTTTGAATTGTTTACATTTAATATATCAATTTTCTTAATTTGTAATAAAAAAATTTTCATATCTCAATTAAAATTACAATCATATAATTTTCTATCAGTTGTACTTCATTTTTGTTGACATATTCTTAGAGCTAGAGAAACTAATAAGGGTTTTCACTTTGTGTTTGGATGAAGAAAATGTATTAATATATATAAATTGTATTAAATTTTTTATTTTTGTAAATAGATAAAATTTATATATTGTATTTATTGTATTAATGTATATATATATTGTATTAATGATTGTACATCTTTTATTTTCAAATAATACTCTATCTCTAAGGGTCTCATTTATTTTTTTGCTCAATTGTACTAAACATATTTGTATAATTTTTTAAAAAAAATATATTTTGATAATAGTAAGATACTAATATAAGTATTTTGTTATTTTCCCTTAATCTGTACTATGTATTCATATAATAATTAATATTTAAAGATCACATGCAATACATAAATGAAATTCTAACACTTCTTGAATGTACGTGTAATTAATTTGGACTATGCGTTTTTCGAAAAAAAATTACATTTTTTCCTCTCACAAAACATCCCATCAATTATTATTTTCATATCAAACTCAAACTAAATTTTTTCCAAACTCATCAAAAGAAACACATCCATAATATTTATCGAGAACCGTTCACTAAAAGATAACTAAATTAACAAAACCTAAATATACACGTACATTCAAGGAGTGTAAGAATCTAAAAGCATTATTTTTAACATCTAAATTCCATACAAAATAATGTATTGAATAATGAATTTTTATTCATGAAAAATAATTTAAAATACCAATAAACAGGGGTTTATTTAATTTTTATTTGATATTTAAATTTTGATTAAATAAAATCGTATTTGATATATTGTAAAAAAATATATATATAATATTATAACTAAAAATATCATAAGTTTAATAATACTTATTTTGATTTGAAATTCAAATCAAGCATAACCATAAAGAATCAAAACTTTCATAAAAGAGAAGCATAGACGATTAGGTTCTCTATCGTTATTATTATTATTTTTTTTACCTCAAAATTTTCATTTCAAGTTTTCAATATGTATATATATTTCATACAAAACATTTTTACTTAATTATTATTTATTAATTTAAAAAATAACAAAAAAATAAAACATAATTTATAAAGAACGAATTGAACATGCCCTAGTAAAATGACAAACCACCCACCCACCCCACAGGTCTTCTTTATTGCAAAGGGAGAAACTTACTTTATGGCAACTTGCACTTGCACCACTAACAAAGAAAGAACCTTTGCTACTACACTCACACTGCTCATTGCTGCTTTTATATATATATATATATTTGTATTTATATGCTTCTGAGACTTCATACCTAATCTCAAACACTATATGAAAATTTGTGTATGTATACATATACTTGCAATATATATATATATATTGATGTGTGTGTATTTAGAAAATTGTGTTGTGTATTGTTTGTTGTTGTAAGATTCTGATACCCTTTTCCACAATGAAAATACACTGACTTTGTTTGGTTTATATTTATAATTTCATCTTTTTTAACTATGAAATTTATACCGTTCGTACAGCTATAAGGGTCTCATTTACTTTTTGAATGTTGATATTTGAATATTAATTATTATATTAAAACGTAGTACAAATTAAGAAAAAAAGTGTAAAAATACTTCAATTAGTGTCTTATAATACTTAATAGAAGGACATTTATATAAAAATTTATACAAATATAAGGATATTTTTAATGTTAAGTACAATGACGCAAGAGGTAAATGTGACCCTTAAAGGCGGACGGAGAGAGTATAATTTTATTTTTGTCTAATTTTAAAAGTATACGCTTATTTACTTGTGCATAGTTTGAAAAATAACAATATTTCAATTATAGTGAATAATTAAAAGTTGTGTAAAGACATTTGTCTTTATTTTTCGTGTAAAAATAATAACCCGATGATAAAATAGGGTATTTGTAAAAAAAATGTGAAGTATTTTGAAATGATTACTTTGTAATTAGACAATTCAAAATAAAAATATGTACATACTTTGTGAATGTACGGATGAAATATTAATTTTTTACAAAATATACTCAAAATACTATTTAAATTAAAATAAAAAAAATTAAACTCAAATATTCATACAACATTACATGATTTGGCAAAAAGTAACACAATAAATATGGTAGTGTTCTTTTTTTATTTTTTTATTTTTAATGTTTTTAATTTTCGTTACTTTTCTAATAATATGATTGTAATATATAATATTTTGTATGTAAAATAAGTATAACATCTTGGATTCCTCCCTCCTTTGTAGTTTCTGGTAATATTTCTCTAAGTGGAAAGAGGGATATATATTATGGCTCATCTCTTTTAATATAAATATACAAAAATATATATATTTTTTTTTATCTTTTAATTATACTCCCTCCGTCCCATAACAAAGTATTTATTTTTCCATTTTAGTCCGATGTCATTACCTTTATATCACACATACTAATAAGGTTATTTTAGTCATTTCTACTTTATTCTTACTATATTCTAATATAATACTAATATTTCTAAAACTACGTGTAAAAAGAAAATGAATATTTACTTATCGGACGGATGGAGTATTTTGTTCTTCTCTTTTAGGGATAGAAGTAGATCTGTTTTTGATATATGATTGGGTCATATTAAAAGATCATAGAAAAATATGATTTATTTGAGTTTTGTATTGATAAAAAAAAATATAACTATTTTCTGACAAAAAAAAGAATTGTAAGAGTTTTATTTATTTATTTATTTTTTAAGTTGAAATAGTTTTTGAACATCTTTCCTTGGGTTTAATTTTGAAAATTTTGATTTAAGTTATGCGTTTAAATAATATTTGATAAATATTTTGGGAAATATAAATTTAAATAGTAATTTTTTATAAAAAAAATGGTTAAGGAAACACATATTTTAGGTAGAAAATAGTTTGCTTTTAAGAAAGTATGAATATGTTCTTATATTTTTATATAATTGCAAAATATATGTATTTATAAAAATATATTCATTCCCTTCCAACTATATGTATACTTTTTACTATTTTAGTATGTCATTTTTTGTTTCTCATAAAAGTATTTATACACTAATACGAAAATATTTTAATTTTTACATAATTTACGAAGATACTATTATATATATAAAGTTAATTTATATATGAAGACAAATAATAAAAAAATATCAAAAATATCTTACATATTATAAAATAAAAAACAAAAAACAAAAGGACGCCTTTAATTGGGACCAAAAAAATTATATTATTTTTAAACAAAATGAAAATATTTATCCAAATAAATCACAATTCTCCAAAATATTATAACAATTGTTAATAACTAATAATAAAATTTTCACAAATTCTAAAATACTGAAAGAATTAAACAAAATTTCTTTTAGAATTGTTTTTAAAATTTCGCAACTTCATTTTAGCTTTTTTATTATTAACATTTTACATTTCTTATATGTTTTTTCTCTCTTAAAATCATGTTAAATTATTATTTAAATTAAAATTTAAATATATATATTTTTAATTGAACATTAAAAAAAAAATAAAAACAGAAAATTAAGACGGGTAGCCCATTTTCTTAAGAGTTGGGCTTCATGGCCATTTAATTGTAATACAAAATATTTCTACAGCTCACATTCAAGAGCAGATTGTTCACGTAATATTTTTAATTAGCATATTTTTTAAAAAATATTATTAAAAAATATAATATCAATAAAAAATACAAAGCGGACAAACTTAATCTAAATGTATCTGTTTGTTTATTTAAATAAAAAAATTTACTATTTATTCAATTTTTAATTTAGAAAAAAGATATTATTTTTTATATAGTATCACATTAAATACTATAATATATTTCATCCGTCTTATATTTATTTATTTATTTACTTTTTACACGAAATTTTAGATATATTAGTATTATATTGGGATGTAGTATAAATAAAAGTAAAAAGACTAAATTATCCTTATTAATATTGTATGATATAAAGTCAATGTCATATGTGTAATATATTGTAAATTTGAAGAGTATTTGTAATTGTTAGTGGGTGCA